TGGTAAACCACATTCCAGCATGTTGCCCATAAGGCAGCAACCTCCCCTTACGCCTAGGGACCGGCGAAAAGCTCAGCATGTTGACACCAATTGTTCAACCCTAACCAATAAAGGTAGGTGCTTCGCAGAAAGGTATTGCCACTTTTCAGTTGACAAACCATAACCCCCAGAACCCACATGAAAAGGCCACCTTACGCTTTACAGCATAGGGGCATAGCAACGACCAATAGGCCCTGTAACAAAGCAGGTAGCAAGGGACCCTTGCCAGGGCCCAGTGCACCTTAAAGCAGTTCTATTCAACTATCACAAAACCTACAAACCCACCTTATAGCTTGATAGTTAGGGGGGGAGATAAAGCACTTAAGTATGGGGGAGGTAATGCTGTTAAGCGCAACAACGAAGTGAATAGAACTGGGGGGCAGGGTGCCCTAGGATGCTGCCTTATATACATGAGGGAAAACCCCCCAGGGACCGGTAATGGACCCCTGGTACCTAGCTGGGTAAGGATTACTAAGTATCATGTGCTCTATGATGTCATATATGATGTCATAGTCTGGCCCTGCCCTGCCCTGGGCCTAGGGTCCAGAATTGACCGGCCTATGGCCTAGTGCCTGAGCCTAGCTCCTACCTATGATGTCAGAATGATGTCATGGTCCAGAAGGAGTCTGGTTTCTATCTAGAAAAGGTCCGGCATCAGAGTCCAGCCTGATGTGTCCAGAACAAGATCATGTGTCGCTTATTTAAGCGGATAACCCCTTAGATATGCAGCTGTCCCATATGCGGACGGATAAATATGGATAAGTCCCTATACCCTTTGATATGTCCGCAGAAATAGCGGAAAAATTAGGTAAAATTAGGGAAACTGTGACAGGTAGTTGGCACACTGAGTCGTGAGGAGGATCGACTGCTCCGATGTCGGGCCATCGAGGGCGGATGAAGCTACTAGGAAAGATGAGGAAGGGGAAAAGAGCTGAGGGAAACGTATGCCATTCTCCCAGGGACAGGGAGGCCATACTGTGAGCGCGATGCTGCGGACCACATAAAACATCAATGCATGGACGGTGGTTCTGTGGTCAAACTCTGTGCACGGAATAGGCGTCCTCATATTTCGTTTGTGCAGGGCGTAAACAGTATCTTGATGCGATCGAGCACTTAGGGTATATGAAGAACTGTCAAACACTCCCGAAGCAGTGATGAGTCCCCGGAATCACAGCTTGGAGGCCCACAGCTCATCAACATTCGAATTCTGATCGCCGCGAGCGAGCGCTCAACATACAAGGTTTGATGCATGCCATTCTCGTGGGTGCCTTGATGTAAGGGCGTCCTACTCACTAGACATGATTTCAGATGATCGAGGCATTCGATGTACATTAGATCGCACCATTTGGTCAATCCACGAGACTTCGGGACTTCGCAACATGCAAGCTATGGCACGGAGGAATGTAGCACGAAGGGGCAGACACAAAACATTCCTCACGAGCTGGTTAGACGCGAGACGTACAAGCCTCGCGCCGTAAATGCGAGAGTAGGGCCACCACTGTGGGTAATTAGACCTGTGGAGTGTGCCCATGAGGGAAGAGGACGAGCAATAATATGTCAGTAGAGAACATTCCCGTGGAAATCGAACGCACAGTAATAGCTTAGAGTAACAGCACATCATAGATTAGCGTGCTGGCAGCTATTGGTGAAATCAGATGCGCACGACACGGGAGGTAGACAAGTGCGCACACGCTAAGAGCGACCCACTCCTGAGTGTTAGATTTCTGGCAGGGATCGAGACTGAAGACAATAGGATAAATCGTGTTTGACCCGGCTTGTAGCCAGCAGTAGCCAGCAAACACGTAAGGAACTAAGTACAGATCGATCGGTGTAGTATCATACGTGATCTACTACTGTAAGTATCGACTGTAATTTCCAACACTGGGTCATCTGCGCACGTAACGCTGCACCGTGATGCAGGCTCATGACGCATTCGCAGGCCTCATTTACTCAGATGCCTCAACCATCTGCGCATTGTGATTTATGACCAGACCGGAGTGAAGAAATTAGGGCCCACCATTCTGCGCGATGTCACCAGCTCGCAGCCAATTTCACAACTCTCGATGTGAAAAGGTGGTTAGCGTACCTTCAGAAAGCAGCGTAGTCATTATGCGTTCGCTTTAAGGCATAGGTCAAGATGAGCAGCGGCACGCTCTTACAGCAGAGTAAACGGCAGATAGGGATTGAAGGGGCATGGCTCAGGACTCGACGCGTTCAGGAAACGAGGACTGGAGCTCAGGACCCACCACATTGTTCTTCTACCTCGCCCTCAGTGCCGCTCTCACTCCACACATCTCAACAGTGAACACTTGCAGCGTAGGTCGGAGAAAGGCGGGGCTAGGCAGAAACGAGCTTTGAGAAGTGCGACTGCACGTCGGATCGCGGGCAGCGAGAGACAAGCCCTTTTGCTCACGCGATGTCCAAAGAAGGGACTCTATTGTAGGCTAGTAGATGTGCGCGTCCCATTGTTTCAGGAGAGTGCGACGGCGACAGAAGCTGTGAGCCGGAAGGAATGCAGAGATCGATGACGAGAGCGCCCGTCAACCTGCGATCGAGACGGGGCGCTTGTTTCAGACCTTACCTGACGTCACTGCTCTCTCTCTTCCCTTGTGCGCACGAGCTGACGAACGCTGAGAAGAGCAGAAAATCGAGGCATGCGATTGGGCTGGCAGTGACATTCTCGCACAGAATCGTCAACACTTCCGGTCAATATGTTGTTCTGACGTCTGCACCTGTGATAGAAACCATCTCCAGAGCCAAAATTTGTCCTTACTTCGTAGGTACATACATTGACCAGAACAAATCACGCAGCAGATTCCACGGCACTCCCTCATCGCGTCCAGTGAGCGCAGCAGAGTCACATATCGAGATTCGCAGACAACACCATCACCTTCGCGCTGAAATAGGGTAGCGGTCGTATGCCGATGTATCTAAACGTACATGAAAACGGAAACACTCGAAGGTAATGTGGTATCTGGTACGCGACAGTGTCATTCAAGACAAGCAAGAATTTGACTCCTCTCAAAAGAAATACACAGACGCCGCGCACTCCCGGCGAACGGTTGTCCGAAGCGCAGGCTTGACAAGAAACAGTTGCGCGCGTCGATTGAAATGCGGCAACATATATCAAACAATGTTCCCCGCGCCGGCAGCGCTGCAATGTTGTGACTGCATTCATATTGCTCGTCTGTGTCTGAGAGGCAAAGATACAGGATATTCATGTCGAATCGCAAGGAATGAGTCTTGCAGAAAACACTATATCTCCGTCAAAGACCGTGGGATGGCAAGGATGACGCCTCAAGTTTTGTTAATAGCGACACTCGAGAGTCTATCCAAGAGATCAGACGACCCACCAGATGCAGCACGCTCCCAAGCTTGAGAGGTCGAACAGCAGCCATCATGCATATAAGAGGGTCCCCAAGTCCTAGCGATGCATCATTGGTCAGCTGATGTTCGCAGCTTGACGGAATGGAGGCCAGATACGAAGAGACGCGAGAGTGAAAGGACGAAGTGTAATACAGCCGCGAAAGCTAGCACAGAGTAACCTGAGCGCCGCCGTGACAACGGTCACTGTCCGGAAAACACGTGAGGTGAGGACGCAATCACTACAGCCAACAGCTCCGCAGCTGCATTCGAACGATATTGCCGTCATTATCTACTGGCTACAGAGAGACCGAAGCATGTGCAAGTCATGTTCCTTTTGGATTGGATTTCCTGCACCTACACCCTTTGCCCAGTTAATGTCACTTGTGTTGATCGTCGGCGGATATCTAGCTTCGCCCTCCTGGCCGCACCAGTCAAAGTCGATGAGCATCAATCCCTTGTCGGTGTCGATAACGTTCGGCTCCCGCAGATCTCCGAACACCAGGCCCTCGGAGTGTAGCTCCTCGACCGCTTCTGTAAGCCTGCCGACGTACAGCGGGCCGCCTTCCTGTTCTCTCTCCTCGACGTAGTCCATCACCACGACCCACAGACCGCCGACGTCAGGGACTTGCTCGCAGAACCATAATTGCGGCGCGAGACCCTTCGCAGCGAGGAGCTGGTGCCCCCTCTTCCCGTATATGTACGTGAACTTGACGATGACTTCGTCTTCCTCCGTGCCGCGCTGTGCGATGGCCCGGAAAATCGCCCGCTCAGCCCGCCGGACCATGTGCTCCTTGTATTGCAGCAGCACAGTCTGTCCCTCGAATTGGAACGAGTCGAAATGGGGGCTGATGATGACGGGGGGTGTCGACTGCGCAGCAGCTCGCTCGGGCCTCGCAAGCCGCAAGCCAGTGTAATGGACATCAAGGTCGGCAAGGCAGCCCTTGAGGACGCGGAACAGGTGTGCCACCTTGAGCACGGCTGTGTCAAGGGGCGATCCCGAGATGGCAGCAGTAGGCCCAAGATATATATATTCCGTTAGGCGTTGGCTGACGAAGCCGTCAGCAAAGACAGCACCCGACACCTGGAGGTATGGCCCTAAGATGCCGATGAGGAATGTAGGACAGCAAGACATCTGGCGGAGCAGTCTATACTGCGATACAGTCAGAGCCTGCAGATCATTGCCCAATGCCACAAGCGCTCACCTTGTTCGAAGCGTGCAACGATACGTAGCAGCACTCTGCTTGCACCGTCGGATCGCAGCCGCCCTCTCCAACCTCATTCTTCACTTCCGTGATTAGCTTCACCGCCAAGTTTGGTATGCACGAAGCATAAATGAGACCGTCCGGCATGATAGTCGAAGTATCGAGACGCACTTGCCTGCACGAAAGCACGTCGCTGTGGATGAGAGGTTGCATGTAGGGGCTCAACCCTTCGATCCTCTCGCTTTTGTTCGGATACAAAATCAAAGCCGCAGTCACAAAATTAAACGCGTTCTTAAGCTCATCGGAGTCGACTGGTGCTCTTTCCGAGATCTCTCGCATAAAGCGGGCGAAAACAGGGTGCCAGATAGCCACAGATGGCGCAGAGAGGGACCACGGGCGCCCATTGTGCACGGCGTCTGGTCGATCCGAAACCTGTATGGCACGGTAATTAATGGGCTTCGCACTGTCTGGGGGACTCTTGCGGTTTCGTGCTTTTGCAGCGATCTCTTCACCTGGTTGTCGATCGAATTGCAAACAGAGAACAAGAGATTAGGTGGCGAACATACGCGATCGGCTATGTTCAGGAATTGGGGACAACGCCAGTGACGAGGTTGTGCTTGTGTCATGACGTGAATTTGTAGCTGGGAAGATAGTGTTATATACCACAGCGTGCAATGTGTCGGCGGACACGCACGTTTTACTATCACAATGATCTCATTTTCGACTTTGGCCCACTCGCGACCCAACCGAAGCATGCTGGTCCTCTTCGCGATATATTCTTCATTAATTGTTCCAAAGGACTCCTTCAGCTTCTCCCAACTCATTTTCCCAGCAATGTTCAGAGGCTCCAGGAGCTGGGAAGTGAACTGTCAATTCAGGCTGACGTCTAGAGTAGTCGAGATGTACGAGCCTCATACACATTGTGCGTGAACCAGCGCGGCGCCCCATCACCATGCATTCGATTTAATTCCTCAGCTATCATAAGAAAGAGAACGGTACGCTTTTCCTCTGGATTGAACTCCACGGAGACAGAGCCGACGAAGGCGTAAGTGTGGGCAGGTACGGTTTGCTCAAAGGCATAGACGTAATGTTGGATTGGCTGCGACAGGGTCAGGTATCTCTGGAGAGCTTGAGCAACAATTGCGCGTCAGGTTGGACGGGACGGAGTGGTAAAGCAAGCGGAATCTACAGCGAGCTATCCTCCCCGGCTAGGCAGCCTATAACTGGAGCGTCCGTTCTGAAGGTAGGAGGATGGTCACTCTATAGGTCTCCTTCAAAACGCGCGTCTGGACCTAGTCCGATTCAATTTGAGGGGTCCGAACTGTAAGACGCGAACTCGCCTTACATAAGCATTTTGATCTCCGAAACGCGTCGTGTAGATCTTGGATGTCGCAACGCGTCACGGAACCTAAGGCCGCGACGTATAGCCGACACATACCACAGAGCCGAAAACAAGTATGGAGCCGAGCTCACATCTACATCATTGTCTCACCGAGGATCCTAGGGCGAGTTGGGCAGTAATGGGATCATATTCCAGATGTCCGCTCTGCTGGCAGATCTGTTGGAACAACCGGTGCGACGGCGCGGGGGCGCGTTTGTCCACGAGCGTAGCGATGCCCGTGAGGGACAATCGCGTGCGGTACGTACATCGCGCGGGGTCGTTATATACTACGATAGGGGCCTCCGGCCCCCGGCTACTCGCGCGCCCGAGCTTGCGAGCTCGTTCCTGACCGCGCGGGTCAGCGCGTTTCAACAAGATCGGCATCAAGTAGACAGGTCTCAATGCTTGAACAGTATGGTCACTTCTGCCATGAATGAAGGCAGTACTTCACGCGGTGGTGCCTCGCGGGTTACAATTTGGAGCGTCGATTACGCTCAGTCCATTCTCTGGTCACATAACGTCCTGTGACGAGGAATGTGAACGCTCGCTTCTGGGCGTGTTTGTTCACGCTAGCGTACATGATGCAGATGACAACAAAAGTATAGCCACGGGAAGAATGACAGGCAAGGCTGTGATCTTGAAAAGTGATAAGGAGATGCAACGTAAGCGAAAGGACGGGTATAGTCGTGCTAAAGTAGAGCCAAGTTACTGAGCAGAATGCAGAACGAGGACAGTGATATTCGTGCCTGGGCGTGTTATGCGCGAAAGACTCAAAAGAGTGGTGGCGTCCAGACTATTCCACATGATGTAATCATGCGAGCACGCACGAGCGAGATGCTGATGACCAGCCTCCGCGCATTGTCTGGGAATTAGTACAGCATCTTCATAGAACTTGTGTTGACACCGGGAGCCGCAGGCCGATGGATGGCTCACACCCGTTGAGCAGCGTATCACCACCTGAATGCGCGCGGCGCGATCGCGGGAGTAGGCCCGCTAGAGGGATTTGCACATGGGAAGTACGCGTTTCCAGGCGCACCATAGCATGTCCGGTCTGACACAGTCAGCGGCCGCCGCCCAGTAGAAGAATCCTTGCCGCGGCACGGTTGTAATGAGGATGCATCGCAATTGTTATCTGGCCAGAGGCATCGAAAGTGCAAGCATGCATAGTTGCCAATGATCGCTTGCGCACGTGAGTAATCAACGAGCGAGTTCACTAGGTGTATAAGAAACCATGGATTAGATAGGCAATGATATTGACCAATACCACGCATGGTTTCAGACGCGCCATACATTGGAAGCTGACGAAGCCTAACGATTGCGAAGAGGAGATGATGGGACCAAATCACTGCCAACCGGAAGAAGACAGTGACGTCTAGACGAAGATGCCGTATGTAAACAAAGCGACATACTCCAAGGACGATTGACCACCAGTGCCTGCTTGCTTTTTTGTGAACACGGTACTCGTGGCTGCGCAGGGCTAACTCAGTGACGTGTTACCACAAGTCGTCGCAGGACGCGTCCTTAAGCCATCAGAATGAAGATCTACGAGGTGCTTCGCCGTGGGGCTAGAGAGTGGGGATCTGCGACAGACATAGCTCTTGCAAGCAAAGGGGTGCCATCGGGTGAACGCAAACACACGATCCGGAAGAAAGTAAAGAGGAGTTCCACAGGTCGCTGAAGGAGAGGGAGCACCGGGCAGAGAAGCAATGTAATGCACGTCTCGCGAGAACACCGAACAGCCAGAGCAGGGGGACCACGAGATGCAGACAGCATACACCCAGCGGAGCGAGAAGGGTGGGAAGAACAAAGGGCAGACTCGAAGCGAAGGAGCCTCACCGCAGCACGTTCGGTGTCACGGCAAGGCCTCACAGTTGTGAAGACAGCCATCCTTCCCCTATCTTCACGCCGTATGACCTGCGCCCCATAAACGGAGTGGTCAATACCAATACACCTAAGATGTTTGTGTAGTAGTAAGTATAACTACCTGTCTGCACAGGAAATACGCGGTGACGAACAATGCAGCGTCTTCCTGGCTTGATTCGTCGTTGCATTTTTCTGACGCGGAGATTTTCACTGGCGTGCGCACGAATAGCACTGAAGACTGCGTATAATGGCGGAGCATCGGCTGTATCTGTTGGCTGCGGATACACAAACATAGACGTTTTTGTTGCAAAGGAGGGATGACAAGGATAGAGGAACGACAATACAGCATGGGCGAGGCCGTACTTTGTTGCCGCGGTATTTAGTAGAGTGGGTAGAGTGGTGAGCTTTGAGAATCTTCTGAGTGTATGAAATAAGACTCACCAGTCCAAGATGGGAGGTGGCTTCTGCGGAGAGGACGAGTGTTCAGTAACGAGAGCAGCCTTAGGACGTACCATGGCTATAGTAACCCATCCCTCCCTCCACGGGACGGACGATATATTGTCTATCCTCAGCGGCACACGAATTCAAGGACAATACTGGATACATGGTCGAAATGCGAACACACGACATGGAATGTCGAAAGCGAAGGGTGCGAGATCAGTACTGGGATACCGGTGACTACCTGAGTGAGGACTTGTAAAGCGTAGTTCAAAGGTGCTGTATCGGCCACAGATGATGTATTCATGGAGTAGAGACCAGTGGATAGTCTCAGCATGGGTACATGTCAAGGGGACGGAGGTAAGAGCGACGCTGACTGCGAGTGAGCGACAAAGGCCGCCAGTTGGATCTGAAGAGCGACAGAGAAGAGGACAGCCAGGGATGACTCCAAAGAGGAATGTCCAATGAAACTACGCATTTCTGTTCTGTGAGGGATCAGCACAGCGCTTGAGCAGGCTAGTAAACGCCCGTGAGGTGGCCATCAGGCGCAGGCGCTGATTGAGCGCTCTATTCAAGACGGAAGGTGCATGGCTTTGCGACCAATTTGAAGAACAATGACGACGGGGCGTCCTCCGGTGGGAACGCTGCATACCACGCGCAGCATACGCGCCCGTCCCTCCCGGACGTATACTCGATAAACTATCTCCAGCGTACATAGTTAAGTGCCTCGTGAGCCCCGCTCCCGTCATCTCTCGCACAGCACACTCTCAGCGATAGTCTCTCTTATACAATGGCGTTGGTCAGTATCTGTTTAGAGCATTTGTATGAGGCGAGCACTGTGGTATGTAACAAGACATCACCCCTCCATGGCTACTCTCACAACCCATCCCATTGGGTCCGAACAGGGTTATTGGCGAGCCCCTCAAGAGATGTCGGTATCGCGCCCCAGTTCATATGTGATGCTGTATTACTGTCCACCACACAGTTGCGTTTAGTATGAGGCATTATATGACAGCACGCGAAACAATGCCTATCTCTTCAGGAACAGATAGTATAACGCCACGAGCTCACGAAGGTGTACATACTGCCCGCAGACTAACGCGAACATCCCAAAATGCTGAAGCAACGGCAGTGCGACTTAGCTTCCTTCAACCTACGTCGTCTATTGCATCGGAATGCCCTCAAACAGCCGTGGATGCTCCCTCTATGCTTCATCGACATCTCGTGGCGCTGGTGAAAGGTTCTCAGGTCTATGTGCCATGTCAACATTGAGCATGGAGGGTAAAATAAGGCACATACGAGTTGGTGGGATAGTTCATGATATCACGTATCCCATTTATTCCATATGCTACATCCCCTTGCCAGAGGTCCTCGGCGGGGCATTTCAATGCACACTTCTCCAGCGTTTTGTAGATGTCCCACGTGAAGAGTGTACAATTGTGAGCAGACCGCGCGATATCCGCTTCCGCAAGCCGGACGCATGCACTAAGGAGGTCCGAGATTAACCTCCAATTGCTCAGCTGGACCACCTCATTTATGCCGGAAGAGCTGAAGTAATCAACAACGATGTCCAGCACGCCACGAACATTGCTATGAACGCGATCGAAGTCGTCAGGCGGGAGCTGTGAGGAGTGAAGTAATGCTGACGATGCGGTTTGGAGGAATCGCTCGGCACTAAGCCGCTCGCGGGCGTGTGGTAGCAATGTGAGCAGTTTCCGGGTGTCTGCAGAGTACGCGATGAGCATGGTGTGGACAGTATAGGGATAAGGCGGAAGGACATACTCTCGATGTTTAGTCGGAATAGGTAATGAAAGTAGTCTGATGGTTACAAAATAGTCAAGAGCATCCTGGGAGAGCGCAAGAGTAGGAGATAGGAATAGGCGAGGGAGGTTGGCATAGACTGATGCAGCACTAGGAGTGGTATGGCACGCCTCGTGTATGACTTTGAGGACAAGGAGTTGATGTTCTGCATTTCCTTCCCAGGACTCTTGAGCTAGTTTTTCAAGGATATGCAGAGTGCAATTTGTCAAGACGATGTTCGATGAATCAGCTTTCGGGGATAAATCTTTGAACTCTTTCAGTAGTATGTTGAGAAAAGGTTTCAATGAACTATGCCTATCTGCAGCATGGATCCAAGCCGGGAAAGCATATTCCAAGAAGCAGCCTGGGCATATTGTGAGCTACGAAAGGCATTCCTGCGCAAACAACCTACCATCTGCCCCATTGACAAGCTCGTCTATGTGTGCCTCGTGCAACTGCCACTGATGTGTTGCTGCCCATTGTATGAGATCTCTCGCACGGTCACATACCATTCTCGCGGGATCGATGAGCGGCATTGCTCGGATCAGCTGTAGAAGATGATCCACAAGTCCATGGGAGTTGCGAGAGCCCGGGCTGTCGTATTTCAGAAGGACATCAATACAGAGGTCTGCCATCGCAATGATCGCAGCCGAATCTTGCTCGCTTGTCAGCCATTTGAGTACTGTCACGCCACAGCCCGCGTGATGCTCGACTATGACTTTGTGAGCTCGATGTCGAAGGATACGAAGAAGGGCAGGAACCGCGGATTCGAGAGAGCCATCCTGAAAGCAAGGATGTACAACGTTGACAAGGAATGCATCATCCATAATCATTTCATCCGCCTCCGCCAGCATCATCAGCTTCTCCTCCTCTGGTGTATTTGCAGCACGGACTAGCACGTTCTCGAATTCTCGCCAGTTCCGTGCCCCGAGGGTATTCAAATGCCATTTGCTCCATGACTCAGGTATACGGGGATACCATCGCATCCGGTTGCCGCAGTTGCGACCAATCTTTGGTAGCCTGCGCTGGATGTTGGTGGGCCGATGCGTCACGATTTGGAGGAGGACTGAGAAGGTGCGCGCAGCGCCGGATGGGAGCTTGCGCATGTGGTACAAGAGCGATTTCGTCAAAGATTGGCCTCTTTTTGCTATGTGCGCAATCATGGCGGCTGGGCGGAGTCGAACAAGCTGGTTCAGAGTGAGAATCTCGCGCAGGCCTGACAGCATACTTCTAGCGGATGCAGGAAACCCACGAAGACTTAACACCCTCCTCGTAGTAGCGCCAACCATATTGGACATGCGCATCCAGAGCATCTTCCCACACTTAACAACGCAGCGGCTGTGGGTGAACCTATTCAGGATTACAAAGCACCACCATGCGGCGCGAGATTTGTACGGACAGTCGGCATCGAAATACGGCATGAAGATGGTGAAGAGCGTCGGCAGGAGTAGTGCGGCGATGATGATCGTCGAGATGCTAGCAACAACGTAGTCCAGACGCCAGACAATATTGAGGAGCCCGACGAGGAACGATGCGAGCGAGATTTGGAGGAGGATAGGCAGACTGTCGATGATCGCCTGGACATGCCACTTCTGAAGACCACGCCGGCGCAGGGACCAGATGCGAACGCTCTGGCGTGACAGGCTAGAGGCTCGATCGATGTGATGATGCAGCCATTGGCCGACGGCGATGCTGATAGATGCGGCGCTGAGACTGAATATGAGTGCGATGAACCATAGGACGCCGGTGGAAATAGTGGTGGTTGTGGGAGCAGTGGTCGCTATTGCAGCATCGAGAGTAGCTTGTTGTGTGTTTGTGAGGTTGTGATTTGCGACGGCCGCAGTGAGAAGGCTGAGCTGTATGGACATGACGACGAGCACCTGAGTCGTCGCGTCTGGGGCCTGAGGGCCTAGCAGCATATAAAACGCAGCAAGAAATGCCGCCAGGATTGTCGAGAACAACCCCGCCTATCACCATGGTGAGTCCGGTGGAATCACGACGTTTCAGTCACTCACAAACAGCAGAAGATTGCTGATGTTCTCCTTCCATTTGTTGACCTGTCGCTCCTCGAATTTCCAAACTTCATCGGCGCAGAGGCTCCATGAATCATCGACCTTCTTGTCCTCGCCAACTATTCCACCAGCGACGGATTTGACCACCTTCTCGGATTGCTGAGCGGGTGTTAATCCTTCGTTGGCCTGTGGAACTCCATGTGGGCTTGTCTCCGTGACCTGATTGGGAGGTTCGATGTCATCTGCCCCTATGACTAGCGCAGGCGGGAGCTGTCCACCGTCGAACCACTGAATGGGAGCATAACATATATATTCATTATGGAAGATATTCCGTACCTCGCGACCGGATCCGCTGGATGCTGCCCGACCATCATACGCGTCTCCCTGAGGTTCTTCTGGGTACGCTCCGGCACTATATGGGGTATCTGACCAGCCGCCGCGCTGCTCATCCGAGGCCGTAGTGGCTTGTCCTTCTACCGTGACTGCATTTTCGATGATGATCGACACATTGACTCCGACAGGAGAGGATCGACTGCTACGTCTTCGGGGCATCGAGGACCGATCAAGGTACGAGGGTGGTTAGATGAGCAGGAGGGGAGAAAAGGGTGAAAGACGGCGTACATTCCTCTCTCAGAGACATGGAGGCCATGCAGGGAGCACGAGGCATCGATTCTGTGCTTTACACTGTGTGCGCGATAAGCGTCCTCTTGCCCTGGATGATACAAGGCACGATGACCATTCTAATGCGATCCAGCACATCGGACAACGCAGATAACCGCCCAGCGACGCAGTCATGCATCCCCGGATGTGCTGATTCAAAATTCCGGAACCCATCAGTCCAACGGTCTGCATGATGTTCATTGCAACCGAAAAGAGCACTTGCTATCAGAGTACATCGATAACTTATTGGAAGACACGCGCAAGCACTGCCTTGGTCTCTGAATGACGCAATGATTATTCGCGACACTGTCTGTATAGCAGCTCGCACATTGAACAGTGGGCTGTGTCAACGTGTCATCATCCATCGGCAACGCACACGCCAGTTGTTCGGCAGAGGAAGATTTGGGGTCGGCGTGATAGACGATCTGAGGCTCTGAGATAATACATGACGATGAGGACGCTGGGTAACGCTGCTTGCTGTCAAGAGGCCCTGCAATTAAGCAGTGGTCCCCAGAGCTGGAATCGTTGCTCACTTCATAGGAAGACGCGAATCTTACATCGCGCTCTCAGACGTGGACTCACGAAGGATGGAAGGGCAGGTGCTTTAGTTGATATAGCAAACATCGTATCTCTCGCGGAGCACGACCCGTTGCTTGTTCATGGAGCCATAAGACGAGAGATGGCGGGGCTAAGAGACATAAGTCAGCTCTCGCGAAGTGACTGGACGCGGGACGTACATGCTGCCTGCCACGGATGTCGACGCAGTCAATAATGCGCGTCACTGAACCCGTAGGGCGAGCATATAAGATTGGAAATGGCCATTTATCAGGGATGTAATAGGGCAGCCGCTTCATCAGAGGACGTGGGATTCGATTGACGTCATTCCAAGATCTTTGTAAGGAAGCTAGGGATATTGCCCGACAAACGCACGAGGATTGCCTAGATTGACGTCATGGGTTCGCGGATCAGAAGCTCTGTGTCGAGCACGCACACATGAAATACGGGAAATAGAGAGAGGAGAGCGCGGGCAAGAAACCAGCCACCACGTCCCTTGCGCTTCTGAGTGGTTGCGAACGGGGGATCCAACAGGTGTCGAAGAGCATGCGGGATACACTAGATAGATATCTGCAAAGAGATCGAAGCTCAGAAACGAGGTGCCATTATGCAAGCAATGACGCACATAAATTGGATGGGAGACGTGGTGTCATTCACCAGCGTCATGATGCGCCCGTCGTTGACCTGTGGAGAGACGTAAGAAGCTCATTGCGCAAAGTAAAGCATCGTATATGCACCTGGTCCGACTTGTTTTCACGCCCAGGACAGCCGCTGTGAAACCGCTGGTCGCCTGTCGTAATTCACCTTCTACTAAGGTGCGGTCGCATCCAAGTGGGAGACCCTGCGATCCTGTCATGCAATGAGCTCGCGCCGGAGTGAGCTCAAACTACTTGTGTCCGCTGTTGCACAAAATAGTAGAGCACCCCGCAGGCTTTATACAGTATGTGCGAGTCCCCTTATTATGCGTATTCACTGGTCAGACCTTCGCGCATCATGCTCTATCACTCTATGAGGACGCAGCTATATCTGTACAGCTCGATGTGAGGACATAGATGTTATATCCTCAGACCACGGACGGGTAAATATCAGCGAACGCGCTGGCTCTCGTGCTGCTTCTCTGTGAGTGGCGACAGATGTAGGTAGAGAATCGGCAGACTTCATGACAATGAATCGTACGTTATTACTGCATGAAAACAATCGATCAAGGATCCAATGAAGACGGCTAATAAGCGAATGTTGTCGAGAATCAAGGAATAAGGGCACACCATACTGTTCTGCTATTCCACGCTCGTCGCCGTGCTCACTCTACTCATTCGCAATCACAGACAAAATTGCATGAACTCCTAGGCGTGGCCGACGATCGTCTGAATTGCAAGCTGGAGTGGATGGATCTCGAAGGGAATTTCAGGTTCCAGGATAGCGAGGTAGATATATTGGTCGCATATTATGCAATGCGGTAGTAAGTGAAAAGCCGATCTAGTATGTGTGTCAGATCGTGTGCAGCTAGACATAAGCATTTTTGTTGTGTAACAGAAATAGCGAACCAGAGGCCACAGTCCTGCTCCCGCAGACGCGGTGATCGATGACGACAAGCAATGGGCCTTTCAAGCGCTCGTGAGACTGCGATCGGGATTCTACTCCGCGTCACCGCTTTACGCTCTACCCTCGCGCATACGAGCATCCACTACGCACCGCACCAGTAGTACCAGTACCATCACTGAGGCAGATACTCCGTGCACTAGATTACCATCAGTAAAATACTGTGGGAAGGGATCTCAACTTCTCTCCACGGGCTGTCAGTGGCATTCTGCCGGCGACCCTAATGCCTACAAATGTTTAGAAACCTCTCGCGGGATCATAGCTTACCAAGCTCATGGGTCACAGACTTCAACATGTCAACGTCAACACCCGATCCTCCGTGAACCCCTGCTCTTTCCGAGTGTTCTGCTGACGGTTTCATCACAAACGTCGCTGATATGACATGTGAAACAGCACTAGGTACAATGTAAAAATATTTTGTCCATGACTCCTTCTAGGCCGTATTGGGTCCTTATTCCTTGGTGATGCCCATGCTAGACTAGCACTCGAGCCTGTATTGAGTCGGGCGAGGTATGCTGCGACCCTCGAGCTCAGTTTTCACACACGGTTACTCATGTACATATGCAAACTAAATACGTTTCCATCTCCCGCTTACATAAATTGTTGCGTCAGGCCCCTTGCAATAGTCACTCGAACGCAATAGCGCCGGGCAGCGAATCTTGGGAGTCTTCGTACCAGGTATATACTGTCGTATGTGCCGAGACTTCTCTCCTCTTTGGAGCTCGTATTATCTGGTTCCCAATTACACTCTCGCGCAGAATAGATCGAGCATCTCAAGTGCTGCGGATGTCGTGCCCCAGTCCATGTCTGATGCTCTCTATATATCCAATATACAGATGTATCTGGTCCGCCAATCTCTGTATTATCACGCGAGAATGCAGGCCTCCAGGGAACAGATTATATAACGTCACGAGCTCGCAAAGGTGTACATACCGTCCGCAGCTCAATTCGAGAGGCCCTCACTTCCAAACCGACGCTAATGTGACCGTGCGTACATCGCTGTCTCTGACTTCCACTTGGTGAGATTGATGTCAGGAATCGAGACCGATAACAACCGAAGACAATAGAATTAACGGCGTTTGACCCGATTTGTAGCCAGCAAACACATAACGAACGAACGAACGAACGAACGAACGAACAAACGAACAGTATCATGCGCAGTCATGTGATCAACTATCGTAAGTAACGACTGTATTTCCAATAAATTTCGCCTACTGCATTAAAGCACCCTCGGTGACGATTGTGTCATAGTCCACAGCTGCTCAACAAGGCCGACTAGGAAAAGAGCCATGGCGCTCTGCAGCACAAACGAGAGTGTGTTGATGATGGCCTGCACGTGCCACGTCTTGAGTCCGCGATGACGGAAGTACCATGGTCGGACACTCTGACGATCGAGAGATGCGCCACGATTGACGTGATGATGTAGCCACCGGCCGACAATAATCGCTGTCGCACTGGACCACAAGCTAAGGATGAGTGCGATCGTCCAGAGTATGCTCGTTGGCGGAATAAGAGAGAGGGGTTGTGCGGTTGGATCGACAGTTTGTTCCTGGTATCCGTAGAACGATACAATGTAGGCCGTCAGGATTGTCGAGAAGAGGCCCGCCTGAAGATTGAGAAGCTATTGAGAACTGGCCAGCGGACGAGCAACGTGTGACGACGTACAAATAGGAGAATATTCGCGATGTCGTTCTTCCAACGCTCCAGGCGCTCGTCTTCAAATGTCCACACCTCTTTGGCACGCCGGGCCCGCCCTGTCAGCTCCTCCTTCTCCGCTGACCTCACATATGTACGACCACTATCGGCGTTTAGCACCGACTTGAGGTTATCACGTTCAGTGCCGTCCTGCACTTTAGTGTCTGATAAGCGACCGTTGTCGAGGTCGCTTCGTCGTCCTTCGCGGTCGATAGGAATTGTACCGTGGTTTTCACTGGTAACAGGCTGCTGCTGCTGCTTTTGTATGAGCATTTAGAGGTTTCATCGTCTGCGGTAGACGTACCAAAGGCGATATTACAGTCTGGTGCACCGAGGTATGCTGCTCTTCAGCCTGTGCCTGAAATTGACCAACTTCGATTCCGTTCTGGGGTGTCGTGTTGAGCGGTAAGCTCGATGGTGCATTCTGTTGCCGTATGAGTAAGGCCGAGCTATTTTGACCTATCTCTTTGACAGCACTGTACGATGAGAGGGCTCTCGTAGCAGACATAGTCGGCGAAGCCACGCCAGAGACGGATCTATGGACGAGAGACGAGAAGGAACATCTCGCCAGTGGGATATATTGGCGATAGACGCCTGCAGGTCCCAGACATCGATCTTTGCTTGAATCCGTGCGCTCGGAGATGGATGTGGGATTAGTGCTAGTGTGTGCGCGATCATGGAATGATAGACAAAAACGTGTATCTCAACACGCACTGTCCTGCATTCGCGTCCTACTTATCTGGTGTAGCAGGCCATCGCGTGAAAGGCACATGCGAGGACAGGCTGAGCGAAGGGTAGGCACACGAGGTTAACAAGACATGCCTAACGTATACCGCGCAGCAACACTCACCATCGAGATCGGAGTGCTGCGTGTTTGCATCCCAATGGGATCGCGCGCTTTCCATATCTTCTGATGGGCATAGCCGTGAGGCCGCTTCCACGGTATCGGTATGAACATGCCTTTCGTATATGCGAGCGTTGGCTGAACGCAGGACGCAATGTCCAGCCAAGACGCTGGATGTGCCATTGTTTGCTTTGTACTGACGAGCACGGACGCAGATCTCTCAGGAAGCAAAGTCAAATGCGGAGTCCCGAGATTGAAGTCTAAAAGAAGAGGGAAATGCCTGCGGAAGGTCGCACACGATGTTCAGCTACATGCCGCATCATGCGTGAACAAGATAGAGAGCCCTGACATCCTTGTACCCGTACAGCACGTCACGACACGCGGAACTGACTCATGACCTGGACTCTGGGACGCTCTTAGCTGATTGTGTGCGCAATCTCGAAGCATGCATAAACACCATGTGAGCTAACGCCAACCCTGAGACGAGCGGTAGGTATCTAGCTCTTACGCGTGAGCTAGGATATATGGAGTGATGGTCTGGAGTGTGGAGACGCCATCCAAACGCACATCCAGTGCGCTGTGGCAGGGATGTATCCATGCTACATCTCCACTACACAGCAAGGCAGGAGTGAAGCAAAAAGACGAAGTGATCGGTCATATCGCTCGTCAGCGATGATGGCCGGATATATTTAGCAGCACGCACTAAGGTGTGAATCTCGCCGAGTCCCAAGGCTCCTGTCTGCGCTTGAATTAGCCTGGAGTGGCCGCTTCAGATCTCCACGACTATTCCGGGCACCAGCCGTTCCAGAAGGGAAGCAGATAACCTTGCCAACCTTCCTGATACTCTCGAGCTATACCTTTCTTAAGTTGAGAAGATTTTGAGAGTATGATAGGGGATCCGAGAACAACGCATTTGATCAAGATGGGACACAGACCGACCAGAGGTATGATAACGACCTGGACCCATAGGTTGCCACTGAAGCTTCGAGTGAGAGTTGCTGGAGCGTACCATAACCCTCAGACATCTTTGACAACGTACTCGACTGAGACGGGGTACCGAGCTCCACAATATTCGAAGCTTTGTGATGTGTGCAGTAGGAGTCATATAATTTCAAGAGGAATGAAAATGCACACAACGCAAGGTGTGTTCGTGTGCAAACCGATCGCAAGGCGGGATAACCTCAAGATTACAGACGAATGCCTCTAATCCCAGTGCCAACAAGTGAGAACACGTTTGCCGTTTAGTGGAAAGATCGACATGCACGACCTATCGCGAAGCGTAGAGTATCAACGGTGGCTCGAGAGAGGATGCTGACAGCATCCTGACTGAAAATGTAATGATGTGCACGCTTGTGCACGTCCCGGCCCGGCTTTAAAATCCGGCCTGGCTTGAGGCTCGGGCCGGCTCAGGCCCGAGTACAAAGGTGGACTCACCAGACGGCTGATGTCAGGAGCCTGGTTACTGACGTATTGTGCCATCTTGGGTAATAGTCGGCAGACCCCAAGTCAGCAGTTTCCTGATATCTCCGTCACAGTAGTCTTATAACCCATGGCTTAAATCAAAACGAGGTAGGCGTAAGGCGCACCTTTGGAGGTATCATGAGGATAACCGCCTCCTTTCCCGTAGAATGATCGCATCTTCGATATCGCCGACGTTCCTTTCCTGAGACAATTCCTTGAACCTGCGCCGGCTCTGAATATCCTTCTCCGACGTGTCGACTCCCGACTCCCAAGTTGCCTGCGTGATGTTCCTCCTCTGTCATAATCTCCTTCATATATCCTCCTTCCACCACTCATCTTCAACAGCTTATGCTTCCACAAGCTTTCTCTCTCTCGTCTTCAGCGATCATTCGAGAACCTCAATATGACCTTTCATGCAGCAATATACAGACTCATACTCAAATTACCGTCCCCTTCTCGCTATGAGAGCATCCTGGCTGTGTAACCCATGTACTATTCCTTCGGGCACCAATTATTGACGGTCCCCGACTTTTGACCCCGTCTTCCGAGCCTGTGCTTCAATGCGTGTTGTCAATTTCAACATATTCAGGCGTACACTTCGAAGACCAGCAGGCCGCATGGAAAACTCTACACGGACTGTATCATCTTGTATGTACATCCCACGGAACCTGTGCATGACAAGGACCGGTCGCACCGCGCACGGCTATGTTTAACAGGTATGTCTATATCATGCCCTACCGGAGGGACTACGAGGGACTACGTTTAGCCTTTTTCTCCACAGATATTACTCCCCGTCTCCGCGACGCAGGCTACTCGACGCGCGATCTGTGTCATTTCGTGGTATGATCATCAACTAGAATGTCTGTTGTCGTCTTGATCCCGCAGTCCGTGTGCCAATGGCGCGATCTTCCGCCCAGTACCGCAATTGCTGGGAAGCCATTAGCGACATCGAACGTGTGTATGCAGCCTTTATAACATCTATTAGGCAAGTTTGCACCATTCTCATTCATATCAGATGCGATTTCTTTCTTACTTCCGCGTGATAGAACTGCAAATGCGTCGTTCAACCGGGCTTTTCTGGCGTGCAGAGAGATCTCTTCTAGAACTCAATGGTGTATCCAGCTCTCATTGGTCACAGTGCGCTAGTTGCGCTTGGCATAGAACGACGAACAGTGGGGAGTTCTTGTCTTGTGCTGTCGGACCTGACTAGATAGCTGCATAAGATCAGTGTGCCTGCGTGACACATTCTACGGGGAATACAGTAAACAAAGGCCGTGTGACCAGTCAGCAGCTAGCGTGGAAAGGGACAATTCGTGACTTTCACTCTACATAACGAGTCCACACTTGACAGTCCGAAACGCAGATCGCTATTGGCGCCCCTGATCTTCGTATCGGCACTATTGCAGCTATTTCGAGCTTCGTATAACAAAGTCATCAAGCCCATGACCACTAGCTTCTGATCCCCGCGGCATCATTGTAAAGGTATATAGCATACGTTGACAGCTTTGCGTTGGGATGCACGCACAGTTCCGAAATAGGACCCATCGGGCGAGATACTGCCGGCCGGCGCTTCCATTGGCCATTGTGATTAGTCCCTTCTCATGCTATCTGGCCGTCTCCGTAAACCGGTGGCTACGATCACCGGAGAATTCATTGTTGACGTTCTGAATGGACGCATAGCCTCTGTACCAAGCAATCATCCCGGTGAAGGAAGCGCTGCCTCGCAATTGCAACCGTTCTGACTATCGCACAGGATTTGATGCACGTACGCAACTATGACCTCGAAGTCATTGACATGGGTCCCGTGGTCAATGACGATTGAGATGGTGTGTAGGTATATCCGCGTAATGGTTGTTTGACTCAATATCATATATTGCATATTGCGACGCGAGTGTGACCATTTTCCAAGTCACACCCTTCATACGTTGGCCGCATTAAGTACAATCGTCATGGAGCGTGCATTGCACACCTCCGGCGAACGGTACACGAATGTCATGTTCTGTACCTGTACAATAGGGGTAAATTACAGCATGCCGCCATGGCTTTCTGCTTTGACGTCTTGATCACGTCTGTCCATTAGTCGTCTATGGTGTCAGGCCGGTCAATGGATCAAACACGACCTGGTGTCTCGTTAGTCGCTGGTGAGAATCATCGACAATTCTAGGGATTCGTGTCAACTGATCTTTTCTTCGGAATGCGTCTACAATACTAGAGGAGGCCGCTGCTACTCGAATCTCGGTTTGACTTGTTCAATTCAGGAACGCCTGCGGGATGCGCGTCGTTCTTTCTGGTGAGATCATTCCATCCAATCCAAATTGATCATTTGACGACATTCCCGGGATATGACGCAAATATACGTCGCAATGCTCACCAGGTCGTGAAGCTGAAAGTTGACCTTCGTGTACGTTTGCAAGCAAAATCAGTAAGAACCCACAAGTAAATCAGGGGTAGATGCCTCCGCTCAGACAACGGCGTTCTTATTCTTCGCGACCGATGGCGTGATTCGCTTCTGAATACAATAGGATCTTGAATTTCAGCGGACGGTTGCGAGGCCATACTCCAGGTGCCAACATTCCTGCTCTCTGTCATGCCAATTTTAGCTTCCTCCCATGCTACAGGACAAGTTTATTGGCCCTGTACGTGAGGTGATACTATACGCTGTCCGGGATTTTGATATCACCGTAAAGCAGGACCCGGCAGATGTTGCGCGCCACACGGGTGCCTTGCGAGTACAGAATACGCCGAGTCCGGCATTTGTGCTGGAGCGCTGGTCCAGTTGGAATATAAAAGCCGTGTCTCGGTAGCACCAACAAATCCCAACAGCGATTAGTTCTTCCTGCAAACGGTGAGATTTCTTTTCGCCCTCTACTCTCGTTTCACCACTAACGACCGTGTTTTTGAAAAAGCTGATTCTCGCCTCACAAGCAATTCACTCGCCCCTCAAATTCAGTTTTCACGTCTGTGAGTGCTCCCTGTTTCGGTTTGCGTGGTGTGTTTGCTGAGTAGTACAATGTCAGACACGCGCAATGGCCCCTAGTGCGTTGTCCTCTGTTGCTACCGACAGACGCCCTGATAATGACGCTGATTTCACTTGGCTGTCAAGATCTCTTCGACAAGATCCCGGCCAGCGACACCCAGCTAAGCGCGGCGCTACAGAAGGTTCGGACCCAGGCGGTCCCCCATAACTCCGATGGTGCCGACAAATTGTGGATTCTTGCCACCGACGGCACTCTGGAATGGAATCTCGACAACTATAGTGGGAAAGCTCCCTTTTCCAGTGGCGGGAAGGGTGTTGGTGTGTACTACGGAACCTGCATCACCATCCTCAAGGACAGCGAGATCGGATTTTTCGACCTCACAGTTAAGGAGGACGGCGTCACTCTCATCTTGAGGGATAGCAACAACCAGAACGCAGTACTGACCTACCCGGGCTCTGGAGCTGAGGACGGCATAGTCGGGTCTTACAAAGGCAATTGGAAGAAGTCGGCCTAGATCATGAGATGATACTACTGAGCCCGTCAGTTGTCCTTACGTTGGAGGTCTTGATGTACGAATATGCACGATAGTCGATATGAACGAAGTCAACGGCGCTGTGTCGGGTCGCTCTCGGTGATGAAATTCATCTGCAAACTGGACAATTCCTACGCGGAGCTCGCATACTATACCTAACGGCGTTCGGTCATTTTACAAGGAGTTGGTGTAGGTACAGTATGCAGGACCATGAGACAAGACTCACGAGCTACAGATCCACTGAAGCTCACGTCAGAGAACCGCCGGTATTCAGCGTGCGGGCATGGTGAGTGACTATATCATCCGGGCTAAAAATGTCTCCGGGACGAGTCAGGGGCGCAACGTTGTCGCGCCGATCCAGGAGCGATAACGCTGTGTCATGTGCGCGCATTCCCGCGAAGCGTCAGAATGCGCTTGGCAGCCTGACCATCAACAAATACGATCTATCATCTGTGAGAGCTCTCCATGCAGTTCGCGCTGGGCGCAAAGACCCGGTGCTCCAAGCTAGTCCGGTAGTACATTTGCTGTCTGGCTTTCCAGTTGACACCACTATTGCCCATAACCGCCAGCCTCCAGTGATATAATGGTTATGATTTAGGACAGCTTCCCTGTCAAAGAGACGTTTTCTGAGCCTTCGTGTACCTCACGAGTCGAGCAAGCAACGAACCCGTGCTCGTGTCCTCAAGGCGCTGCACAACCAGACTCGCGGGACGTCACTAACATCCCCCGCAGATTATCTCTGCACATACCTCGGGCCTTGCGGCCGAACACGCCGGGCTTCAGTCCTCCGGGATTTTGAATTGCAGTGGCAGTTGGGGCAGCATCTGTGCTCGCGATGGGACAGCCAAACTCAAGTCCTTGTAGGCGGCAATGAATTATTCTTGACAAATGTTGCCAGTGACACAAACTCAATCGTCTAGGCCTTTCTGGGCATGAGCGAACACCTACTATTGGCCCCAGCTTCCGACAGAATTATGCACACCGGGATTCTTCCATTATCTAGACCGCGGTAAAACGAAATGTACACCGGTCCTTTATAAACAGACGCACAGGTTGACAATTTGTTCCTCTCGTGTGTTTGTGTGCGCGAATTGTCTTACGTCTTACAATCTGCAAAGTGACAGCCAAACTACTCTCTCTCTGCTGTAGTGTCATGAAAATGCTAGGGCTTAGACGGTACAAATCAGTACCATATGTAAGCTCCAGAGAGTAGGTCATTTGAGTGTGCTATACCTGACAGCCTCAATAGCAGTCGCCGGTGCTACGTAATAGGGAGCCAAACGTAAGTACAAGTAAACGCTGAATGCAGTAGTGCGGCAGGTTGCTCACTATTCGTATTCGTACTGGATGGCTCGGAATCACCGTCACAATGTGAAACTGACACAGCGGGTTGAATGTCAGTGAATCGGACAACCTCATCGGGAAGGACATACCGATATTGTCACTTGGTGAGTCTACTAATCTTCAGAATCGAGTGCAGTGGTGTCATAATGTGCATTATCACGGCACCGCCCCGGCAACTTAAATCACTACAGCCAACAGCAACAAACCTATAATCGTATTTGATGAGTTGTTGGTCAAAAAGATAATAGATACGTTGCTTTGTTGCATAGCAAGGATGCTGCGCTGCGCTGCGGAACTGTAATGCGGCATTTCTGGCTGGCTTGGACGTCATTTTCTGGCATTATGAGCGCTGAAGATGCCCCACGATGTCCTCATTGCATATTCAGTTTGGCGCATGACTTCCAGAAGATGAGCACCTTTTCTTTTTGGTTTTAGCCCATGGGAACCTGGAGCGCTATTTAGGGCCGTAGCAGTATTCTCCGTTGCCCCTTGTACCAGGGATTCCATTCAGACGTGGCGTATGATGGACTCCCGACACGCGGACTCCTTCATGAGAATTGCAACATCTTGATAGAAGTGATCTCACCAACAGCTTTCGCGACGCACTTGTCAAAACGAGTAACATAGAGGCCAGGACACGAACTTCTCTTTATGAGCAGTTGCAGGAAACTCATATGGTTACGTAGGTACAAGTCGTGAATGTGTCGTGCCTTGAAGCAAAAATGGTAGCGAAGGGCCGTTTTATGTGTGTCAGGAAGAAATTGACCAGCATCTTTGGGCACTCTGGCCGTTGTCAACGCAACATGCGCGGGCGTCGGAAGTGGAAAATCTAGGAAGTCAGGACTGCGTATCAGTCCCGTGTTCCCTGAGCGGGTCCCGGTCGGCCTTGGAAGGCGTTTAGATAGAGGACGCCTTTGGTCTTTCCACTTGGAGTTAGAACGCAGCACTGTGGTCCATACTTCGCTGCTGCAGCTCACATGCGTGCAATCTGTTGAACCCTGCGGTGACGAACACGAGACCTCTCAGGAGGACAGATTGTGAAGCATTGCCATCCCAGGTATTGCAATAGAAAAATTACCTTAAGCGAGATGCTCCGTTCGCGCTGATTTTAGTTGTTCTCATGAAGCTGGACGGTAATACGGACGATTATCCTTCATCTATACTCGAAGCTGATGTAACATCGAACGTTCCAGAAGAATCGGGTGTGGGTTTACCAGAAGAACGCAATAACAGGAACATGGAGTCTGATAGTCCGGCAATAAGGGGCGCCACAAGCGGATTATCACGTATCATCTTCATACCTCGACGACGAGCGACGTTTGTGGATTGTAGACAATGTCTCCAAAGCCAGATTGAAGTGTCTTTGTATGCCCATTCTGAGAAAATCAATGACACGGAAGTGGAAGACCCTGACTCGAAGCGCGCGGTGGGATTGACTCACGTAGACCTTTTGAGAGTCAGATGTTGATGTTGAGCTGGTTTGACTGAAGTAGTGGGGCGTTGATGAGGGATGCGAGTAATACGAGACGGACATAGCACCTTGTGAGTCGAAGACTTCGCGCGAGCAATTCTATTGAAATGTACGGTTCTCGGCAGATAGGCCGCACAAACGTAATGGGCCATCGCTATGTGTCCGATAGAAACCGGAAATTCCCTCGGCAATAACAATAAGGAACATGGTTAGCAAGGCACCGACGGGGAATTGTCGTAAACTCACCTTCTTCGAACTTCTTCAGCCGGCACCACCTGGCATTGTCAGTCCCGCGTGAGGTATGTACATGTTCTCGCGCTACTTCTCAGGAATATGCCAACTTAGATTTAGATTTCGTAGTTCGCTAGCGCAAACTCTACAACGCAGTATTCGTCGAGTTCAGTGAATATGTACTATCTATGTGCTTCAACCATTGATTCCCTGACCGTGGCAAGGATGAAAATGCCTACCAGTTGAATGTGGTCAATTAGGGGGATGAGAGAAGATCGCGTTTCGTGTCATGCAGCACATAGGAGTTGATCACAGTGGGACACAGCGCCACGTGTGAGATCGGTTGTGGGAAAGTTATCTGGGCATCGTCTGGCATCTAGATTCAACTTCATGTATGAAACGTCACTTCGACTATAACTCATATCCCATGGCTGCTTACAACAAATAATCAATGATGTGAATAGCGGTAAAGGGTACTGCAAGCGGCTGTTGCTACGATATATGGCAGATGACCTGCCGTACGTGGTGATCATTTCCGAGCAGCCTTTAAAACGGCCATTTCTTTGCTGTGACTATAGTTGCTAATGTTTACGCATCGTGCGCCTATATTCACTTACCCTCAAAGTTGATGTGACTGAAGAAAGACGTGCCGTCTGGCTTGCATTCTTCCACCTAACTTATCAGGCGCTCATGTTTCGTCTTCTGGCAGGACTTCGGTTTATGAAGACTCGAGCCGACTTCCATGAACTTGTTACTGACCTGTGTCACAGCGCCAATCGATGACCATCATGCCACAGCATCTAAATGTCGAAGATAACGTTAGGCCTGCATCCAGGTCCCATCATTGTGACTACTCCTTCACATGACATGCCAAACGCCGCCACTCCACATCGCGAGAGTTGGAGGGGCAGCGCACTTACCCTCCACATGAAAATTTTCTACTTGTCAGCTGGAAACTCTCGACCTACGGTGTATTTATCCATTGAATCCCCGTCCGGTAAGTGAATGCCGAGATCGTGGTCGCAAACACAATAGGAACATGGAAACCGCCTTGCGAAGCTCCTCGGCCGCCTTCCATTTCAGGTTGATACTCGAGACGCTGATCGGGTGAAAAGGGAAGCGACATTTGTCACATATCGCGATTGTCTTTGCATCGGGCATAAGATAGGATCGTTGCCCGATACAGTCGTCCATGCAACCTGTGACAGCATACGGGCATAGACTTTCGCCGCCAGCGTCTTCAATTACACGCCCATAGACTCGGCGGAGTTGAATCAGGGAACCAACCAGAACTATGTATGCCTCCCCCTTGCCCTTCCGTGCTTGCGAACATGTGCGTGTATCTGGCGCCCGGTACTTCGACGATCGTCTTCTTATGCCCTCATAAGCCGTATGAGGTCCAATCCGCGCCCACCACTCCACCATGAACTCGTCTCTCCATGTTGCGGCGTGTGCCAGCGCTGCTCTCTTCGCTATATCGCTGGCAGTGTTTTTGCGTTGGCTTAAAGCGGATTCACATCTGCGGCTCCCGCCGGGCCCGAACAGAGTACCTCTGTTAGGCAACGTGCATCAATTGCCTATGCAATCGCAGGAGAAGAAGTTCACGAAATGGGGTGCAGAGTATGGTATGTGTCTGGAGAATGTACGTCTCAAGATCATCCACTCAACCACGTTAGTAGGCGACATTGTCTTCGCAAGGTTTTTCAGAACACCAACCCTTGTTATAAACTCATTGCAGGCCGCACATGATCTCCTTGGAAAGAAGAGCTCGATATACTCTTACAGACCCGACTTTGTACTGCTCTCGGAACTGTGAGCTGAATGTCCATAGTCCCATTGGCACTCTGCTTACTTATGCTCTCGCGAAGAATGGGTTGGGACTGTGTAGTCACACATATGACATACGGGAACCGGTTTCGCAAGCACCGACGATGGATCTTGGACGCCTTCCAAGACAAACATTCCCTTGAGAGCTACCGCCCGCTTCAGCGAAGGGAGGCATACATACTTCTTTCTGGACTCATTCAGAACCCGGAGTTGTTCAGATCACACATTAAGAGGTCAGTATTCCTTCCGGAGCTAGCTCATTACCTCATATACACACAGGTTCGCAGCAGCAATGATTATGCAGATTGCGTATGGCCATTCGGTGACATCGTTGGATGACAAATTTGTACACCTGGCGGAGCGTGCCGGCAAGGAGACTGTCGAGTATGGCAACGCAGGGGTCATGCTAGTCGACTTCTTCCCTCTTCGTGAGTTACTGTTGCATCCATTTCCGGACCATTGACGCTATTTTGTTATATAGTGAAGCATATTCCTCTATGGATGCCTGGATCAGGCTTCAAGAGACGCGCATTTGAGATTCGAGATGTGGTGCGCAAAATGCTAGATACCCCGTATGAGATGGTCAAGGACGCTATGGTAGGAACCCCTCCGTTCCGCTATCCGTCACTGACACATCTTGTCTCAGAAATCCGGTACAGCGTCGCCTTGTCTCACGGCGACATTACTGGAGGAAGTGCTCAGTGAACGTGCGCCGACAAGAGAGGACGAAGACGACATTAAAGGAACTGCAGGTGTATTATATGGAGGTAAGTCAAATAGAGTCTGACACTCTAAGAATGCTGACGAGGATCTTAAGCTGCGACTGATACGGTAGTTTGACCACAATTCTCTCCAGGCTAGTATGTCTCAACTCTAGTAATCATAGACAAGTGCTGTCCTTTCGACTTTTGTTCTTGCAATGGTGCTCTATCCCGAAGTATACAAGAAAGCTCAAGCAGAAGTAGACCGGGTCGTTGGACAAGATCGCCTGCCGGATTTTGAAGACAGGGAATCCTTACCGTACTTAGAGTGCGTCGTGAAAGAAGTGTATCGGTACGTTATGTAGTGTCTCGCGTTGTCAATGATCGCGCGCTTAGTCTTCCCTGCAGGTGGAACTGTCCTGTGCCACTTGGTCCGTTTATTCTAGATTTTTCGTGAACTCGGATCGAACTATCCTGCAGGGATTCCTCACAAACTCATATCAAATGATCAATATCAAGGATTTGATATCCCGGGAGGATCTATGGTCATACCTAACATTTGGTCAGTTGCTTTGCAAATCATGAGTCAAATTGACGTGCCAATAAATGCCAACAGGGGGATGACACGTAATGATAGTTTCTATCCGGAGCCAGAGATGTTCAGGCCCGAGCGTTTTGAGCAGATGGATCGCTATACGGCCGAGGCACGGGATCCACGCAACATGGTGTTTGGGTTCGGAAGGCGGTGAGCTTCTGATGTGACGCGCCGATGTGTTACGGCGGGGCTGACATTCCAATCTCTCCTAGCGTTTGCCCAGGTCAGGATTTTGCAGACACGAGTGTGTGGATTGCTGTTGCCAACATGGTTGCAACGCTCGACATCGCTGTTGCTACTGACGAGGCGGGAAAACAAGCCCCACCGACGGGCTCATTCGTCCCAGGATTTGTCAGGTATGTTCTCCATGCGTCACGGTGATGCTGGCTTATGTATCTCGAGAAGTCACCCGGAAGAATTTACATGCAGGATCACACCGCGATCTGAGCAAGTGAAGACGGTTGTGTTCGAAACGAGTGCTAATATTGTATTATAAGCTAGTGTAGACTATTTATCATAGTCCATGAACCGTACTGCATGTTAGCCGCAGCTGGCCCCACAATTCATGGCAACGGTGTTATAGGCAATGTGTCAACGTTTTTTCAATCCATTTTTACTACGCACTAATTGTTGCGGGGAGATGGCAGAAAACCTCAGAGGGTTGGCAGAAAAGGGAATTGTGCGACCCCATATGGCATGTAAGCATCCCGGGATGTTGCTAATCATCCAAAGATGAGTCTTCCACTTTCAAAATGTTTGTATAACTCGTGCATATTGTTTTGAGGCACAAGAGGCTTTTTCAACGACGAAGAAAGCTCGCGCCAGATTTATCACTTTGCCTTGAATTTGGCATTTGTGTCATGTCGTCACGTGCATACACCGCTGCGTCGCATCTACTCGAAGCGTCCACAAAACTACACCCGCACTCTTCGCGCTCTTTTCCGTCACGCATGCAGGTCGTTATAGATCTCTATTATGCCCTTGTATGTCCCCTCATCGACTGCAACATTTCTGTAACAAATGAGCGACGACCACGACACGCGTCTCCTGCTCTCTCCTGATCCCAGTGACATCGCAGACGTTGCTCAAGTCAACGTCAGCGCAAAGCAGGATCTGAAATTCGATGCACCATGCCATATGGTCGTGAACAGCGATGGGGTAAGTGACTTCTATGTTGCGGTTTAACACCGTCTTAAGTGCTCACGCATGTGAAGACTCCAAAATAGTTGATTGGCAAGACATGACTAAGTTCGAGCGGGAGCGGACCATGCAAGTGTTGACTACACTGAATCAGTAAGTCGTCCAGCACGTTTCCAGCGCGTTGCACTGTTCCGAGCGATCTGCTACCCTGACATTGACATCCTTCTGTTGTAGAAGCCGCATTGCGAATCAGGAAAGGAAGCTACACAATCGATGTGATCCGTACGCCTGTCCCAAGTCTATCAGGCAAAAACATAGACCATGCTTCCTATCCTGTGATGGTATCTTGAACACGCTCGGGACCATCTACACGCTATCATGGATTACCTCGCCCTGACAGCGCAAACCTAAAATCAGGGGTTGTAACCCTGTTCCCAGCTCCGAACTTGCCACTTTTCGGCCTCCTCTGCGACAAACGCGGTCTCGTGTTTGTCGTCACATACCCAGCGACCCTTTAATACTTTTCAGGAAGCGTAGTGAGGGGCTTAGGTTTGTGACACACCTGCCAAATTTTACCATAGACAGATAGTCGCCGCAGCTGGGGTGGTCCTCTCACCATGAATTCGGCAACCTTCTCTTTACTCATGAGGCGATGGCCACGCTCGACATTACGCGCTTCCACGCGAAGTGTACGGAGCTCGCCTAAGGAGGAAAGGATCTCGGGTAACTCGGTCTACAGTGCGAAATTATCGCGATTTCAATGGGGAGGGCTACATGGGGGTAGGTAACACTCACAACAGCATTACCCGATATTGCGACCGCGAGTTCCTCCAGCTCCACACACGTTGCACAGAGTGCGCGTAAGGCAGCCATCCCGACAAATGCTGCGTCCAGACGGACAACGCGGAGGGTCTGGGCATGTATCTGCGAAAGGTGTGCCAAGAGACCATCGAATTTCACGCTCGCGCCACTATTCTCTTCCTCGCAGATGAGACGAATTTCCGCGAGGCGCGCGTGAGTCACAATGCGCCGGATCCATTTACAGAGATAGGCGACATCCTCGACTGTATCGACTGTATTGTGCCGCACGACCAGAGTGCGCAAATGATGCAAGCGAGGAGCTATGGATGGGGTTCGAAATTGCTGCGCCACAAAGGGGCACGTCAGCTGATGTCAGGCCCTGCACACAGTAGACTAACAAGGTAGTAGCGCAGGTCTAGATCCTTGAGGTTCGGCAGACCCTGCACGAAGGCAAAAACATCGTCATTTCCTAATGAGTATGATAGGCCGAGCGCCAACGCTTGGATCTGGGTAAGATGAGGTACACAAGACCTCAATACGCCCGGCGTAACCGATCCGCAGTTGTCCTGTAAGCATGCCAGTTGAGATCTAGACCCGTCTGCCATAGGGAAATGCCTACCCTGAGCGAGAGTCGCCGAAGAGTTCTTGACAGGATGCCAAGCCAGTCGGGCAAAAGCTGAAGGATTGCACGAGTCGGATTCAAGATGCTGAGACACTCTAGGTCCTCCACTGTTGCCACAACAGGCGCGTAATCATCCGTGATACACGATGCATTTATGGTTAAGCTTCGCAAGAATGCGCAGCTACGCAGAAGGGGGAAAACACCAATAAAGACATCCTTGTGGTACTGCTTCGGGGCGAGCACAATGGTGTTCAAGTTGCGCCAAAGCCGTATGGCCGTGGGTAAGTGAGTTGCAAAGGTACCGAGCGACGCAGGACGTGGCGAGAGGCAGCCTCAATATTATTACAGATCAAACTACAATCACAGCACATAGATAACAAAGCAACTTACCGCTTATCTCTAGGTGGAGCACCTTATCGGCATTGTGGGGCAGGCAGGCGGCATATAGAATACCATCCTAAACATCCGTACTATGCATTGGTATTGAAAGCTATATGGGACTGCTTGAGTAGAGGTATCGAACTCACCGCGAACTCGTTTTTCCTGCGCAGATCGAGTGTAGACTGGGGAGCGGGCGACCACGTCACACGCCTGTACAACACTCGGGACGCTGCATTTGAAAATTCGTGGCAGACTAGGGAGCAGCAGTATAGTGAGACCCTGTCGTCTTCAAGGATGTCGAAAATCGTTGCGAGGACGTCATGGATTACGTATATTCTGTGAGGCAAACTCATGGGGTTCAGCGCGATGAGACAGAGTCAGACCGAGTGCTGCAACAACGCAAATGGCGTGCATGCATGAAGTTCAAGACGAGGTTCAATATCAGACGTATGCCTCTTCAGCGCTTCAAAACTCAAGTGCGATAGAATTGTAAGCAGAGGATATATCGAGATGGAAGCAGGACGCAGGACGAGGGCGCGGGCGCTAAGTATCAGCCCTAAACGATCATGATTCCCGGGTCGAGGTCGATCCTATGCAGCTCTTATTCTGTCAGTCGCTATGAGTGAACGATGAAGCTTTCTTGCTTATTTCGCCTTTGAAGATGGTACTTCCATCTACACCAAGCTCTTGAAAGTCTTCTCTAAAAAGATGCAACGGTCAACCATATGTTGAATGAGCATAGCAACCCGGTATGTATTGGTGAGACTATATCCATACGCCCGAATACTTCAATTCAACCGTGATCTTTTCTTCTGCTTGCGGACTCGTTGATTCATCGTTATTGTAACGCCCTCTGTAATCTGGAGCCCAGTAATCGGAATACCTCATTAGTGAAAAGTACATGTCCCGACTTCTTCTATCTCCTTAGAGCGCTCAAGTCAAAATGATGAAGATATTGCCCTATTCCTATTCCATGCGATACATTACAGATTCACAGGTGAAACAGAGCCCTTCCAAGGGAGTTGAGGAGCTTGATTTTTCATTCTTATATCCATATTTGCCGCCCGTGGTTGAGTGTGGCCAAGCACAATCGAAAGCTTACAGTACGGAAGAATGGCGTGTGCGCGAGTTAACTTGTCAAAATAAACGGACAACAGGTTACAAGAAGAAGACGTTCAAGGTGGCATGTGGTGGTAGGGGTACAAACGCGCGAGGGTACGACTCAAGGTGTAACTATCTACCGTGCGAGCATTAAGTTCCAATACGACTGATACTGTGATATCGAGGTTCATCCGACATCGACTATATATGAAACCCTTGTTAGCCTTTTGGCCATGTACTATGGAATCATCTCGAGGTATCCAGTGAAAACATCTATCGCGGCGCTTGTGGCTTGCATTGAACCAGCATCACGCGTCGCATTCACGCATTTTATCAACATGCGTAGGTTCTGTTACTAGCTGCAGTGCGCTCAATTAGCCTAGTCAGTTGCTGTAGCAAGGTGGAGGATACTAATGAAGTAGAACGTGACCAAACGTGGCTCATGCGTCTTCCTAAACCGATCAAACAAAGCACGCGTTGTGTGGCGCCGCCACTCAGGCCACATCTACATAACACGACAATCGAACTCGAGGGAGGACACTCATCGTATCTGCAACACACTCTCATTCCATTTGTCTTGCTAATCATCGTTGCACACTCTTACGGGCGAGATGAAACAACTGCCAGCCATAGAGGTTCCTCAGCGAAACTTCGAGCCTTGTGGCGACCAAGCGTTCAAGCGCTCCCAGTGGAAACTTGTAATATCTGTATGCAGCTCTTTTCCTGTCTTCTCGAGAAATACGCTTCACGTGCCTCCCACAGTGGCCAGGCTATCCCGACTGGTGCCACACCTTCTCGATGATAGATCCAACAGGACAGAAGTATCCACTGGAGTACTTTGCGGTACAGATTGCTCCACTAATCTTGCAGTTTGTCGAAGAGGTGCGCAGGTCGGATTTCTGCATCATGACGAATGCCCTGAAAGACAGGATAACAGCACGAGAATGTTGAGCCAGAGGCTGCTCACGCTAAGTGGGCGGTAGGAAACGGGCCCGACCGGTGGTCCGTGAAGGACATATATCTCCTCACGCTCAGGAGGAAGAAGTGCCATTACTGCCAGGTTGACCTCGAGGTTCGACCAGACTCTCCGGACGACGTGCGCTTTTCACCTGAACGGTGGCCGTGATGTTTTGAGCAAGTTCCTTGACAAGCGGACCGGGATCTACTATCAGGGAAGAGGAATTGTCGCAAACAGTGACCTCGAATAGGTCTAGCTAGGATGAGACTGTGAGCCGATCGATGCATTGTTACGTGCCACACACGCTCCAAGTGACGGACGAATGCATCTACAAAGCGTTTCAGAAAGGGTGTGGCTCTGTTCACGATGATAGATACTGCGTTCATACAAAGTACATCAAAGACGTTAGCAGTTACAACAATATCTTACAACACTTCACATATTGTGTCAGCATTCGGTTCGAGTCAGCATATTTCGCAGTCGTCGCCGACCAGAATCTTAGTTCAGATATCGACAGCCAGGCCGTCTTTGCCGAGACCGTCGGCCTCGGTCATCTTGACCCACATACCGCCCTAGAAGTGGCACATAAGCTCGTAAACCTCTACATGTAAATTAAAGTAGAGTGTGACTTACATTGGAATACAGAGTCAGGTGCGACTTTGGCCAGAATCGCTCGAACCGCTTGCGGCCCCATCCGGTGGACGCCCACTCTGCGGGAGGCAGCGATTCGGGGGGTGCAGCCTCGGGCGCGAGCTGCATCGCAGAAAAGTGCTGGAGTAGCTTGATCAAGAAGAAGGACATCTCGTTATACGCGAACTGCGATCGATGGATCGGAATTGGGTAACGCTAGGATGCAGTGTTGTGACCAGACACACCTGTTGCCCGAGGCAGATGCGTGGGCCGGCGTTGAATGGAAGGAATATGAACGGATTCTTTGTAAGATATTTCGCGACGCGCTCGTCGAGGAATCGGTCTGGGTCGAATTCGTCCGCTGCGTGTTCGAATGGCACACTGAATCAATCGCTCGAACGCAGATGTGGTCTTGGGCTGAACGTACCATCGGGACCCCAGTACTCCTTCCTGCGATGCATCCCAAATACCGTGTACGTGACCCTGCGTGACGTGAAATTCAATTAATGTTCAGGATAAGTCTTGTTTAGCGGCTCCGAGCGTACATGGTCTTGGGTGGTACGTAAAACGGCTTGCCATTTGGGTCAGGATTCGGCAGGGTGCTCTCGTTGATCGACAATCTGCACATGCAGTCAGTCAGCTACATACTCGTACAATTAAATCCCGCAAGCCATTCACCTTATATTGAATGGTCTAATAGCCAGTAAGCAATGTTGCCCAACTCCGCAAAAGGCCCACAGGGGACTTACACGACAGGATACAATCGCATCGTCTCATTGATGACAGCTCGCAAGTACCGCATCTCCTTGATGTCTGCATAAGTCGGGCGCCCACGCGAACCGACGTTCTCCAAGACCTCTGCGCGCAACCGCTTGAACACCTCAGGGTACATGCACAAGAAATACACCGCAAATGTCAGTGTGCCAGCAGTCTATGAAACAGTCATGAGATGGGTCGTGTGTGTGAAATTAGATACACACGGTGTCGCGTCCCGCGATGAGGATGTTGAGCACTTCGTCACGCAACACGACTGGATCTACACAAACATTATCGAGGATCATTCCGTAAACGCAGGCAAAACTCACCACTTGTCAGTCGAACTAGATGGTCCAAGAGGGTCTCTCCATCGATATCATCGCTCTGCTTGTCACCGCTTACGCCTCCCTCGCTGCTGGCCATCTCCTTCCGCCGCAAGGCGTCCTTCAAAATCGGGTCCAGGTACTCGTTCACAACGCACATGTACTCATCCGTGCGGTTCTTCCGCGTCTCAAACAGAGGCCAGATGCGGCCCATTGTCGCACGCTCAGCGAGCACAATCTGCGCGCGCATGAATGCAGTTGCAAATGCCTCTGCTCGTGAGGGAGCAAGGGCGACCGGGGCGCCTGCGGGCTGCGCGAATGGCGTCGGTCGCCCATTGTGAGGATACGGGAGGGGCTGCTGGAGTGAGTCGACGCAAGAGTCGAAGAGGAACTCAGTTGCCGAGTCAATTGTGAAGCGAGACACGAGGTCCTGGAAGTCGACCGCATACCCTGAGCGGAAACGTTCAGTCATTTTGGCAATAGCTTGCACTGTCGAGGAAAATATATCATCAACGGCATTCATTGTAACACATAACACTTGATAGCGCACCACTGCGGCGGTCGAACAGCTCAAAGTGGCTGATACGGTCCTTGTTGAAGAATGGGCGTGTCATCGCGCGGTGCCATCTGTGCATAAAATCCCTCATCAAGCAATGGGCGCTTGTCATTTTGGAATTCGGGAACTCACTTCCACATCTCCCCTGAGGGTTATGAACTATACTGTCAGCACACAGCATGCATTTTGAACTGGGCGAGATGTACCATCGGAGTTGAACACGCCCGTCCCGAGGACAGATGCCATCTGCTGCTTGAAGATATCGCCTACGAAGGAGGACGTTTGTATAGGGTTTCAAAACACTGCATATCATGCTCGTGCACCTTTCTCATAATTGTTGAATTCAGTCGCAAGGACACACTAGGTGAGAAGGAGTCAAGTCAAGGTCGACTGCTACATTGCGCGAGCTCACCTTGATAATGTTGGGATCGCACGTCATATACGACGTGTCCCACAAGATGTTGATCTGGACCGTGTTTCCCAGATTATTGAATGCCTTCCATGCAAAGTCCGCTATGCGTGTTATTTCCCAGCTCCATAAGTCAAGCGCAGCGCGAGGAAGTAGCAGAAAGCGATTATGCACCAGTATACCCGGTCTTCATTGTCTGCAACATCTGCTTCGTCAGGTCCAAATTGCCGAGCCTTTTGCCCGCCCAGCGCGGGGGTAGGATGGCGCCGAGGCGTGCAGCAGCACGCTGATATTTCCACTGCCGGTACGAGACACGCACACATATCGCCAAGGGCGTGCTGATGACTGCGAGGAATATGACCAGCGAAGTCGGAATTGTCAAGAGCGTTGTTCGCCAGAGTAGGCTTGCGGCCGTCACGACGCACGCTGGCGCGAAGCATAATACGAGCAGGACACGGAGAACGAAGGAGACTCCAGGAGGGATTGACATGGCTGAGGAGACTTTCGCGCTAGAGGGGGCGGATCACGCGGGAACGTTGCCTTTAACCAAGCACGTGAATCGTACTCCAGCCGTACGCATTCCTCCCACAGACGCGGGAAAAGGCAGTCTCGCTGCGGATCAAGCGATGCATCCAAGCGGAGATACACTCTGAGATCATTGAACGGCGATGGCCGCACAAACGGCGCAATGACGAAAAACGCTGGACTCAGATGCCCTGGAGGAACTGAATTGGCACTTGGTGTCATCATGATGCTCGTATTTCCACATGTCTGACTCCTGACCGCATTAGCCTTTCGACGAGACTCTTATGGCGTGAGCACTGACGTACCGCAGCCGACACGTGCCACGACAGCCACATGTAGGAGGAGAGAAATGGCAAGTAGTCATTGGAACAAGACGGCCGCCTTGTGAGAGGGTTGTAGCAGACTCCGTGAAAGCAAGAGGAAGAGGACGGAAGGTCGTATGTAGCGAATAGGTCCCACGCTCGGCGATCAAAGGCGATCGGAGTTTCCGCTACAATCCTAATCACGACGGATGCAAACATATCGAAATAGTGCTCATGTGTCTACTAAACTAGCGATAAGTGAAACCAGGACTGTTTGACTGTTTCCACAATGCTAATCGCTCTTATATTCTCCAGCATATTCGCGCCATATAGGCTGAAGTCCGCCACGCTTAGCGGCGGTTTTATCTAGCCTAACTGTCATCAAAAGGCTTCCGGGCCAGTCAGGCAAGGATACCGACTTGAAGGCCCTGGTAGGCATAGTACAGAATCTACATAGAGTACGATGTCAAGCTGGGCGGAGGCGCTTGTGAAATTACGACTCGGAACAGGCAGTTTCCGGGACTTGGAGCCAGCGGTACTCGCAAACCTTAAACATAGACAACATGCTGTTTCACATTTGCCTGCATGGCCAGTACCAATATGTTAGCTTTCCATCCGTACACCAACGCTTTCTCCCGTTCGGGTACCCCCCAGCTCCGAAGTCGGAGAATTTGCCCTCAAATTGACAATCACTGCATATAAGTGATTGTTTCACAACATATCAACGTGCGGAAAAAGCATTCTGAGGGATGGTAAGCCCGCTCAATATGACAAGTTGCAATACTCGGCCTGATGAAACATCGTTTACTTACAGTGGCTACCAGACCAACACTGGAAGCTTAGACAGTTACAGGATCCATCGGTTCGTCCTCCATTGATATACAGTAATGTAACATCTCTCACATCAAACCTTTTTTTTGATCCTCATGCTACGCATGCCGCCCACCATACCTCCCCTTCGCCATCTCCATCAGGCTGCAGTAACTCTACCTGCACCTCGTTGCCGGGGACAACGTACACAATACCACCCTCTTCAAGGTCGAGGGCATCACCTCCAGCGCTCACACGCACCTTCCCCCGCGTCACAATCCCGATCGTGGGTCCACCAACCGCGCCCAGCCTCTCGCGACGCCCGTCCCCGCCAACGCCGCCCGGGCCTGGGCGCAACGACGTGCCTAGCACGGTGAATTCCTCGAGAGGCGGGTCGTACGCGCTCGTGCGTCGCTGAAGCGAGTGTGCGTACGGCTTCACTGGCAGGGCCCAGTGGGAGGCAGGACGCGCGGTGTAGGTGAGCATTTCGAGGAAGATGGGTACCTGCTGCTTGATCTCTTCAGGTGGAGCGAACGCAGAATTCAGGACATTGTCTGAAACAGCCATACACTCGATGATGTCTGCGGTGTACCGTTACACATGACATGTTTGCGAGAGTGTCCTCGATACTTACCTCCCTCAAGGTACGCGTGCACCTCGTCCGCGCCGATGTATATCGCCTCTCCGCGTTTCAGCGTCACGAAATTCATGAAAAATGTTGTTGCAAAGACCCCGACGTCTCCTGGATACTGTTCCGTGACCTTGCGGACAAGGCGCGCTTGCGTTTCGTTTAACCCCTCAACTGCTTTTGCCCCCTCCTTGACACGCTGTGCGAGCGCTTCAACATGTGCCTTCGCCTTTCCCTCAGCCCCGTGCGTTAGCAGCGCCGCGTACACCTTTTTGAGGCCCTCTCGTGATGGCGAATGTACGAAGGTGTCCACCGCCGCGCGGTCGCTGATGGCATCGCGCAGTTCGCGGACGTCCTTGAGGTTCGCGGCGATCTCCTCAAGAGGCTTGAAGCCCACGAAGCCCGTGAATGAGATGTCAGCGTCCTCGCCCGGGAGCGGTTTCCCGATCGCGACTGCAATTTCAGGCTTGTGGTTTGCATCTGGTGCCAGATCGGGCTTCTCTTTTTTCAGGCGTTCGCCAAGGCTCTTGTCAGGGTGGGCTTGCAGCGGGAGGGCCTTCTCAATGCTGAGGATCTTGAATAGGAACGGGACTTGCGGAGTGTCAGGCCATTTGTCGTGCACTGGTGCACCCAGGAGGCGGGCTGGGTCGGTCAAAATGATGGACTGCAGGGAGGTTGATGGGGTTTTATAGAGGTGTGCTGGCCCGTTCTTATGTGTTCCCATCCAGACCTACGAGAGTTTGCACGGCCTCAGACTAAAAACATCACACAAAGACATATACACACACACCTCCGCGTATGACTCTTTCTCGTCGAGCTTAAATTCAGGCCCAACTGCGTTCGGGGCCAGTCTCGCGGCGAGTGACGCGCTACCCGTCCGCCCCCATGGATACTGTTGTACGGCGCCTTTGAGGCGAATAAGTGGGCTGCCCGCTGCGTCGATCGTGGTCTTCGGCATTGTTGCAGGTCTATTCGAGATGAAAGGAGATTATGGACGTCGAATAAAGAGAACTGAAATGGGGATATTCGGCGCAGCTCCAATATATACATCGGGGACAAGAGCGAAGAGGAGGTGACGTCACACGCGAGAGGACACTGGCGCGCCTGACGCGTGTCGTGCGTCATCACGTGGGCGCGCCACGAACGTGTCCCCACTCTTAGCGCTGACACCGATTGTACTCGGAGGTATGCATCAATCCGAGTGGATTATAGTCCTAACATCCTGTTATTGCGTTTATGTAACTCTGGAGGACAGCTCACTTTAGTCCGTGAAGTTGCGCCCCTACGTTGACAAATCCTGGACATGACCGGGTGGACCCGACACTCGCAACCGTTCAAAAGACGAAGCAGTGTGCTGATGCCTATCTTCCTGTCTAGCATCACTATACAATCACTTTCAAATACCAAATTTCAATGCAGTGTGGTAAGACCATGTTTTTTCAGCCTTCTCACACATACGATAGTGTCAGGCACATGTCACTTGATAGGCTACTCTAAATGACATTCTTCCTCCCGATACATTGCAATCATTGTTGGAACTGTCTGACGTCGTCTATTCCCGTAGGGTGATGCTCTTGTTTCACCGATCAAGCACCAAGAGCGCGGCATTCATAGGATCTTGGATTTGAGAATTAGTGCGTTTTGTTTACCGCCTGTGGTGCAAACACATGACTCATGTCAGATATCAAAACACCCATAGCATCGATAGGTACTTCACAACGTTCGCATGTTGTAGCGCCATGAGGCCTATCACATCGCTTGCGTGTCGGCATTTGTGGCTCAATTTGTTTTTTCCAGATCCCGAATTCGCCGTGAAACGCAACCTAGCGCACTGGGAAACTGGTGAAGGGTTAATGACGAACAGGCGGCGCATCATGGGCACGAGCGCTCCGCCGACGTCACGCTCATGAACGCCTCTGCCGCTCGTCGACGCGCCGTTCCGTGAAATGCAGCGAGCGGTCCCAAAGCGTCCAACCGATTAGCACACACCCTCAGGCATCTGACGTCTACTGTCCTGTTTCAAGTGGTCTTGGCATTGTTTCAACTGCGTAGTGCGCGCAGGTCCGATGACAGTGGGCCTGAGGCCTTGCCACTATGAGCTGACGAGCTACCTAGTCAAATGCCACTGACTCCCGAATATAAAGGTCGACGCTTAGCTGAAGACGTGCCCCGCCAGCACGTCTAGTACATCTGTAGCCACAGCTGAATTCTGGTACGCATTCAGATCTAAATCACAACATCCGCAATGCGTCCGCTGACCTTCAGCGCTACGTTGCAGAACTATCGACACAGAATGCGCGTTTCCATCCCCACTACCGCTCTCGCAGTCCTTGTCGGCTTACTCCTCGTGTGTGCGGAACCGGTCCCAGCGCCCTCGAGCACGACGTCTAGCGTCCCATGTGCCGGCGAAGGAGAAGAGTGTACCACGACTCATGATCCGGGCTGCTGTGCGCCATTTATATGTAACGATGTCCTTATTTTTGGAGCGTATGGTACTGGGGTGAGTCAAATCATGCTCTTGTTGTCACAAGTCCTTATGGATTTGCGTTGCATGCTAGACTTGCACTCTCCCTCTGGAAACTCCCTGAACGAGGCGCTCTGCACGTCCTGCATTGACACCGCATGTAGTAGCTTGCTGGGCATGTCCATGTATTATGTTCATACACACAATTCGAGTCCCCATCAGAAGGAGTAAAATACTAGGGAAAATGTATTCGCTAATCGTCATCTCAAATTACCTCAAAGCTCGAACATGTCAGGGAAGCGGGACTCAGGGATTCGGTCCAGCCTATAGTTCATCTTCATGGCGGTGCTGAAATAAATGTATCACAAAAGTATTTCCCTGCTGCGGGAACTGGCAGAATATCTCGTGGCAAGCATTTTCAGCATCCATTCTGCCTACGTCGTGGCAATGTCAGTTATTGCATATCATGTTCCAACACTCCCAGAGCGGTCATGCTGAAGGCATACCAGTTGCACTCATTGAACGCAGGCTGCTTGCACGGCAGAACCGCCGGCTATCGTCGCCGCGATCTCTATGATGTTTACATCCTGAAGTCGTTCTATAGTCTGCAAACGGAACAATCATTTCCTGAGATGCAATGTCACCTGCAGAATATTGCCACTTCCACTGTACATCTTTTCATGCTGACTTGCGTATGATAGTAATGCAGGCTCCAGCCGATACATTCATACCATGTGACGTTAGACGCGATAGTAGCAAATCTCCTAAACTTACCTCAAACTTAACACGATATCGTCGCTTGCCCGTATTCAATAAGACCAAATGGACCATTTAACACGGTTTCAAGTGTATTACCATTCGAGTGGCCCAAGACAGTACCTGTGCATGTGCGTGGATGCCACCCTTCAAATCTTCTCAGATTGCGCTTGAGTTTGCCATATTGCAATCTCATTCCTATTCGTCGGTCGATCGCATGAGATACGGCTTGAAATGACTCAGAGCGTACAAGCTACATAGAAACCACACCTTTCATACCGATACTATGTGATACGAGCATAATTCTCTCTACAGGTCCAAATTTCTGTCATCAAGCGCGTCATAGTCGTGATTCTCCTCAAATTAAAACCGGTGCATCTGTCCAACATGCTGCGCGAAGCCTCAAGTTTGCAGCCCAAACAAAAAATCACATCGACGGAGCATAGCATTATATGGTTCCGACACTGCACGTTTTCGTCATCAATCGTCGAAGCGAACGTCTGCTCTGGAAGCCGGTCAATGTGACAGTATGTGATATTGGCGTATTCGGTCATCACTGAGACGAACGCCTGCGTACTCTATGGCAGCCCGGAATATGAGCCACATCCGACGTCTCGAATGGGAAGGTCAACACACCTGATGGCGTGTAGACCTTGCCGAGGTCAAGATTTTCAGTCATCCAACTCGTCTTCCTCTTCACTCTCGCTAGCCCCTTGTTTCCCGCTCGACCCTGTACCCAGGAGATCGGACTCCACCATACCCACAACCATATTCATCGCAGCACGCGACAATTTCGGCATCGGACCCGGACGCAGTAGCGGATGTCTGGCGGGGTCAAGCTCTCCCTCTTCGTCGTCTTCCTCTTCGTCGTCTTCCTCCTCGCCGGCCTCTTCCTCATCGTCCGACGCCTGCGCATCGCCCTCCTCGACCGACTGCGCATCTCCCGACTCTGATTCCGAGTCGCTCGTGGCTGAGCCCCCATCGGACGATGCTTCGTCCACAAAATCCGAGTCCTCCTCGTCTGAGGCTTCGTCCGCGACAGGTGCAACAGCCTTCCCCTTCCCCTTGTCCTCTGCCGGCGGCACGTCCCGTTTGCCAAACAGGTGCCGGTGCTGCCTCGCCCATCGCGTGATGCCCTCCTGTTCCTTCCCGTCCACCATCCCAAAGTCCACGTCCACTGTCCGCTCCTCAGGCTCCTCGTCCTCCGCGTCGTCCTCAGCTGCTTCGGCGACGCCCTCGCCCTCGATACGCCGCAGGATAACCGAGCAAGTCCGCCCTGTGGCGCTGATCGTGCGCACACCTTCCACTTCGCCTGCGCTCCCGTTCCGCGCTAGGTCGCGCAACGCAAAGAATTCCGCCGGCCGCCCGTCCCATAAGACGCCCTCGGAGAAGAACCATAGCGTGCCCGGCTTCGCGCCGCGGTACGCCTCGACACCGGCGACGCCATCTACACCTGCATTTCCGGGTATTGCTGAGCGGAAGATGTCCGTGGACGGCTCCAGGACGCGGACGGACAGCCGCTCAAGGAACGAACGCAGTGATGATACGACAGGTGTGCCTTTCGGATGAGTAGTCGTCTGTGGCGTGCCATCGGGGCCATACCCCGTCGTGCTGAAGGTATTTGGTGTCGCATCGACTCCGAACACTATTGGCGGCGCCTCGTCTTTCGCTTGCTCCTTGGCGGCCTTGCTTCCGCTAGTAGGTACGTCGCTCGGCATGAGAATAATGGACCAGTGCTGTTTTGTCTTCCCGCGGGTAGGTAATAAGAAGGCACGACGGATCACAGATAGCGCAATGGGCAGATGTTCGGTGGCATGCGTCGACGGATGTGTGATCCGGAGGGTGTGCTCGTGCACCGTGATATCGGCCTTCTTTCGGATCGGCGACGTCAGTGAGAGTGCGTGCAGGGTGAAGAGTGGGAGATCATTCGCGATGGTACTAGAGGCCGCAGTGTCATTGTCCTGCGAGGTTTTAGCACGCTTGGCGTTCGTGACCGGCTCGTCATCGCGCGCGCGTTTACGGCTGTCGTGTTCGCTGTCCGAGCTCAAGTTATTATCCTTGAGCTGATGCACGCGCTGGGCGACCTCCTGCTGGGCAGCAGTCCAAGATGAACGTAGGGCCTGCGGCGCGTCCTCAGGACATTGCGCACCTAGTACGAAGCGCAGCAACGTGTCCACGGTGAGGAGTGTGTCATGAGGGAGCGCAAGGAGTTGGTTCCTGAGTGGACTGGGCGCAGATGGCGCGAGCGAGTTGAAGAATAGTGCATCTATACCCGCGTTAGGCATGATGACGGGCGTGGCCTGTTGAGTATGTAATCAGTGCTCGAGAGTCTAGAAGAGATAAAACACGATTCAAAAGAAAGATCACAGTCGTCAATCCAAGTTCACAGCCGTCAATTCAAGTGAAAATGCACATAAATCATGAAAGGCAGTGTGAAAGACACGAGGTAGGTCCGACTAAGCAAGACACGGAGACAGAGTGCGTGTACACTGTCGCCTCCATTGCATCAGCACTCCTCGTCAGTCAACAGAGCGAAGAGCCCGCAAACGGACTCGAGAAACTCGTACTTGCGATATATGTGGCAAAAGAGTATACATCAAGATACTACCCGCGCGCCAGGTATCCTGCGCCACTATAAGGGTATGGGAATGTATTTAGCCATAAGAAGGGGTATCTCAACGTAGGCGAGAGATCAAGAGGCACAAATCGAAATATGCACGGGCGGTATGCTGCCGTCGGACGTTGACCGTGTCAGGCGGTGGTGCGCAAGCAACAAAGTAAGTTTGATAGCGCAAGGCGGAAACACATCGTATAAGCACCGTTGCCAACATTTTTAATCAGGGCGGCCGACACCTTGACCAGTCGGAAATGTGGGACTCGCTGACGAGTGAGCCGACGAGCGAAGTCAATCACGTTGAAATCTCCATTCTGCGATCAGGTACGGCATCGGCGGTGAGAGCGCCTCCTTAGAATCCCACTCGCGTAGACAACAGTCCCCGCCCCCATAACAGCATGCTGACCAATGTGTCCATGAACGACAAGCAGTAGATTGGGATGGCTTTGAGGTCATAAGCCGCAGGCAAAGGATAGCACGTAGTCAGCTTATAGAAGGCCATATATTTGGCGCGGAGGAAGTTCCTCTGCTCGTGACAGGATATCGCTCGGCTGTAGCATGCTAACAGGCGCGACGCCGTGGGTGCAGAGTATGGCCGTGAACTTGGACTAACTGCACACATCTTCCAACTATGAGCGAATTCGGCGTGATAGCCGGAGAAGAAACCCGAAGACCCCGTGTGAACTCTGTTGCGAGCGCTCGCTGGATGGGCAACTGAGACCGCAATGGTGGTTCAACTCACCTAAGATACCTTCAGGTGCGAGGAGCGTCCCCGCGACGAGATGGGGCCTGCGAGTGAGGGAGTTATTCGTGAGACGCTGTGAGCTTTGGCGGGAGAACACAGGACATGTAATAGAAGATCTAGGCCCTGCGCACGAGCCTAGTGCCTGGGTCCGTGCGCTTGCCGCATGCGCCCAGTCCTTCGGACGCGCTTGACGTCCAACAACATAAACGCAACAACCAGGAGCAGAAACTCACCGCGAAAAGAGGGAGAGCGTAGGAGGACGAGACCGACGCGTGCCGCCACAACTTGAACGCGCCACGATCGCGACGCGTGTCCCGAGACGGCGGGAGCACGTGCTCTTCAGACGCGGTCTCGGTCCGGATATAGCCGACCCAGAATTCCGAAGGCGCCTCCTCGAACTGCCTGTCGGACGACCAGTCGTTCTTGAGTCTTGACGACGAATGAGTCTTACCTCCAACTCTAGCTGGGCAACAAAATGCGAAATATTACTGTTGACTAAGGGCATTCGTCACTACTGAGGTCTCACGAAAGGGTTCGAGGGTCTTCGATGCCAACGACTGCTCCGGAAATTCGTCGAAATGTCGCGAATCTGGGTGCTGGTTCCTCAACCAACCAGCAGGTACGTCTCCTTCATGACAGATGCGCACTTGGCTGGGCGAGACGGCGCCGCGGGCAGCATCGTCTACCATCGTGAACGCTTCCTGAACTTTCCACGGCCGATGACGTCGTGGCTAACCGCCCTCCGTTGCACGGTATATAAGGACTGTTCTTGGGCAGTCCCCTCTCCCCAGCAGAACACATTTGTTTGAGACACTCGCTTGAATACGCTCTACTTCACTCCACACCCTCTTCTTTCTTCACGATCATAACGACTCAACATGTCCCTCTCGACCTTCTTCTACGAGCCTTTCTACTCCCTCGCCGACTTTGACCGCCTGTTCGACGAGGCCTTCTCTGCCCGTACTGGCACCAACGCTGGGTCACAGAACAACAATCGCCAGGTCCAGAGACAGGACAGTTCCTCAAGGTTCCTTCGCCCAAGGTGTGTTTACTTCGTCCATTCGCGCGCACACTGCCTTACTGACCGAACATTCACAGGATGGATCTTCATGAGGACGCCCGGCAGAACACTGTGACAGCAGCGTTCGAGCTTCCGGGTCTCAACAAGGACAACGTCTCGATCGACGTGCACAATGGTGTGCTGACGATCTCTGGCGAGTCAAAATTCTCGAATGACCGCGACGAGAACGGCTACGCGGTTCGCGAGCGGAGGTACGGCAAGTTCTCGCGCGCGATTCCACTCCCGCAGGGAATCAAGGTAAGCAGTCTGTCTGCTTGACGCAGAGAATGCCGTAAGCTAACGGACATGTCCACAGAGCGATGACATTCGTGCATCGATGGAAAACGGCGTGTTGACTGTGACGTTCCCGAAGACGACGCCGGAGACGGCGCCGAAGAAGATCACCATCTCTTAAGAAGCTTCAAGATGGGTTGACGAACCTGGAGTACTCGGGTTAGCAGGATGTCTGCTGTGTATACTGTAGTATTGCGGGTTCGAGCGTAATACAGCCCACATGTTTGGGAACGTCTTCTGAATCTCCTGGGGTGACTCTGATACCATTAGAATGATCATCAGGATTGTGGTCGCTCGGCGCCATCAACTGATAACAAATGCTACCGACTTGATGGAATGGAGGCTGTCTTGATACACGCAGCGGGCTGGACCCGTTGCCCGGAGTCCTGACATGCTCTGGACATTGCAGCTGACATCCCATGTTGATGTTCGGAGTACGGCGCGCCCATGGAAAACACTATCCCGACCGTACATTGTCCGGAGCATGGCTAACTTCCGGACCTTGCGACGGCCCCTACTGTTATACCTGCAATGACACGGCCCAATGTTCTGCTCTGCAGCCGCTAGACTCTGCACTGGCCGCTAGATCCGAGAATTGTCTGTTGTTTGGCTTTCGTGGCGTCCACTCCGTAAGACGCTTTTCGGAAGCGCCCCCCACAACTTCATCAGCTCGTTCACCAAGAATAATCCATTAAGACTCCTACCCATAAAACGCTTATCTCCCTCAGCTGCAATCAGCCTTGTAAACGCTAAATGGCGGAGTCCGAATTGCCGAACAAACAGCGTACATTTTCAGGGGTCTTGATGACGTCTATTACTGAGGGCTCGATTTCGTCTAACTTGTGTTTGTCAAATGTGCTAGGGTTTCATGAAGGCTGTGATACAGCATGTACAACCAAGGCTTGCTCTACAGTACGCCCGTAAATGACGATCATAATGTTACTTGTTGGCATTGCGCTAGACCGCAGTAAAGTCATACATGTTAGCCATTCGCAAAAGGGACTCAGCGTAATGCTATATCGGCAGCTTAGTCACGACTGAAGCTGTACTTTCTGACGAACTAACGCCTCCATCAGTGCAGTGCCAATGGAGAAACCGAACAAACGAAGACACACCAAGGCGTGCATTGCCATGTCACGAATGCCACGGGTGCGCGTTTGACTGAAACTACAGCTCATTACCGACACGTACAATATACCAGTGAATGTTTCGCTCCATGACCTTGTATCAACATTAGTGTCAGCAGACGTGTATTCGCGTGGTCGTTCGATAGCGCCCACACGCTCATTGATAAGCTCAATAAAAGAGTTTCCTCTGTTAATGCGGAGAAACTGGCATCAAGCATCATTTCATTCGATGGCAATGTACCAACGTGCGTCATGCTATTGAACGGGATACATCTTAGGCCAGCTCTTCGAAAGCGATCGGGCCCAGGACAATGGCGAACGGCCATTGACCGGGAAGCCCTCTGTAACCGTTGGCTCACACGACTGCTGAAGACTGCCGCAGGAGTGGGCTTCCCTCAGATGGCTTAGATCAAGGTGCAGTCTGCTTCACTGCTTCGACATGCTCCGCCAGTACAAGATTGCCTCGAGGCTAAGGGCTGCCGCAGGGCACCTTTTCCTCCATCCCTCCTCGAATTTGCTCTTGGCCTCTCACCGAAACATTGCGCAGCCCCCGATATGCGTGGAACCATTGACGTAGACTCTCGTATGGCGTACGAGTTGCGCCTCCGCGATGTCGCGACCAGCCGCGAAGAGGCGGATGGGAGCTATCGCTCGCTGGATGATACACATCGTTTGGTCGAAGAGGTCCCTCGAGGATCGACAGACGAACCCCCTCGCATCTGGACGTCGTCTCCATCCCAGATGCTTCATGCAGACGAGCACAAGCGTTATGGTAGGACGAGAGAAGAGTCAAATGCTACTGTAAGCGCAAGCAGTAAGAGTCCATCATAGTAGGCTCACGCAATGCAGCTCAACAATGAGGATGAACCTGCTGGAAGAGCTAAACGTGCTTCCATGCGTAGAGATGAGGTTTGCTCCCATTCTAATTTCATTATCCGTTAATATTACTAATCAATTTTAGCCTCTCCCTCAGACATCACCAAAAGGAACTCGACAAAGGATGAATTCCGAGGGCCTATCAAGCGAACCGCCGATTTGGGCAGCGTGCGCCGAGATCGTATGGGCACGTGAGAGTGAGATGGTAGAGAAATGGAACGCCGAGATTGATGCCCTGCTTGTATTCGTAAGGCTGTTCTTTGTTCATGCTTTGAGCATCCGGCTGACTTAACGCACACACTATGTAGGCGGGTCTCTTTTCCGCGGCGTTGACGGCGTTCAATGTACAATATCTCATTTCACAACCTCAGTCTCCGCCTAGCAATCCCACACCGCAAATCACCATTCAGATACCTGCCCAACTGATTTCTCTTATCACGGACGCCGGAAGTCGGAACAACTCCTTTGCGGACCCAATATCAATAGTCCTTGCGTCATCAAACAACTCATCATCAAACAACTCGGCTTTGACTACATCGTCTATTGCCGTCAACACTCTCTGGATTGCGGCGCTGGTGTTTAGTCTCGCTGCAGCTTCTATCGCCATATCAGTCAAGCAATGGCTGAACCAGTTCACAGCTCGCGTTACCAGCATGCCCCGCCAGAACGTAGTGGTCTGGTACTCTCGACGGCGCGGTTTCGTGAAATGGAAGGTTGAAGCCATCATCAACCTCCTTCCAATCCTCCTGCAGATCGCCCTCGTTCTCTTCCTGATTGGACTCATGGAACTGATCTGGACGATCAACATGGTGATATTCTACACCGCCATACCATTCGTGGCGCCCCTTCTACTGTTCTCCCTGTGCACCTCGGTGTTCCCGGCCATATCGGCGGACTGTCCGTACCGTTCTCCGCAGGCATGGTGCATAGCTGTTTGTGTTCAGTGGATCAAATCAGGCCTCGGCATCGGACGTCGGTCTGTCGACTGGATTGAGTCGGAGCGCGACTTTGTGACATCGCAAGATCATCGCTTCGCAGACCCCATGCTACTCGTGGAGGCGGACGCGGCCGTGATGGACGAAGTTTTCCTGAAGACGGTCATTCAGCCATATATGGCTACGTGTTCACTGGATGACGCGACTGAGATCCTCTTCGGTATCTTCCAGAACAGAATCCACGGCATCTCTGACAGCAGATTAGCGTGGAATGTTGATAGGAATGCGTTAACCACTATAGCGCGGATGACATTCGACTTGCTCTACCGGTTCGTCAACAACCAATCCTCTCCTTCATCCGATGCCCCACCACAGAAGGCACCGATCAACATACCTCCCAAGCTTGTGACCGTTCTACAGAAGCTGATCGTTGCAATGCATGCGGATCCACGCGCATCAGTCTTCCTTCGTCTATTGCGGTTCCTCACGCGAGATGACCATCGCCTCTCAGTGGATGTCTTTAACCGTCTTGTAGACGTTGTTCTCGAGGACGCTCGAGGGTATCTGGAGCAGGGAAGTCGCGTCCATGATGGTACGAGCCACTTGTCACAATTTCCTCTCCCCTGCTGAATCTGCGTAGTGTATGATTCTCTTTTTAATCTGCTCGAAAACAAGAAGGACATTTTGTCAGGCCGTGCGCGTAGCCGCTTGATGCACATCGCCTTTGATAAGTCCGATTGGCTGGCCATCCTCATCTCCGAATCAGGTGCGTCGAAGCAGTTCGTGTCCAAGCGAAGTTCCCTCATCACCGATTTTATCAGAGGACAGGCTAGAAACACTTTTATCACATATCCCCTTGGCTTTTCAGGGCAAGGATGCAGCAACCTTCGTCCGAACGGTCGTCATGCTCCTGCTCTTGTGTCGCGAAGTAGCAGCGTCTGTTCAACGTCGCATTCGACGCGAGCTGCATATGATGCTTACTTTGTTGCAAGACCGTCCTGGCACTGCGTCTTCATCTATTCTTCTTCATGCAAATCAACGTGAACCCGCGGCAGAGGAAGCTGGAAGCCCCAACGGAGACATTAGCCCACTGGTAATATTGGAGGACTGCCTCACAATTGCTGAGAGGGATTCTGTTGGCGCACAACTACGTGGCTTCTCGGCGTGGAAAAATCTGATCAGACTTGTCCGCCAAGGGGGCACTGTGACATATGACACGTTCATTCAGCACGCCGAGGACATATTCCTGACTCGTGGAGACGCATATAATCTCTGGCTTGTCCTCTAATGTCTTTATCCTCTTCATTCGCAAATACGTGTTATGATGGATCAGGGTATACGTTGAAGCTTTAGATACCTCAAGTATGAATGATAGAAGATGTCTGCATTATGAATCGACGCAATATGTAATGTAGTATAACACCCGGATAGATACATTCTACCCATTGGTTTTGGCGTCCGGCGGCGTTACCCCATGCTACCAATATCATTTTGAACATACAAGAGCATGTTCCTTGTCACGATACTTTGAACGAAAAGGAGTCCGGATATATAGTGCGGGTCAGGAACGCCAGGGGTGCGACAACATCGCGCCGATCCCGACGCGATAACGCGGTGTCATGCGCGCGCGCACACGCGGGGCGAACGGACGTGCTTGGCCGTCAACACATATGGACTTTGTCGTCGCAAGCTATCAAAAATGGTTTGTACCGTGTTCCTCTGCGTGACATAGATTAATGGAAGAAACACATAGATCAACTTCGCGAGGCATTAATTGAGGACGGCTGGATACGCGCCCTCGACATACTGCTCACTGATAGATCAACTTCGATCGCATTGAGGAAGAATGCACTGCGGTGCTTAGAGGACTTTGCCAACACCGAGAACATACCCATCGTCATTGCTCAGATATTACCTACGCTTTTGCGTGTCCTCGAAGGTGGGCTACAGAGCCTACGAGAGATTGCCTCGGACACAATGTGTACTTTGGCACGCTCACGTATGTGTTGGAGCGAGTCATCCTCCTATTCTGAGCTAATATTCCATACAGCGCCACTCAGACAGAACATACCAGCTATTGATACTCCTGCTTGGCTAGTAGAGCGTCTGAAAGAAGATCACTCAATAAATAATGCAGGCCCTTTGATAAGCGTGCTACTGCAACTCACGAATTATGGTACGTCGCGTCACGTCGTATGATGTGTATCTATGAAAGACCAAGGATACAGATGATTCCCGAGATGCATTGCTCCAATATCGCACCGATTTCGAGAAGGTGATCCAGGAAGTAAGCTCGTCCGGTGTGTTTCAGGTTCATAACATCGAGATTGAAACTGCTTTGTGGAAGGCAAGGGTTGCTGTTCCGAACTCAGGCCTGACGATGTAGTGTGTAGCTTGGTATGCTGACCCTTGATCTCGTAACTCTATGTCGCGACAGAACACATATCAATTTGTTGTACTGTTTTGCATATCACCAATATTTGTTTCTCATTTGTTTCTCAGCAGTGATTCATCCTGCACCCACATGGAGTCCAAAATCTGCGACAGACAGCTTGGCGTACACATAGAGCTATAAGTGTTCGAGAATCAAGAGCGTTGACAACACACCGACAGTCAATACTTACTGCACATAAAGACTGAGATCAACAGCTGGAGGAAAGATAATTAGATTGCAGAATTGGATACAGTGCCTGGAACCAAGCCTACACGGACTCCTGTAACAGGGTTGCAACCACGGCAGGGTGAGATGTGAAGCCTTGGCGACTTCTCACATGATATGATGAGCTACAGACATTCATTAGCCCGTGTAAATCCCGTATCTCGAGGTCGGGAAGCTTAGCTTGAACTCACCGACTGACATGAGTAGTGCCAATGAGGTGAATGAGAATCCCAACAAACAGGCATAAGGAGTACTTTATCCATCAAATGCGTCAAAAGCTCAATCGTGCTGCGTTAGGGTTCGTGTTACAACAGCGAACACAGAGCGACAAGGTCAAGCGAGATATCGCAAGGAACTTCCCCGGCACTAACTCCTCTACGAGATGGTGATGCTTAAGGCCATCTCCAGCGTCGTGCTCGGTCATGTCGCGGATAAGACGCCGTTCCCCATAGATGCCCCGATGTTCTCGCTCTGTGCACGCGTTCGTCAGTTCAGTCCTAGAGAGTTAACAAGACAAAGTGCTTACCTTTGTAACTTGCGGATGTGGGATCGCGGGCGAGAGCCCGCCATACCGCCGCTCATATGGCGTAAACGTTCTCTTCATGACAATTTAAGAGCTTTGACTCGCTGAGATTTGTCAGGATGCTACTGTGCACGTTACGTCCATGTTGAGACCTGGCAGATCGATTCCTGCGGCAAAGCGTGTGCACGGTCTATTTTGTTGCGTCTAACGTCGTCTGAGGAGTATCCGTCTGAGGCCTATCCCTTCCTCAGTCTCATGCCCGCTTCCTCCAACATACGTCGCTCCTCTCCGTTAAAATATTCTGCTGGATATCCCCATGGAGTCTGATTTATTCATAGATCAATCGACTTTATGCTTCTCTCAGCGAAATCAGTAATCTAGTCGGCATACGAGGCACAGCGAACATAGCTTGGGCAGAGGAACTTTGAGAGGCTGTCCTGCCTCTAGGCCTGACGATTATGGTTTTGTAGCCTGATGTTGATACCAGTGTGAGTATGAGAAGTATTGTCGGACAGATAGTCGAATGGGGCGAAGGAATAGAAACCCCCGTAGACGATAGTCGAGACATGTTGAGTCGTTAAGGTCGTGTAAATTCAAAGGGGAAAGAATGTAGAGTGGAGTCAAACAGGTCTAGGAGCGAAGGTGCTCCTTTCGCTGAGCGATTCGAGGCAGGGCCCATCACAATCAATAGTTCGATACCAGTCCTCGACCTCCGATCGGGTAGTACATAGGTGCTCGGGCGAACACTTCCACCCCTCCCGCAGCAATAGCACGCGCACAATCGCAGGTACGGCCGCCAAGCCTAGCACCTTCATGAGAAGAACATCAAGAAGAGCCCCCGCAGTCGGACCAGGATCGCGTCCGCCGCGCACCTCAGCAGTGTGTGGACGATGTCCTCAGCCTGTATGCAGCAGCATCACAGCAAGACGTACGTTAGGAAGCGACTGCGGGAGGTATCGCTCAGCATAGCGTTTTCGTTCCACCAGGAGGTTGTGGTCGGATAACAGCAGCTTCGGGAGTGCAATGACCGCGAGGTGATGAGATACGGACATGCGCATATGGTGATGGAAGGTCAGGGTTTTGCGCGTCGACACGCCACCACGCGCAGAGTCCAGGAAGCCATGTAGCAGAGTGGACTTAGAAGACGAGCCCGTGGCTGCCTGCACGGTGGCATCCATGGCGCCGTCTGAGATGCGATCTGGGGAGGTCATCCTGGAGAAGCTGACGCAGTTCGACCTGCCCAGCACAACCATGAGGTCCCCGGCCCGCAATCCCTGATTCAGTATTGAGAAAGCGGTGGCTTCTCCCGGGGCACGGTGCTCCAAAGAATCCCGAAGTGGTAAACACAGGTTCCGGAGGGCGAGTAGCAGCCGGCGGTGAGCTAGGAATTCAAGTGCTCAGTCTCGCTGAACATAGGCGTGACAATGACACCCATCTGTAGTCCTAAAGCCGTGGCGGAGGTAGGCGTGTACGCCTGCAAGCACTCGCAGCAGCGCCCCACCGATGTCCATATTGAGAAGGAACTTCGAATTTGACGAAAAGCGCTCAGCGGTATCAGCGATGGCACGAGAGCGCTAATTGTTGGTCAAGTGCATTTTCCTACGGTCAACGAGGTCAGCTGTTAGGGCCAGCTGAAACACTGCTTCAAAACAGACTGTTGCGGCCCCTGTCAGGCTTCAAGCTCTGCATTACACCATCTGCACTACATGACCATTGACTATCAAACTTATAGCTTGATTTCTAGTGTTCGGGCTCGTTCAGGACTGCCACAGACGGCATGACGCATTTTATCCAGCGGCATTCAATTCATTCAATTGCTTCCAGCGCTGACATGATCTCTACTGCCCCGTAGTCGCCACCTATCTCTCCGAGCTTGGGTATCAGTCTCATGAAACTACCGACGTCCAATCGCGCGACTGGTATATGAGGCTTCTGGGAATGCATCTTGCGATGAAGCTGCACTTCTATGTCCACGTCGTCGATTCTACGGCTGATATCGATTCTCATTTTCGGGATCCGCCCGGGCGCAAGCTCTTATCTAGCGGTTTCGCGATACACGGCTGCAATGGAGATGTACATTCACGGCAACGGCTCTGACTTGCTTAGCGCTGCGGTAACTTGCAGCCATCTTCAGCTGGTGCCTTCTGATCGCTGCAGAACACTCAGCATTCTTGGATGTCATAGAGATTTCTGAATCCTTGGACTATCTGGTCTCTCAGGCTATCGTGTGTTACATTCAGGCTGTGAAAAGGAAGCTCTGTCGACCATCGTCATAGGGCGCTTAGCCGACCGTCCGCGTTTGCTATTTCCAAATCTTTGCGGCGGCTCACACTGGAACACTCGTTGCAATGAATGTATCGCTGCCGTGTATGTTAACCTCTGGTCATGAACGGCGACCATGGCGCTCTCTCACTGCACCACGCTTCGGCGTCTTATCGTGTACTATAAGGATTTGGACTCCCCAGTGCTCGCCTATCGGCCTCCGAATGCCTCACTACAAGATGCACTTGACCTCGTATCTCTTGCTTGCTCCTTTGGTGCTAACTGGCTATACGTTTGCGCTTCCGGTACATTCATCGGGTCAAGCGTTCTTGGCTGCTCCCTCCACCTTGGATGGACGTAGAGATACCAAGGTACTCATCCTAGGTGGAGGCGTGGCAGGTGTAACGGCAGCGCGTGCGCTGTATGAGCAGGGTGTCACGGACTTCATGATCGTGGAAGCTCGTGGTGAGCTCGGCGGCCGCCTGACGAGCCAGACCTTCGGCGCGCCTGGTCGGCAGTACACTGTGGAGGTGGGAGCAAACTGGGTGCAAGGGACGCAGACGGGAGGCGGTACCGAAAATCCTATCTGGGCACTGGCAAAGAAGCACAATATCATCACAAGGCAAAGCAACTTCTCTGAGAGCATAAGTGCTTTCATTCCGTGTTTTCTTCTCACAATGTCTCTGACACAGATGGTGCAGCAACGTATGACGATACAGGCGACGTCGACTTCCAAGATACGTTCATCACATCAAAGAAGCAGTTTGACAGGCTGGTCGCATCTGCGGGTACGCTTTGCGTGTGGGCTTGGATTCTCAGGCTATTCAGACTCATGTTCCACAGGCCGCCGGGTTCCCAAGAGACTCGTCGACATGACCGCGAGGAGTGGCTACTCGCTCATTGGGTCGATTCCTGAATCTCGCTACGACATGGCATCTGAGTACTACCAATTCGACTGGGAGTTTGGAACTACGCCCGAGGAGACGTCCTGGCTCGCCTCGTCCTGGGTGCATCTCTTCGCTCACTCGGCTCCGCCTTGCCACGGCCACGGCTCCCAGCCGAGTCTGTCGGGTAGACGTCGCTTTCCCACGTCGCATGTTACTAACGGACGCAATACATTAGGCTCATAATTACACATTCAGCCCCGAGTCTGGCGGTTTCTCGTACGATAACCTGTTCTCGGTCGATCAGCGCGGCTTCAAGGCTCTTATCCAGGAGGAAGCGCGTTCGTTCATAACGCCGACCCAGCTGCGTCTGAACGCGACGGTCAGCGTGATCTCGACGTCCATGTATGGCGCGCAGATCACGCTGGCCGACGGATCAGTATTGACGAGCGACTACGTGCTATGCACGTTCAGCCTGGGCGTGCTACAGCACACCGATGTGCGATTTGAGCCTCCGCTACCGATCTGGAAGCGGGAGGCGATACACAGTATGACAATGGTGACTATCGCCTATGTTGCCATGATCTGCGCAGAGGCCGCTGAATCACGTCTAGGGCACGTACACGAAGATCTTCCTGCAGTTCCCAGAGAAGTTCTGGTTTGACACCGAGGTACGTCAATGGCGCTGATCGATCCATTAATCATTGCTAGGATGGTGAGATGCTGACAAGGCGCAGATGGCGCTCTACGCGGACTACGAACGTGGCCGGTATCCAGTCTGGCAGAGCCTCGATCACCCGGACTTCTTGCCCGGCTCGGGAATCATCTTTGTCACGGTCACAGTCAGTGGATATCTCTCCCAGGCCTGTGATACTCACAACAATTCCATGAAAATGCTCGCAGGGCGAGTTCTCCAAGCGTATCGAGTCTCTCCAGGATGTGCAGGTGGAAGATGAAGTGCTTTCGGTCCTCCGGTCGATGTTCCCCGATACACACATCCCGAAGCCGCTCAACTTCTACTTCCAGAGGTGGCACAGCGACCCGCTCTTCCGCGGGTCGTATTCGAACTGGCCGGCGTCGTTTCTAAGTGAGCATCAGGGGAACCTACGTGCGAACGTTGATGAGCGTCTATGGTTCGCTGGTGAAGCAACCAGTAGGAAATACTTCGGTGCGTCGCAGCCTTTCACATTCGCTCATTGGACCAGACGTAACGGCATCCAGGCTTCCTGCATGGCGCGTACTCCGAGGGCTGGGATATTGGGCTTAGGTTGGCAGAGTGCATCAGGGGAGGGGGATGTGTTGGGTTAGAGCATGTTGACCAGGTGCGGAATGCTAGACCGTACGTGAGCAGCTGAGGATAGGTCATTAGCATATTGTTTCCGATATGACATACGTATGTGGACAGGCACTTTCCACGCGTGCCGAGTGATGAGTTATTTCCAGATCATAGTTCGAGGATTGTGAAGAGCGCTCGACCATTGTTCTATTTGTGTTGTGTTTTGGTTTGACCTGTGATATCTGTATCAAACATATCTCGCAAGAGAGCACCATAACGATACCCTGTATCTTCAAAAGATATAGTCGGGAGTCAAGTATAGTAGATGTACCTGTTCTGTGATATCGTGGATTGATGCATTCATGATGTTCATGTCGCGACGAGCATCAGCATCGTAACAAGCCTCAGCTGTGTCTGTAGTTACAAGGTCAGAATAAATAACGGTCCGTAATGCCCTAGTCGACGTTATACTACGCAATGACCTTCACATTCTCCATTGTTAGTACGCGCCATAGGCGCCAGCCGTATTCCTTCGGGATAAACAACAGTACGATGCTATCTTCTACCGTACGAGGATCGTACCTATCAGCGTTTCGAGCATCAATGCCCTCAGGGAGCTCGTCCCAATGCTTCAAAGCGCTCCTCTCGAATCCAGACCAAGTGCACCTATCGACTTGCTTCCGAGCAATACGAATGCATCGCCGCATGATATCGATGGCACTGACTGGAGGTGTCATTTCCCCGACGGTGTTATCGGAGGAGGATGTCCCGAAGATGTCCATGACATTCCTGGAGGATGTTGTCACGGATGTCTTGGCAGCGTCAATGTCGTCGAATTGAGCTTGTCGACTGATCATCGCCGTATGTAGAACACTTCGGATCTTGGAGGCGTCATTCGCGGACAACATATAAGACGAGCACAGGACCATGGTAGTTGTCCACACGAGCGATAGGATATCCTCCGGGCGAAGAGCTTTAGGAATGCATCGGATGAAACCCTCTAGATCTGCTCATGCCATCCATATATAATTAGAGACATATGGGACGATACTGGTTGAATTTGCGAGCTCACCCGAGTAGCTCAGTATTCCCGCGTAATGTGCAATCCCGTCGGCCAGAATGGACGACAGCAGCCATCGCGACTGCTGCGTTAGTGCCTTCCTCGAAGATGTTTTCCCTGAGAGGATTTTCAAGGAGCGCATGAAGAGGCCCGGATGAGGCTCCTGTTCCGCAAGTCGTGTGACAATACGGGGGAGCATCACCTCTGGAGTGTCTAGATTTGCTCGCGCGACGCTAGCGGTGGGCGAAGTCGAGTCGGTGCCAACACGCATGATCGCGTCCAAGATCAGCGTGGCGATGATCGTCAGTTGGAGCGGCTTGCCCTGGTCTCTGTAGAGCTTGTCGAAAGCCCTCCGTTCTGCGCGACCCTGTATGATTAGCTCTAGGGTATGGCAAGCGTCGACTAGCGGGCTGTTTTCAATGAAAGGACGGACAGCTTTATCCATATAATCATCGGCTTTCAGAACGCTGTCGGGATGCGCCATCAAGTGAGGGTCCTGAGGAGGCGCGGCATCCTCCGCTGATAGACGTTCGAAGTCCGTCCACGTAACTGGTATTTCTGGACGCTTCCGGTGTGCTCGCAATCTAATCGCCACTGTCATGAGGAATCACGCAGTCGAAGATGCAGAATATAAACTTACATAGTGCGCACCATCCGTTTCGTATGTGAGACGACATAGACGAAGAACCACGCGAGTGGAGACTTGTACGGGCATCCATGGACGAAAGCAGGCATGATTGCAGTGACCACAGTGAACAGTAGCAAGGCGCCAATCTGAACAGATACGATCACCGCGACTAGGGCGTTCATGCTCCATAGCTGAACCACCAAGCCAACGAGGAAAAGCGCCAGAGCAATTTGCAGGAGGATGGGAAGTACACTGATGATATTCGCGACCCACCACGCATCGAGATTACGTCGTCGGTGAGACCAAACGCGAACGCTAGGACGCGCGTTCGCCGGCACGCTAGTCTGATAGCGATGAAGCCACTGCTTCACATAAATTCCGATGGAGGCCATTGCCAGTGTACAGACGAACGCCGAGAGCCAGCATGTGTTTGTGATAATTGTGGCCTCCTCGGGAGTGATATTCGTCGATGACCCGAGCTCAACGATGTATGCTGGGACTGTTGTATTTCCGGCGTTCCCCTGACTGGTTGAGTCGAAAAGCCGAATCTTCGCCACCAAGGACGCATCATTAGCTTGTGGTTGTAGTAGGACATAGTATGGAACGATGAATGCGGTCAAAATTGCGGCCAAGAGACCATCCTGTGTAAATTTTGTTAATGCAAGTATGAGTGCGAGAGCGAGCAGGGCGACGACTTACAAATATGAGAAAAGCATCAATCTCTGTGTTCCAGTTTTCTATCATCTTCTTATCGTGCTCCCACACAGCCTTGGAGCAGTCCTTCCAGCCGGCCGGGTTGACCAGCTCTGTTACACTGTTCGAGTGATCCGAAGTGGCCTGCTTAGTATAATTATATGAGCTTAATCGGACCAGGAATAGACTAGGATAGTTATCTGTACCGGAGACTTAAGATCCGAGTCCGAACCATCCCACTCGTCGCTGATGCCCATGGCATGGTCGTCCGCTCCGGCTTCGATATCAGGCACAGAAGTGTAGGATAGCTTGGAGTAGCTGTGGGCTCTTGTCATGTCGGATTGAAAGTACTAGTGCAGTCTTGTGAGTCGTCTGGGATTTTTATACGTCTTTGGATCCACAGTGTTAATAACTTCACGCATAATCGCACATGAGGCTCCAACTACTGCAACGTACCTCCTTCCACCGTTCCGGACCGCACGCTTGCGGGCCTGTACGAGATGGATTCCTCAAGGGAATCGAAACGCCGCGGCAGAAGACAGGGAATTTGACAATTGAACTCCATGTATGCATATGTTTATCTCGACCACCCTGACACAAAAGGCGAGGACTCGACAGCGTCAAGATGTGCACATCGGTTGATCCGCTCTTGGGGCTGGAACAATGAGCTCTATGCCGGCATCTGGGGGTGGTCAGAAGCCTTGGAGGACGTAAGTGCTCTCATCCCAGAACATCCACATTCTGCATGGTCACCCCACAACGAGTGACTTGATCTTGGGAAATTGATGTGTGGTACTGATGGTGAGTGGGAAAACTCGAAACAGGATAAACTCAAAGATTGGGGTTCCACCTGCAGCCACTTTCCCCAGCCAATCATGGTGGTTAATTGCGTAAAGCGGGACATGCCGTAAGCCAGAGTCTGCGAGCGCTTGCGACGAGCACTGTCGCTTATTTGCCGCTGAGGAGGTGAGATTCTGCTCGTGGTTTTTGACCGCTTTAGTCTCGCTTCTTTTTCAGGGACATTTAAGCGACAAATTCAAGCGTACCTTGTGGCACACTTCAGTGGGCTCCAGAGGGTCGTGCATTGGTCGGTCACTCGGTAAATTATCTGGGGTCTGCATAACTGTACTTATGATCAAACAACGCCATCACATATGTGGTCATTCGCGAGCAAGGGCATCGCCGATACTCCTGGCGGCACTTCGAGTTACAGAATAGGTTATGCCTCCGAATCGTATTGGCCTGTCTGACCGGCCGATTTGACGATGAGTCTGAATTGTCACTTTCGCATCTGGACACTTCCACGTTGATTCTCGAGCTCCGTTCTTTCCCTGTTGGCTCCAACACAATCGTTCTGCTGATCCCTGCACTCGTTCATCACACAGGAGTATATAGCGTCTACCCTCGAGCACATCTGCTCTGTAAAGTGGCGCAGACCATCGGGACACGTCGAACTCAGAGACCGGCCCGAATTTTAAACTGTCCGGATCCTGCGGAAAGGCAAATTGATAGATCTCAATTGTGATATTGTGGAACTAGATGCCCCCGTCCGACTCAGCCACGATGCTAATAACAATGAAGGCGAAATCTACTGCAGCTGCGGAAAGAAACACAAGTAAAGTCATGTTGTTCTGCTAAAGTTCAATAATTTGAATTTGTACGTCAACCTGCAGTTCTTCAGCTCCCGAATCAAGGAACACGACGTCTCCGCATGCAAAATGCGGATGCAGTGAGACTCTTAATCGCGACACGAGACGCAAGTTTGAAATACTTCAAGCTGCCTTCAACGCAAGCCCCGCCCAATCCGCGCCGCATAGAGCAGGAATCAGGACACAAGCAGGATCACGAAGGTAGTGTTTGACATATTCTTGACTCCCTTGATGTGATCCTTCTCTTCGTCAAAGGTATGGACAATGTGCAACATCTCCGCCAAAGCATGCAGACTATGCCGCATGTATTCATATCGTCCGACCTGGCCGCAACCCTGCGACAAGCATTGCGTCAACGACTTCATGTCTTTGTGATATATGGAAGCCTTCCGGTAGGCGCACTCGTGCAATATGTTCACTCAGCTGATTGTGTAATATAAGCTGCAGAACTACTCTGTCTTTTCCATCAGCTCACCTCAATGTCGACACATAAACCTCCGAGTTTGAAACACCGTCACTCCCCTTGGGCGTATGATAGTATAAATGAAGGTCAGCAATCACATCAATTGCGGAGGCTTCCACGGTATGTTCACATCGCTTTGAGCCCTTCAATATTTGACTGAGACGAATGGCGTTATCAGTATCCATGGCGAAACTGGAGAAGCTCTGCGTTGTGGCCATTGCAAAGCAAGGAAAACCGGGAGGAATCTTGTAGTAGCGCTGGACGGTACTATGAACCAATTCGGTCTCAAGGTGATGATACAGTTAGATGTGTGCGTGGGACCAAGCATCTAATTGTCTTCACAGAACACAAACGTCGTCGAGATCTACGCGCGCATAGAACAGAACAACGAGCAGCTCAAGTACTATAGCAGCGGGATCGGAACCTACGCCAACCCATCTAGGAAACACACGTGGACCCTGCTCAAAACAAAAATGGAAAGCTCAATCGACCTCGCGATCGCATGGTAAGTGTCATATGAAAAGTGGAAGATCTTTGTGACAGAAACGTTGCCAGGAATTTCGAGAAAATCATTCTGGCAGCTTATCGTTGGCTCTCTGAAAACTATAAGCCGGGAGATCAGATATTTCTGTTCGGTGCGTAATGTCTCTGCTCTGCCGTACACTGCAATAGAAACCTGCTCGAAAGGCTTCTCCCGTGGAGCATACCAGGCGCGAGTACTTGCTGGAATGATTGACGAAGTGAGTAGTGTAATGAATGCGACATTAATGCCACTTACTTTGAGCAGGTGGGACTCATTAACCCCGGAAACGAGGAGCAAATTCCGTAGTAAGTTCACGGTGCAACAAGGTTATACCTTAGTCAACGATTACATTAAGCGCATATGAGCTGTATGCTGCGGCATCTGAAGGCAAAGCATCAAAGTCGTGCGTATATACTTGTACCTTCGCCGTGCATTCCTCAGCTATCAGCAGCAGCCGGAAAGTCATGGAAACAAACGAACCGCTGACACGTGTCTTCAAAACTACTTTCTCCCGCACAGACGCGAAAGTACACTTTCTGGGGGTATGGTATGTATGCAGCTATGTTTAAAGTTGGAATGAGCGATTGAAAATCAAAGGGATACGGTCTCATCCGTGGGACTCACTCGGTCCTCACGGCACCTACGCAACACACAAACTGTTCATCACGTCTGCTATTTTCGACATGCTCTTGCTCTGGACGAGCGGAGGGTGAAGTTCTCTCCCGAGGACATCCTTCGTTCATGGAGCTTCGGGCAAGGAAACACAAGCGATATCAATGGGAGTAACGCAAACTCTTCCTTGCAATATACTCGCAGTGAACAGCCGTGCTCCTTGGCGAACGGAAAACATTGCACTTCATGCATCCGGCTTCACCAACGTAATGACGATAATGAACGACGAAAGGAGGTCTGGTTTGCAGGCTGCCACTCAGACGTGTGCGTTCTATTAGACCTTTCCTGACATGATGACTACTGAATATAGTACATCTTAGTGGTGGGGGAAATACCCTGAATCCCAAGCTTCAGTTACACGGCATATCGGCCATCTGGATGGCAAATGAAGCTCAAGCGAAAGGCCTCAAGATGACGATTTCTGAGGCAGAACTAGATCCGGACAAGTTCAAGAAGCAGGATCCGAAGGAGTCCTTGAAATCTGGATGGTGGTTGCTCGAGCTCCTTCCATTCTTCAGCCGCAAGGAAGACTTCCCCAAACGCCATAGATGGTGATGTGTACATTTTGCGAATACGCTTGGAAGATTTGCTCAATCTATCTCAAGGTTTCTCCCGCACTTGGGAGCTCACCGCTTCATCCATCGCGGACAGAAAGTTCACCTGTCAGTAGCGATCAAGAATGGCTATCACCCGAAAGCCCGTTTTGCTGTGTGTGATAGTTTGCATTCATGGGACAAGATAATAGGGTTGAATCCCGACCATACACGGACCGACTGGATGGCGGAATTACACGACGTCGTCGAGCTGGACCTGTACGACGTCTCGATCACAAATTGCCGAGTTGAACAGCTGAAAGGTGATATCCAAAATGTTGAAGCACGCAAGACTGTACGAGATGCGCTTGATGAGTTGTCAATTCTTGCCCTCCAGTGTGCGTTGTATATATCAGAGAGTATCCGTGACCGACATCACCTCACATTTTGACAGCTTCTCGTGCCCGCGCAATCCACCGTGCTGATGGGAGCATCGGCAACACTCTTGCCCGTATTCTCCATACTACACGACTTGGTAGCACCTCGCTACAAGAAGCACAGGAACTTCAAACCCTGCGACAGGAAGTACTTGAACTGGTTGAACGACTCGCGGAGCACAGTACGGGATGACTTCTGTTGATACCGGTTAAGAAGCATCGTATTAACCTTGATTTGTACAGAAATCGGCAACCCAAACCCTTCGGCCGATAATGCGCTGATCAATGCAATCAAGTCCTGCTACCTAGACTCAAAGACCTCTGCATGCCCTTCATCCGAGCTACGCACTCTCCTCATGCTATATCAGGACGCCAGAGACGACATCCATCATACCTTTGATGACGACACCAAGTCGATCATCATCCAAGCACTCCGAACAGAGTACTCTTCTCTTGCTGTCTCAGCCCTCTTCACTCTGGTGCTCAAATGCGGTGAGTCGCTGTACAACCTGTTTAATTATATAATTGAGTCTGTGCTATCAAGGACTTGATCTCGACGAAGCGCTAGATGCCGTCACCTCGTTGCTAAATGATACTGAAGTCAGGATGGAGTATCAGGAGTCGGCCGTCGTAGAACTGGTTCATGTACTTCGAAAAGGTATGTGACCAAATATGCGCTCAAGATACCATCTGACCTGCTATAAGTCTACGACTGCTATTGTCTTCCCTACCACAGGACTCAGACCTCTATACAGAAACTTGTTCTCGCTCTTCAAGACCTGTTTGTGTTACAAATGAAGAAAGTTCTTGCATTGTCGACCTCGGAGATCCGGAAATCGTGTATGTTGCACAAGAACACAGCCTGAGCTGACACTAGTAAAAATCTCACATGTCCTACAGATCGAGAACAGGCCGCGGATGACAAGAAAATGCGAGGCCACGGGTGGACCACGAATTTCTGGAGAAGATTGTCATCCACGGAAGGTGGGGATATCCCGGGTGGCAAGCCTAGTACGTAGGGTCGACACTCAGTGATGCTGAGAACAAGCCGCTGATGTATTCCGCCGGAACACCGCCTTTGACGTCCCAGTAAGGGATTTCAGCGCAATCAAAGGCGTTATATGGGGCCCAGTCGTTCGCAGGGCGTTGGTCGGAGTAGGTCGTGATAAGGATAGTCATGGTGGGTTGTAGTTGAACACATTCACGCGTCGCTTATGTCCACTGCTGATTCACAATGAACGTTTATATTATACAGATCCCGATACGCTCAACCACATAGATCTCCCTTCATCTACCGAATCACTGCGAAAGGCATTTGATCAGCTGCATATGACCCTCCTTGTTCTTGCAGAAATTGCCCGCAGAGACGGTAGGTTCCTCTCATACCAGGTGATTGCTGGTCTCTGGACACTAACGGATGCTATTTAGATCAAATGGTGGATATGCCTGTGGGAAATGTGTTCACGGAGGTCGTCGAGAGCACGGTCCGCCAAATTAGCAAAGCGGGCCCCACTTTTGACACGAATCTATCCTTCGACGCCTCTTCTGCCTCGGAAGCACTCCACGTGCTGCTCGGCGCGTCCCTCTTCTGTGAGCTCATACTGGATTTCCACCCCTTGCAAGCTAATCAGCGGTACAGATACCTCCCTCCCCGTAGCCCTCAAGAGTGGCTATGCTGATGTAATCTTCAACGTGATAGAATCCAACCATTATGCACTACACGCGGACGCTCTTCATGCAGTGTTTCGCATCGCTCATGCCGGTATGTGTGCGAATCATAGAATGTGTCGGATTGGCTGCTAACGTTCGTTTACCATAAGATGAGATCCGTGCACGTATCTGTCGTAGCCTACAGCTTGTGATTAACCTCAAGAGGCTCATTGGAACTCCGGGTCCCTCGACAGAGCATCTCCTGATGAAATTTCCCTTCATAATAAAATATGGTGGGCCGCATCCCGCTCTCATCTGTGGATATAAAACAGAACGCACGTAATGTAGATGATGTGAGATCTACTATGTCAAAGCAAGGGGTTTTCGAGGTCATCCGCAACCTGCTCAAGGACTCTGTTGAGGCGTCGACACGCGTGCTAGCATTTCGGTCGCTTTTACACCTAGCTTCTCTATACGGTAGGACACTGTTTATCATTCAATGGCTTATATTGAATGTAGCCTCTTTAGATGATCTTTGCCACGATATCCCGAAGATGCAATTAATCGACCAATTTCGTCGGGGCATCAACGGGCCTCTGGCTGAATTCTTCCTGTCGAGTCTCACAACCTCCGAAGGCATTCATAATGGTATGTAGTCTCCTGCGAACGCATCACGCTAATCTTACTAGAGTTTGCCCTAAGACATAATTAGAAAGGCCCTGTGTCAACAGGGTGTTCTGCACGATTTAGTAAAACTGTTAACGCCTCAGCCTGACGCAGTAGATATTCGGATGATATCTATGCAGTGTATTCTTCACTTCGTGGAGCATGGTGCGTCTGTGACCGTGTCATTTTGAGGAGATGGCACATGTTGATGCCCGTACAGAGGATTCATATACAAGTATCAAGACCGCAAGTGCGGTCAGGAAGCTTGTTGCAATCCTTGAGAGCAAGGAAAAGGAGCTCTGCTACATGGCTGCCGAAGTCTTGGCGTCTTTTGTACACGCTCGTGAGTGGTTTCTACTATTAAACCTAACCGTCGGCGGAGGCCCAGGACCATGCTGTAGCGCTTCTGTGTGAGGTCATGCTCAGCAATGAGAATATGTCAATTGAATCGCTGGCAAGTCACCTGCGCAATTACACTAAAGATCACACTGTGGATCCTGGTCCGGTACTCCGAGTGTTGCGGAGTCTGGCTGCTCAAGGTGAGTAGAAATGCGGCCCATTATTCTCTTGCTGGTAATCTAGGAATATTTCTAGATCCATGGCGCAATGCCATTATGGGACATGAAGACTTGTACAATCTGGTAGATGGTATTTCCAGGTCGGCGACCGCGCCTCCGGACGTACAGCAACAAGCATCGGACGTGATGGTTCTTCTAGGTAGGCGTCACTGGTTCATACACAATTGAGTCTGAAAGTTGTTTACTCTTGGTTTGAAGTGTGCCGGAGCTCCATTGCACAACGAATTGCAAAGGTTCTCCCTTTTTCGATTTGACAGTCTCGAGCAAACCAATGACGGGCGGCGCTTGGCTGATTTGTCTTCAATATCCACGATGATTTATGTGCTGTGGTCATACTGTTTAAATACAAATATTCGGAAAGGGTTGTGCACTGGACCGCAGATAGCACTATCTATGACTGCCATTCTACGTCTTTACACAGACAATGGATCTGCGCGTGGTGCTCGGGTGCCAAATAGTGAGCCTGTGGTGGGCGGTGTGTTGGAACAACCGGTGCGACGGCGCGGCGAGCGCGTTTGTCCACGAGCTAGCGATGCCCGTAAGGGACAATCGCGTGCGGTACGTACATCGCGCGGGGTCGTTATATACTACGATAGGGGCCTCCGGCCCCCGGCTACTCGCGCGCCCGAGCTTGCGAGCTCGTTCCTGACCACGCGGGTCAGCGTGTTTCAACACGGTGAACAAAAAAAAAGGTTTTGTTTCTGCTGCACCTCCAAGAAGTCGTTCATATGCTCGGGAGTTTTCCTCCTTGTAGAAATCACGCACAGGAGTTTGAAGCGTGTGGCGGTAGATCTCGGCAGACCTATCGATCCGGATTTGGAAGACCGCTTTCCGTTTGAAACACCATCGCGTTCAGGCTACGTTGGGCTTCCTTACTCGCTGCTTCCACACCTCCATGTTAGATTGTCGATTATTCACGCCTGGCCTTCCACTCTGACGCTGAGCAATACAAAAGGCCGATCGGTATCCCTTCGAATGAAAAGCCCATCTCTCTCCCCGCACCGCCGTCTCAGGAAGGCTTATCACACAGGGGCTTGATGAATACAACCAATGAAAGGGCACATACGCTTTCAAATTTGAAAGCTCAATGAAATGCTGCTGCCATATTCTCTGTGCCCGGGCCGCAGTGCTTAGGCATGCTGGCTCGGTCTTCGGCGTCGACGAGCGGACAGCAAATCGCACCACCGTCGTCGACGATTACTCGGGGATCCGGATCATGGCCGAGGCCCCCCTAGTCTTTCCCGGCCCCTCGTGACCACAGTGAGAACGGCGAAGCCGCGCTCATTCGAGGCGTCCACAGCTACTTGACAACCTGCTCGGTCCAGATGCTGATTTGTCCAACTCCTCCTCCACACTCGGCCCTGGACGCTCCCCCGAGCCTGCCCCACCGCCATTATACACTGCCGAGGCGCAATGGTCTGGGTGGCTTACGACTACTGCTGAATACACCTTATAATGGTGCCCAACGACGCTAGCGAGACGCTAATGCACTCGCCACTCGAACCAAAACCACTACATGACAACGACCATGAACAATCGCCAGAGAACGACTTGCAGCCCCCTTCTGAAGCGACGGCATCCCCCACGCCTACCTCAGACACGGAGAAGGCTGAAGCCCCCATGGAGGAGATCATCATCCCTGACGGGGGACTACGTGCATGGATGTCGGTGCTCGGAGGGTGAGTGTCAGCTTGCCTCGTGAAGACACCTCGTTGAGTGACCTTCCCGTGCAGATGGATTATATCATTTTGCACGTTCGGATTCGCTAGCTCGTTTGGCGTATTCGAGGACTACTACGTCCTCTCGGGCGCATCCACGTCATCGAATATCAGTTGGATTGGATCAATACAGGTGCGTCGATACCAACTCAATCAGTCCGCTGCTGACGGAAACTCAATCAGCTGTTCCTGCTGTTCTTCATGGGCCTGCCTGCTGGTAAGCTCTTCGACGAAGGCTACTTTCATATCACGACCGCGATCGGGAGCACAATCCTCGTCTTCGCGTATGTTCTATGTCTTCTACTACCACAACATGTCTCTGATATCTCCTTCGCAGGATGATGATGCTGTCACTCGCGGACCCCACCAAGTATTACCAGCTGCTGCTCGCACAGGGCTTCGCAGCAGGCCTCGGCGGTGGGCTCATCCTTGTGCCCGCGCTATCTGTCCAGTCGCACCACTGGCGCAAGCGCCGGTCTCTCGCCATGGGCATCGTCTTCACCGGCTCGTCATGCGGCGGGCTGGTGTACCCGATCATGCTCAACCAGCTGTTCTATCACCCCTCGGTAGGCTTCCACTGGGGTGTTCGCGCCGCTGCGTTCATGACGCTCGGCCTGGTGGTGATCGCGAATTTTGCGCTAACCACGCGCCTGCCGTTCGCGCGCGAGCGGCGCAAAAGACAAGCGGACGGCGCTGAAGCAGGCCCCAAGCCTAGTGTAGGGGCTATTCTCAGGGATCCGCCGTTCATGGTGTCCTGCATGGGCGCCTTCCTCGGGTTGTGGGGAGTCTTCCTTCCATGTATGTGCCACCAGTCGCGTCATCTGGGACCTAGCTCAAGTTGTTTTGGACAGACTTCTACCTACAATTATTCATAAGCGTACACGGACTCTCTCAAACTCTCGCATTCTACTCTGTGCGTGTTCCTCGTCGTGTTGTCAACCCGTTTGTCTCATCATCCGGCAGATTGCCATCATCAACGCCGCGTCCGTCATCGGGCGGACGATCCCCAACGCGATCGCTGATCGCGTCGGGAACTTCACCACGCTCGTGCCCATCTGGGCGTGCACGAGCGCCCTCGTGTTTGTCATGTTCGCGGCGACGAACACCGGCGCTGTGATCGTCTTCGCGATCCTGTATGGCGCGTTTTCTGGAGCCTGTGAGCCGTTGTTTCTCATCATTGTCGCGTTCGCGCTAACGTTTGCACCAGTCATATCTCTCCTGCCGCCCACTCTAGCGTCCATGTCGCGTAGCCCGGCCGAGATCGGGTAGGTTATGCTTCTGTTACACCTGACCAACGAGTACTTAACACGTATACGCAGAATCCGAATCGGATTCGGCTACTGCTTCGTCTCGTTTGCGATGTTAACCGGCACGCCGATTGCTGGCGCACTGCTGGGGAGCGAGAATAGATGGGACAGGGCGATCATCTTCAGTGGGGTAAGTGCAATCTGTGCTTTGCTAGCGAGGATTGTGCTCACTCCTGCATGCAGGTGGTGATGTTGGCTGGCTCGGCCTTGCTGGGCGTGGCAAGACACATGCTTGTCAGGCGTAAAGGTACATGGCGGACGTAAAGTGGCGCAGTATGATGCGAGGTAGTGTGGCCGCTACAGCAGGAGAGAGAGGTTTAGGTGTCATGAAAAAAGCATGCCATTCATGATTAATAATGAACGTGCACGGACTGGCAACCGTAAATGCGTGCATGGACTGTTATAGTACCGCTTGTAATTTTGGAGGCATGTCATATGTCGGCCCGTTCGATTGTCTCGACAAGTATAGTGTACGTGCGATATCCCCTTGACGTACTGACTAGCTAGTATGATGTGAGAAATTCCGGTCTACCTCGCCCACTGACGCTGGCTCTCGTCTATCATTTACGCCCCACGAGCGATGTCCTGGCCTGCAAGTCTTCAATACTTCTCGGCGTTGACGAAACACCTTATGCAAGCGGTTTGGGGTTGCTCGTACTCGATCCACTGCTATGAAGCGAGACGTGAGCACGACAGTAGCAGTAGGCAAAGAACTTGTTACAATATCAAGTCCGCGGTCATACAGCTTCAATTCGGCGGCTGTTTCCATATCTGGAAGGACTCGATGGCATGTAAACAAGGTATAAATAATATCACGAGCCAGTACTGCATTTGGTAGCAACAAGAACCGCTCTGCTTTGCTTCGTCCAGAACTTAGACATGTACGTGACACAACCGCCGTACTGTCTATTGGCTGCGATCACAAAGTATTCCATATTTGCTGCTATGGAACTACACTAATGATTGGCATCTGTCTGATGTCACGCCGGCCAAAACAGCGCAATAGCTATGACTGCCATCGGAACTTGTCGGACATCGCCTTTATATAAATGTATCGAAAGCAGTGTACACCTCGTCTTCGTCGACTGTTCCAAATGTTCTTCTGCCCCGTGGTGCTATTCGTGCTCACCCTTGCGCTATGTTCCTTGAGCTCTTCGCATCCGAGTCGTTTATTCGGCACTCCCGAGCCAGGCTGGGCCATCACGCCCGCTATATCCTTGCTTACCCAAAAGGTCCTAGCAGAATGGGGCATACATGGATCAGCAGTTGGCGTGGTGCATCTGACGGACACCGGACAAGTAGAGACTGACCTTGGTAGCTGGGGAACCATGTCTGAGGATGGGAAACCGGTTTCTGTCGATGTGAGTGTGCCATTCTACCATCCTTTTCCCCTTAAACGTCGAAGAGCCACAAGGAGTGAGGCTTCATGCTCCCAGCACCAAGATACACGTCATTGCTCGTGGCGTCCAGTGCAGCAATCCTCTCAAGCACTGATATCAAGGCTGATTCAAGAAATCTTTCGCGAATTGAGCTATTCATGAAATGATTGATAACCCACTGCACGCTTGTCACAACTTATTCTTTTCACGTCCACATTGCACACAGAACCCAGATGGCTCGCTCACTTGCATTTACTTATTACTTCTCATTCACCAGACATTGTTCAGCATCGGCACATCCTCGAAGTCCTTCCTCCCAGCTGCAATGGCTATCCTCATAGATGACTTCGCTCGCGGGCGTAACAATACACCGCTTCCATCCGGGCTTGATGTACTTACATGGGACACGCGCATCCGCGAGCTCTTCCCGGGTCACTCAGAGTGGGCGTTGCAGAACCCAAATGCGCAAGCGAACGCAACCATAAGGGATGCACTCGAGCAGAGGGTAGGGATACAATCGTAGGTATTTGTATATGCGATGTGGCATACTATATGTTTGATACTTTCGGCTTATCTGCTTGTAGCAACCCCCTGTTTTTTGGACGAGAGGACAAGCCGTTAGACGTTGTCATGAGGCTACGGCATCTTGTGCCTTTAGGCGATTCGCGCACATTCACCAGTGTTAGCCACGAGGTGTGTTAAAACATATGTGCCTCCCCGCGTAAAGTTCACTCGATGCTCTGATGCCTATGTGCAGACATACACGCTTGCTGCACACATCATCACCACCTTTTCGGGCATGCCATACACGCAGTTTGCGCAGGAGCGCATCTTTTCTCCAGTAGGCATGTCTGCGACCACGTTCTCCGGTACAGCCGCCACACGTTCAGGCCTTCTCAGCGAGGGATGGAATGAGCACGGGCGGCGTGTACCGCACTGGCTTCCGGACACGGCGGAGGAAGTGATGGCGGGATCGCACGGGCTGATCTCCAGCGCGCATGATCTGGTAAGTCGCAACTTTCGTCTGCGTGCGTGCGCACACGCTGACATACACGCACCTGGTCCGGCAGACGAAATGGATTGCAGTCTTATTGAAGCACGGCGTAAATCCGGGCACGAACGAGTCCGTGCTTCCGTGGTCTGTGCTTGTGGAGACGCTGGGCTCCCGCCACGTCGTCCTGCTAGAACCTAGTGACTACATCGAGATCCCCAATCCCATGGGCTGGAGAGATACAATGTACTTCTACGGATATGACGATGATATAGTTAGTAACATAGTAAGTGCGATCTCGACTTGTTCCCGCTACTGAACTTACTTATCACACGGATTCATCAGATAGTCGTGAAGTGGGCCGCAGAAAGCTATGGCTCCGAACCCGGCGCCCGCACACATATTGTTCTCTCTCCCTCGGACAAGCTGGGTGTGGTGATTCTCATGAACGGTCATATGATTCCGGGTACCCCAACTGTCATCCATAAAATCATAGAGGACCTCCTTGATCTCCCCTCAAATGCCTCGAGGCTTGGTATGTCGAATATTGTCGCAGAGACATCCATCCCACAGCCTCTCTCTTGGACCCACATTGCACAGGAAGATGCTATAGATCTTGTGGACAGCACGAGCCTCAACGTGACGGAGAAGGTACCGGAGGACAACAGTCCTCCAGAGCAGCGGCTCATGACCATCAACACACGAACAGAAACCTCGTGGTACTCATTACACGCCGGCAAGCCCTTTGTCCCCCTGGAGCAATTCGCAGGACAATACGTCAGCCCCGCGTTTGGCACTCTCACACTCTGTGCACCCAACAGCAGCAGCGATGAATGTGCAGCTGTGATCAGGGACTTTGCTACTTGCGGGGAGTTGAGGTGGAATATGCCTGCCCTCTACGCAGCATGGCCGGGTGTGTTTGTGAGCCACCTGCGTTGGGAGCACATAGGGAACAATGCATGGTCGGTGGTGCCGTTGACGCTCTATCCGGATGGCTTCGGGCGCGACCGGACACCATTCACAGACTCTACGAAAGGCGAACAGGTGGCAAAGTGTGTCGTGCGTGAGGACCACGTGCTAGGATGTGGACTCTGGGATGCTGATCAGCCAGGCCCAAATGCGACTGTCGCAGATGCATGGTTTACAAAGTTCGCCTGAGCAAACTGCGTAGGAACCCAAGTGCCTAGTTGTGGTGATTACAATCTCGTCGTCTATGTATAGTGGCATGACAGTGCGTGTAGCGATAAACAGAACATGAGCAGAGATGCCATCCGTAATACTCCGCACTTTCTGAGTTACCTTGGCCCCGGGATCAAGTCAATCGAAAAACGTCATAGCTTCTCCGTGGATTCTCATCACAAACTTGACTTGGTACTAATACAAGCTCGATATTCTCCATCGAACACCCCTATCTCCCGAGTGGTCAAACGATATGGGAGGGATATTGTCATGTACATGTAACAAAATACATCGATCATAGCTTTGCTTGAGCATTCATTCCGCTTCGACTTTCCAGTCGGTCGAGATAGTGTCCGGACCTAATTACCGAATTCGAGCCGTGCAAATTACGGCTGACATCGACGTTGTGTGACCACTGTTCAGCGTGACCTGTATGCGACTGAAGTGCTATGAGTTGGCTGAACCAGCCCTCCCATGCGGAATCACTGATGATTGGCGCATTGACCCATTTGCGCACATTCATCTCGTCACCATACAATTTGAGATGAGGAAGCGCGGCCTTGACAGCCTTGTTCTCTCTCATCAGAAGCTCATCCGCAGAAATGCCTGCATGCTCGGCGTACCACCCCGGATCGAGTTTGATTGCCGCGAGTTCGAACAGATCCAGAAGTGGGCGTGGGACTCCGGCGTCGAGGCCACACGAGTATGCATACGCGCAGCCCTGCGCTATGATAGCCGGCTCAGACTGCGGGAGGATGAGGTCGTTAAAGCGCTCGTCCCGGTGACCACGGGGGAATGTGGACAGCAGACTTGCGCAGCGCGTAAAGATGGCAGCGCTACGCCTAGAAAGTAGTGTGTCTGCGTGGGTCGGTGGCGGAAGTGTATACCGCCCGATGAGAAGCTCGGAGAACAGCCGGATGCTAAGAACGAGAATATCGCCTTCTGCGATTGAGATCCCACGGATGTCCATCTGTATAATGCAAGAATCAATGATCAATCACGCGCCAGCACGGGACAGTGATAATCACCTCCATCTGGCTGAGCAGATTATAGCCGAAAATACCTTGCGCTCCTAGTCGCTCGCCCAACATGTGAAAGTGATGGGTCAGCAGTCGACACATTGTCGCCTTGAACACAACGCAGACGCCAGCTCTTGTTTCTGGCGAGAGCTCTTGTGACATGAACTGCTCCAGAGCGCGGGGTGCCCATGCCTCGAGTACGTATGCAATGGCAGTGGTGTATAGCACAGGGAGTTGCTGTGTCCGGAAGGAAATGATAGGAACCTTCTCCGGGCCCTTGCCCTGGACATGCCTCCGGAACGAGTAGTCAATACCTATTGTGGCGCCCATTTTGGCCGACGGGACTGCGGTGAGAGGGAGCGTCATAGACCCGATCGGGATTCGCCAGATGTACTTGCTGAGAAGAGCATGCGGGTCCTTCGGTGCTTCCAAGCTGTGTCCTAGGAACGCGGTGGAAGGTAACTTGACGCGGTGAAAAGACGTGACGGCGAAGTCTAATGGAGAACCTCCGCTGCGAGGCGGCAGCCGGACGGACTTGACCCCTTCGCACATTCCGTGCTCATCGGATGTACAAACTAAGAAGGGATGTACACCGCGATCCTCTCCATCGACGAACAACCGAGCAAAGACAATTGCCATTTTGGGATAACCGGGGACGGGAGTTGTTGGTGGCATAAACCTATCTCGTTGCATTATAGTTAAGTACAGAATCTGAGAAGGTATGACACTCACTTCATTGCGCTTTGAGTTGGTGTGTTGAGGATGAATCCATCTACGACCTTGGTCGCAGTTGTTTCTAGACGCGTGATGTCCAGACCATGTCCGATTTCGCTCAGCAAGAAATTGCCTATGATTTCTCCGCACAACGCTCGCTGGACCACAGGCAGTAAGTCCGGTCGTTTCGGCAGAAGGGGCGCTAACGTCCCCAGGAAGAGATTGACATGACACGCCAAGATGTTGTTGCAGCCTATATCCAGCACCAGGATAGGGTCCAATTGCATGTTCCAAAACCGCGGCGAACATCTGAGAATATCGTCGATGCTCAGATCTGTGTAGCCGGTTATGTCCGATATTGACTAGCACGAGCGATCGAACTACGACGTACTCCATGTGCGCAACACGACCCTAGTCCGCTCATATGCTAGCAGAACACGCTCATCAAGCGTGAGGAATTCGGCACGAGTGGTATACGCGGGGTGATCGTACAGTGCGTTCTTCATGGTGGGCTAATTGTCGATCTAGTGGAGAGCAAGAACTTTTAGTAGCTGACTGACGCCATACGCCCAGTTCTAGACTTGCTGATGGTGGCCACACCCTTCAACTAAGACTCGGGGATTGCCCCGAATGACAAGGCTTGTGTGTCTACGAGCCACAACAGCCCCACGCGGGACGAGACTCCTGGTTACACGCGCCCACACAGTATCATGTATCGGATCTTCGGGGACGCTCGTCGGTATCTCAGGTGAGCAGAGACTTGTGAAATGACCCACGTACAGTCGTCACCGGCGGACACATTGCCCTTATCGACTTCTCGAACATCCTGAATAGCATGAAGAATCCTTGCACGTTGTAATGCCGAGGCCCATCCCGCATTACTTCCGGGGTGCGTGTGACCTTGTTCGAAGATAATTGTGCCTCCGCTCCTGCCAACCTGCTGTTAGCACGCCTTCACTGCCCATTGTAAATGTGGATACTGCAACCCTATCAATTGTTGCCATGACTTTGCGACGGATCGAGCACCCTACGGACACTTGACATGCGTCTCCAATTCTGAACAGCAAGGGCGATGTATTGAAGACGCCTTCAATAGGTGGGGCTATATCGCCGTCAGGCCTGATAGATGCCGTCGTTCAAACCATGGACAGCCTAATGAGAGATGTCTATTCCACACCCTCTCGGCAGCCGAGAACTCCGCGCCAAAACACGCTGGTACCCATCTGTCATGCGTCGACGAGATCTTAGTCTCGATCCTGGTGCGCGGTCAGGCACTGGTGGCAAGTACTTAGCGGTACATATGCGTCGTCAGGGCATAAGTATGCATCAGCGTGCGTTCATGCATCTGTCGTCAGACAAGCTTGAATCACTCACGAGAGGAGGCGCATCGCAACCATCGCCAGCTGCATAGCCTTCATTAATTATGGCTACACAGAGCCTGAAACTGGGACTAGTACTGAGACGACAACTATTCGTCATTTGTTTACGACGCGACTCCCATTCCCATACAATCCGGAATGTTCGGCAAGACCACGAGATCATATGCGCACTATAGCGCATCCGGTGCTGCTCCGTGCATCGTTCCGCAAGACGTTAAACCTAAAGGAGATCAGCTCGTTAGCGGGGACTTAATGAAATATGACGTGCCAGAGCCTTAAAATCTGTTCTCCCATCCACGTTCTGATCGGCGAGCCTGCTCGAGTACGCCGATGCCCATTGCCGGTTCCCGAGCATTCATGGCTGCAATACAGTAGCTGTCGTACATACATTCGGGGGTTCGTATCAGAGGCAGACTTTGCGTACCCAGTAGGCAGCGTGGACTTCCGAGTATACTCGTCAATAATGATACAGTGTACATCCATAAATTACACGAAGTATGATGACATTGTACCCTATTTGCGGGTCTGGTCAGCACACGGACCACACCTGACAACGACCTCTGCATTGCGACGTGACATCTGCTCACCATTTTACGCTGCTTTAGCATCCCCTTGTCTCGCTCGTTCTCCTCTGCCGCATCATACACGGTGAAGCTTCGTCCTCCGTCCTCATGTATTGTCAAGATGGAGGCCATGTTCCCGCACCGATAGCAGTAATTTGGTGCCGACCACACTGTGACGAGCTGGTCGTCGAACATATACTTGTAGCCCTCTTGCACGAGCTGATGTGCCCGTGCTATAAGCGATAATGAGTTGACGTGATTGAACTGCATGGATGTTCGTTGTCAGTCCAGACGTGAGGGTGGTTAGTTGCGAACGGACACACTTCTCGCGTTACGTTACCACCGAATAACCATCCAGCTCCCCGTGGACTAATCGCCCAGTTGTCGATATCATCCGGATCGGACCACATGAGATCTGAAAGACGGGATAAATACCGCTCACATTGTGAGAGGACGGTTCCCTACCGCAGAATGCGCCTTCATGAGGGATCTCCTGCGCACGAGACAAAACTCTGATCTGGTCTAATGTTCGGATGTCTGGCGAAAGGCCTCCATGTACGCATAATGTCTCTCCGTCGATGATCTGAGAGAAGATGAGGACGTCAAATGTCAAGCACCGCGTAAATCACGTACCGCGGCAAGGTTGAGATAGTCGAAGACGCTACAGCATGCTTTCCACACCAACGCACTACCGTACTTCTGCTGACATTCGTCTGTAAAGCCATTTAACAATAACACGCAGCATATATGCGCATTCTCCGCACCATAGAAGCCATACACCTGCGTGATCTGTCTGCTCTCGTGGTTTCCGCGCAAAAGCGTCACCCTATCCGGGTGTCTTCCCGCCGAATGGTCAATTCCGTCCCCGCGCCCGACATCGCACAGCTTACTTGGCCTTCAAAACTAGCAGCAGTGAGACAGTCTCCAAGCTATAGTGCCCCCTGTCCACAAAGTCCCCCTGCATGCGTTTGAGCAGCCCTCCGCGGCATTGCGAGGAACACATACGTGCCATGAAGATGTAGCTCGTTTGTGGTACGTCCCCGCCCTTGCGCAGCAGCTCGAGCAGGTCCCAGAATTGCCCGTGGATGTCGCCGCAGATCGTGACGGGGCTCGAGACGGGCTGAATGTTGGATTCTTCCATGAGGATCGAGCGTACCCGCTCGCAGAGGGCCTTCATGTCGGGCTCGGCTAGATGTTGGCATTCTCTGAGTTGTTCTATCCAGCGGTCAGGTTCGAACGGGGACATGATGTCGTGCGGTTGGGAGAAACAGAGCAGTGACAACAGTCGGAAGAGTGGTGAATGAGCCGCGGCAAGTCGAATTGTAAGCCCGGGAATGACACAGTTGGTCGCCTATGTTAGATTTTTAAATACCGGTGATAGGATAGTCTAGGTATCAAAAATCGTTGGAGAAATGGACGGCTGCGAAAGGTTGGCGAGATAATTGGAGACGAGGACGAAGGACTTTCCAGATAGGCGCTATTCTCAACCAGTCGGTCTTCACTAGATGCTCCGTTATTGATTGGCATTGTAAGCCTTTCCCCGCTGCTCATTAAAGGATGTGGGTATTGTGATTAAATGCGCAACGCAGTCCACCTATACTATCTAATATGCAACGTGCTCTACAGGACTAGGAGAAAACAAGAATAGACGACGATGTCGGGTGAACTACGACCAACGGTCAAATGATTGGCTCGGAATCCACTACGAATGCACGGATGCCCCATTAATGCCGTTGACCCCATTGACCCCGTTACCTACACCATTGGTCTTACACTCAGCCCCAACGAAAGCCTTATACAACCGCTCGCACCGGTCGACTATCTCCTTTCCCTCTCCGGGATGATCTTCCCATTCCGTGACTGCTTCAACACCGATGCTCTCTGTACCCCACCGATCGTTCTGTGCACTGAACTTTGGAAACGCACCACCGTCGATGTACCGCGGTATATGCTCAATTGGGAGAAGCGTGAGGTTCGACGCGGCGATGGCCGCCTTGTACGTTGAGAAGAGGACGTTCGGCGAGCCGAGTAGGCGGCACTGCGGCTCTAATGTCAGAGATGCACATGTCGAATTGACTTTCGACGCAACGTACAAAGTAGAAGAAGAGAAGCATTAGCCATTCGAGGATGACAGGGCGTAGCAATTCCGCAGCCATCTTCGTCGCCGTGATACCAGGTGACACGAGCACATGCACAACCTTCCCGTCGTCTTCGCTACTTCGCCGCGCAAGCTCCCTCGACATGAGATCCAGCTGAAACTTAGATGCCTGGTACGAGGCATCCGTTTTAGTGAGCTGCCAGTCGTCGGCCGGGTTATATGCCGGAAGCACGTCAATCGACGTCGTCCAAAGCACTCTCGGAGGCGTTGAGCTCTTCGATGAGTACTTTGAGAGAAGCGGTTGTATTGAGCGGAACTGACAAGGAGTAAAGCGTCAAGACACAAATGACAATGAATCGCGGGACGTACCAGCGCGTAATGCCCAAAGACATTGCATTGCCAAACATAGCCCAGTCCATCAGTGCTCATAGTACCCGTCTTTTGTATGTTGAATGCAGGATGGTGTATGGCTCCTGTCGGTGATTCAAAGCATTGACGGAAAAACTTGGGGAAGTCTAGATGGCTGTACTTCGCAACGCCAGCATTGCATATTAAATGTGAGATATATGGGTACCTACGAGAACATGAGACTTCAAAGACCCATGACTCTGTGTTGCGCGGGTACACACTTTTGTGAGACTTCCCGCCCAAACTGCAGCACGCTCCGCGTCTCGCTGAGATCGAGCTTATGCGTTTCCAACTGCACTTTCTTCCGAAATTCCAGCGCATACTCGCGTGCGACCGAGTGTTCAGGTAGTGAGGCGATGTGCGCGTCGAGGAGTCCATAGAGTGCTGCTCTAGCATCATCCGCACGTTTCAGGTCGCGACACGCGAGAATGATATTGACCCCCGCTGCTGACGCGTTGTACTCGAATTCGCCTTGACCACTGCCAAGCTTGATGTCGAAGCGAGGGGTCGCGTCTGGCGGGTTGTGCTCGGAGAGCTGGACTAGTAGTCGGTGACAAACACCAAAACCGACCCCACTGCCACATCATGAGACAACAGACGCTCACTGCTAGAGTTGGCACTTACCCGTTTGCCCCTGTTACCACTATGATGAGCTGTGTATGAGCAAACTGAGCCATTCTGCTGGGTGTCCTCGGTGTTGCTGTAAGCCAGTACTTGTATGTGCTTTTGTCAGTTGTTGACGCAGTATGGGAAGTCGTATGATGAAGCGGCCGAGTCCGTCAAGGCCGGACTTGCGCTGCCGACTTATTCTTCTTGCTCAAAAGACTGTCAGAGGATGCAAGATACCGACTAAGACAGTGGTCCTAAGTAATATTGTGGTCTCCACCAGCTTGTGTCGAGCGTGAGATAGTAATATCAAAGTCGTCCGATCTCAACGCTTAGCAGCCTATTAGAGCAACGTATTCGTGACACCGCGTGACTACGCGCGCCGTGCTTGAGAGTGTTTTGACAGCACCAATGAACATTTTGCATGAGAGCTATAGGACTACGTTAAAGTTGAACAGAGAGCACAACATGGCCCGATCTCCTGGTCACGGCGGTACTTTGCTCTTTGCTCCCCTGTGGTTTTCTGCGACTCAAGAGAGGCGTGTCAAACAACTTTCGTGAACCACACTCGTGCTCTAGTATTCTCCGTCGCGCTCTCCCCATGATCGCGCGCGATTCCGCACCCGATCACAGCTCCTTCACGCACCTCACATTCCATCTCTTCCGCCGGCCGCCGGTCAGCGAATGGCGTGCGGTCACGCCCATACCCTCTCGGGTAGAGCGTCACGGGCTCGAGTAACTACCGACCCAAGAAGTGCTCAATGCGAAAATGACTTGCAAAGACTCGTGGCCAGGCCGCGTACAGCGTCGGGAGGTACCGCGTCGGCTGGTCGTACGCCGCAAAATCCCGGAGCACCGATGCGCACTCGCTGCTGTTGCTAGAAGGGGCGCATAGAGTGAATGTCCCGAACCCGGGGTTGTGGTACTGCCCTGCGTACACCTCCAGAGGAACATCACCGACGTGCGTCACCTCGGGCCAGACAGCGCTCTTTAGAGGGTCGATGCTCCAACATTCGCGGTGAGCGTCACTGTCCAACATCGATGTCTTGATTTTAGCAGAGAGTGGCACATTGGCTTTAGATGCGAGGTGTCGTCTAGAGATGTTCATCTTCATGGAAACCGGCGCGACGCCCAGCGTCGCAACAGGCATCTTCGTGGAGGGCTCTAAGCCGAGGAGTTTCTCGATGATTGCCTTGGCCACGCTCTCCTCGTGTTGGCACATATCCCCGTTGATGAGAGTTATCAGGCCAATCCTATCCCGGGGTAAGAGAGCGACGAATGCGCGAGAGCCGGACACACCGCCCAAGGCCACAGTCATCTACAAGTATATGAGGTCCTACAGTGCTTTGAAAAGGCAAGACACATACCTCGTGGCCATGGTCCATCCCACTTATCCAGCCCATGCCGCCGTCGATGCGAACGCCATCAGCGAGTGTTTCTGTAACTTGCACCTTCAGGGTCTCTGCAAACACGTCCCAAGGCAGTACGGTCTCGTTGGTGCTTGGATCTACGCCATGGTTCAACAGTACAGTGATCCACTTCGTCTAGCGTTATCGCAATCAATTTGTAGATTCTCACAGAACGGAGAGAGGGGCAACTAACCATATCTATTGCGCTGGAAATGAGCCCATGAGACCCTGCCATCACCTCCACCGCCGTCTCCGGAAGCCAGTACGGCACACGTCGCCCCGTATTAGTCCAGCCCTCGCTGAGGCGTCTTGAACGAGCGGCGGCGGCACCCGAGAACGTGCTTGTGGACATGTCGAGCGGAAGCAAGATGCGTTGTCGCACAAATTGCGTATATGGCATACTGGAGTAGATTGCGATGAGATGTGCACCGATTGTGTATACCTGTCGGAAAGGTGGGTTCAACGGTAAATAAAGCAACGACAGCTCCCGCAGGACGTACCGCGTGATCAATAGTCTTCTTCTCTCGAAATTTGGATTTAGGGATGAGATGGTGTAGCCTTTCTACTACGTCCAGAGCAGTATCTTCAATACTGAAGAATAGCTGATGACTGAGCAGGAATAGTAGTCAGAGCAGACTGCGCGCTGATAATGAGGCACGAGCGTCACATACGCCTCCAGTCCGACCATCTGCGCAAGTGCATCCCGCACGGTCATGCGTTCTTGCGCAACAGGGTCTTGTAGTATCCATTCCGAATGAAGGGGGAGTAATTCGCGTATGCGAGTGTCCCACGTAAGGGAATCGAGTCCTGGCGGAGCGGTGTAATGTTACGCGCATGCGCAAAATCATCGATTAGGACGGCCATCGACCCAGGGAGGAAGGACTTTGAGCATGTGCCAATGTTGAAGAGGGTCTGTTGGGGGTCAAAAACGTGAGCATCTGTATGCCATTCGCTGTCTGGGTCGACGAAGGAGGGTGTAGCCATCATAGGAGCGGTCCACGCTTATGGTAGAGACAGATTTTCAATGTTGAAGAGATGACTAGAGCATTAAAGCAGAAGTGCACTGGCGTGAGAGGGTCTGAGATGAACTCGAGGCTGCCTCCTCATATATCACCGTAGCTCTCGTGGCCACACTCAAGTCATGGCTGGATGACTGATCGCATATTGGCAAGTGGCAGATGAGCTCACATCGACAGCAGCCGGCTCTCCTTCCTCAGACATGGTCCCCCAGGAACCAAGGTCGGTATGGATTTCTCCATCGTCCGTCAGCCGCACAACGCCAACCGAAAGCCCGTGCACACGCCAATCTGCAAGGAGTCGATCGACATATGACGAGATGTCGGGCGTAATGGCCCAGCCAGACGCAGGTGTGCCGAGGAATCTATTGCGACTGCGTAGGTCCCAACGCGAGAGACCATTCAGCTCAGGAAATACTTCACTGAATGCAGGAAGGTAGGACAATTGAAGGTAGACGAGCGGAAGCGTAAGCGCGGCTAGCGCGAGACCGAGGAGCATGTCGTTCACGTTGCGCTGTGCTAGATCATCAGCTTGTTCTTGATGAAGACAGCGTGCAGCGGCGCCGGGAACGAGTCATCTCACTGCGAAGATGACAATCCTGGGAACATGATGAAGGTTATTGCACTGCCGCCATGTCCGAAGATGGAGTTCAGGCAGTTCTCGGTGCTCAGCTAGGAGAGATTGTGATCCAGGACCGCGTAATCGTGGCATTTATCATCGCGGGCATGATCGTTGTCCGGAGCCCAAGCATGCTCCGAATGGTTTCTTGAGAGCAGAATAGACAATTCTTTCAACTTGAGCTATGGTCGGCGAAGTAAGGACTGCCATCCTACGATCAATAGCGCGGCGACGAGGCAAGATGCTCGTACTAGCGCCGGGCGCAACTCAAGGCGCGATCAACTAGTTCGACCTCCGCCGCTTCCTCGCACTCATATTTAAAGCGCCGCCTACAAAAACAAATCTCGCACTAAGCCGACGCGTTGTTAGTTCTTTCCTTTCGGCAGAGTTCGTGTTTTCGAAGGGTCTCTGGACAACGGGGGTTTTCCCCGTGTGCAGACCTCTGATACTATGACCTTCTTGCGCATTGCGAGGACGGTCATAATATAGGGACAACGGATGCATGGTCGAGTTGAACCTTCTTGGTTATAAACAACCCAAACATGGAAGGTGACAACGAGTTTGCAGCTATCTCTTATGTCAACGCTCCCGTTCATGTGGTGCTCACCTACTCCACATTAGATCTTCGATTACCGCTGGTAATCCCATCTACATGGGTTCGTTGTTTCCCGCTGAGGTTCAAAGCCAAAATTAGCTTCGCGGGGCACCCACGTCTCCTCCGATGTTACTAAAAGATGACCAGAATGTCCGAGCGGCAGCGAACAACGCGTACTTTCTGCCGGTAGAGAGACGCTTCGTGTATTATGAACCTCACGGAAAGCTCAGTTCTTGACATCTACGCGTGTCTACAAGCTACGCGTCCCGAATCTCGCTCACATGTCTTCATACGCCATCATCGGAGGCTCTCGTGGAATAGGTCTAGAGCTAGTGCGCCAACTGGTATGTACGCAACAGGCGGATCACATCTTACACGGGCTGAGAGAAACACATAGTCTAACAACTCGGAGAATATTGTCTTCGTGACTGTACGGAACATAGCGACCTCAGTACATCTTTCCTCTTTCGTTTCTCAGTCTGGAAGGAAGAACGTGCACGTCCTGCAGGCGGATGTTATTGATCACCATGCCTTGAAGGTTGGCAATTGGTTTGTAGCTTCTTCTGAGTAGACCATCAGACTCAACGGATGCAGGTCGCAGCAGACAAGGTCTCAGAACTCACGGGCGGTACGCTGGATGTTCTGATACATAGCGCTGCGCGCATGGATCATACGTCTTTGTACCGCCGTCTCACCGACTAGTGAGCCTTTTCATCTGCGGCACTTTGCTCACTCGCGTCTAATGCGTCATCTTCCAGCGCCGATGACAATCAACTCGATGCTGATTTTACGGAAGCTGTAAGCGTTCACATGTCCCATCCATTTCAGGTCTGAGAGGAATCCAACAGTTCCGTGTGAATGTTCTTGGCATCGTACACTCCATAAATGCTTTCCTCCCCTTGCTTCGCAAAGGTGGTTTCAAGAAAATCCTTGTTATGAGCAGTGGCGCGGGTGACCGCGAGCTCGCGTGGAAGGCGCGCGTTGCTACTTCTGCAGCGTACGGGACGACGAAGGCCGCGGCGAACATGGTCATGACCAAGTATGCCGTGCTGCTAGAGAGCGAGGGGTTCACTGTGTTCGCCCTGAGTCCCGGCTACGTGGACACGACGGACACTGCCGTCGACCAGCGTAAGCCCCGCTTGTCTTTCTAAGAGAACCAGCTGACTGAAGACGGGAGTACTTTGTGTAGCGGACGAAGCAGGGAAGGCTGCACTAGACGAGATGCTGGAGAATATACGTAAAGTGTACCCCGGTTATGACCCAGCACCCGCCCCTCTCAGCCTTGCTGTAAAGTCGATCCTGATGGCTGTGCAGCAGGCGGACCCTTCTCAGAATGGGCAGTACTTACCCGCTCCACGGCTGACTTCCTAAAGATGTATGCACAACGCTCTTAGCTCTACGAGACTTTTGGCAAAACGCTGGGAAACATAATTTGATCAAGATGTGCCTTCACAGACCCTATTCCTCTGAAGCCGAAGAAAACACGCACCGAGATAGGTAGTGTGTATTCTTTCGTTCGTGCAATGTCATGTCATGGGGTCGTGCTACTTTGACTATGGCTAAACATGCGATGGTATTTGAGTGCCCAATGGGGTCTTAGACCTTAGACCTTGAACTACACTCAACGCTTCATCGGTATGTGCGAGGAATGGCAACGAGTGCGGACTGTTCGTTGTATATCGACCCACAACAAGTCCGAAGCAACGCTTCGGTGCGTGGCCCACCTATCCCGCGGGAGAGATGCATCGGCACCGAAGCACTGGTCGGTGATCCATCACACAGGTAACGCAACTGACGCGTCGTTGCGGCACAGAGGCATGCGGATCAAAGCAAGATAGTCAGATGGACGAAATGCCAAGTCATGTTATGGTGGCGCGTCGCGCGATAGCGTCCTTGGGCGACTGCTATGAATATATAAACAGTCCAGGAGCCCCAGCGCTGGCTGCAGTGACCTCACCGGTGAATCTTGTACATAGTCGACGCATTGAATCGTAACATGCCTTCGTACGCTGTCATTGGAGGCTCGCGCGGCATAGGCCTCGAGATCGTGCGTCAGCTGGTACGTGTACCTCGGCATCTGCTTGCCTACATTCACTCTACTCACTCAGAACCCGCAGTCCTCTGACTCTGAGAACACTGTGTTTGTGACCGTGCGCAGCCGAAGCGCCTCCACATACCTCGCGGACCTGGTCGCGAAAGCCAAGTATCGGAACATACACGTGCTGGAAGCCGACGTCATAGATCATCTCGCCCTGAAGGTGAGCAGGTCGTTATATTGCCTTTGTAAAAAATGATATAATATTGCACAGGCTGCTGCAGAGGAGATGGCGAAGGCCACTGGGGGGTCACTCGACGTCCTAATCAATAATGCTGCTAGGATGGAGCCAACCAATCTGTACAACGGTTTCTTCGACTAGTGCGTTCAGACTGACCCTCATCATGATATCGCTGAGATACTCATCGCTACGTTCGTAGCGAGGACGGAGATGCATTAGACACAGAATTTTTGGAGTCGATGAGCGCATTTGCTGTTTCTATGTGAATCGTGAACTCACCACAGCATTCACCATACAGTTCAAGGTCAATGTGCTTGGCTTCGTCCACTCGGTCAATGCCTTCCTCCCCCTTCTGCGTAAAGGGTCCACGAAGAAGATTGTGCTCATAGGAACTGAGGGCGGCGAGCGCGAATTCGTACGGGTGGCGCACCTGCACGGCATGTCTGCGTATGGTACGACAAAGGCGGCGGCACATATGGTAGTGGCTAAGTATGCCGTGCTGCTGGAGAGGGATGGGTTCATTGTCGCGTCGGTCGCCCCTGGGCTCGTAGACGTCTCCGCGACCGCCACAGGTGGATGTAGGTCGTTTACTCTCCTACACATCTGCGGCAGGATTGGGCTGATCACTGGAATCGTTCCTCTAGCCGGGCAGATTTGGAAGGAAGCGTTAGAGACACAGGAAGCGAAGATCCGCAAGGAGATCCCAGACTTCATGTTCCATGCCATATCTCCGGAAGATTCGGTGACAACAGTGCTTCGCACCATCGCAGCCCTCGATTTGTCACATTGTGGAAAATTCATAGGGCACAGGGAGCAGAAAGCCGCACAGAATTAAGAAGAAAACGGTTGATTTATGTGTAACAAGTAGTACGCTAATATGTCAATAGCGGTTACATCTTGGGTGTCGAAGCCTCAGTAGACAGTGTCAGGGTTGTATGCACTAGCTCATGTGCTGCACATACCACGTAGCGAGGTTACTTGGGCACTTGAACGAACATTATACAGCACTTATCACCTGAGTCGCCTTTCGCTCTGCATCATTTGCAACCCACCTCAGAAGCTATTATCATGGTATAATTTCGCTATCAAGTGAATCACATAATAACTGATGTTAGAATACACCCTGCGCTACAGTGAACTTAGTAGTCACTTTAGTATTCAGCACATATAGATAAGGAGATGTTCGTGGTAGGGTCGAATGTGCGTGAGCACCCACGATCGAACTTTTACGTGTCATGGTCGTCGCGTACCGATCGTCGTCGGTTGCACTCTGGCCCGGTCATGCTCTCGATGACCAAGTACCCGCGCGGAAGCTGAATAACAACAAGGCGGAAGACTTGTATATAGACATGCAGCGCGGATACAAATCGGCTGCTTACTGTACTTACCATAGCACAGCCCCGTCGCTCATGTATATAAGCTGCGAGTATTCGCTCGAGAATCCTCGCGAAGTCAACACCAGTAATTCTACCTCATAGTATTCTCTCTCGTGCGTCTCGTCTTCGACTCGATCACTCGACGAATGGCGCTCTGCCATTTAATATCGTATACTACTTCTCTTCTACTGAGGACCTCGGCTCTCGGCGCTGCGTCCCTCGCGCCGTACCTCGCACCCTCTCGTAGTCCTTACATTACAGCAGCAGTGAGCTTCTGGCGTATGAGTCCTGCAACGTGTGAGTTTATCTCTTGAGGTAAGCATTTTTGGAAGATCCAGACTTCAATCGTTCGGGAAGAGTCGATGATTTACGGGTAACGGCAGAGCGAAATCATAGATCCATGTGCAATGGGAATTTTTGAAGTGTCAGGGGTGTCAGAGTCGCTTATTACGTGGTCTGCAATTTGCGACCGTGGTGGCAGCTTGAAGCAATTACACGCGCTGACACATTGAGAGCTTAAATGGGATAATCAGATGTTATTCGAACAAGGTGTTGATTCCTCGTCAAACCTCTGAATCAATGAATTAGATGTTGCGCTCTACAACTGTGCCCTTCATGTACTCGTACCTTCAATATCGCACTTTCATGAATACGAAAATAGATAATGTCATCCGATTACGCAATCTGGTCATTTCACCTACCGCATCTGTCAAACAAAGATTTCACACCGGCCCACACAATTAGAAACAGCCCTCCCTCGCCATGGATTGTTTTGAACATCCGACCACTGACTTTGGGGCCTCTACAGAGCCTATGATAAATGCATTCAGCAAATTCTATTGTGTTTCCTCAGCTAGTCAGCCTCAGTGAACTTTCAGCTTAATGCGCACTCGAAATGCGCTTGAAGTCGTGATTATGTAACACAAGCACCCCTGAAGGGTCTGCTAGCGTACACTCGAAGCAATAAGACATTTATTCTATTTCTCAATGTCCACCCAATCAAATGTCAAACCGCGGGTGAGGCTGCAAAGTTGATATCAAGGGTAGCTACGGCGGGCGCCCCACTTACTTATCTGATTTGACCGATTTGCGATCCCGGATGACATTATCTACTCACGCTTCATGAATGTATTGTGCATGGGCCAACTCGAATGCATTGTGATTTTGAGGTGAGCAACAGGTCGGAGTAGAAAAATATCATATAATTACGTGAGAAGGCTAGGCATTTGGTGTATGATAAGTTGTAAAATTAAGCTACCCGGAGATTAGCGGTCTCAACAAGCCCAAATACTGATTAGGTGAATTCACTTTCCTTTGAAATGGTATTTGATTTTGTGGACCAAAAAAACCCGAATGCTGCATGCAGTGGTAGCTACTTGCTTGTCCATTTCTACTTCTTTCACCTAGACCCATATTTGTGGAAGATTACAAGGGCGCGTGGATAAAATTTTCTGCGAATTTATAGCTATGGCATGCGTTACATTGCAGAAAGTATCTAACTCGAGGCTGATAACTACGCGTGAGGTAGCTTAGCAGCGGAACTCTATCGAGGGGAGCCATAACGAGTTGCTCGAAGCGCCTAGTGGACAGTGAGCCACCCCCTCCTTCACCCGCACAACGGTAGAGGTCGCATTGTATCATCCATAGATTATCAACTGATGGTTGCTGACAGGTGACTATAGTGCACATGCTCGTTAAGGCAGCTGCCTCACATGGCACGCGGGAAACTTTGCTTCCATACTCATCGCATTCTAAATGGATGCGAAGCCCGAGATCTTTATGGTTGCAAGACACTGTCGGGTCTCGGATGTGAAAAACAGCGCATATAAGGCTACTCGAGCAGCGGCTCCTAACTCGTGGTCGCGATGGTCATGTTGCGCCAGCTCCTTCCCGCCCTCCTCACTGCACTCCCCGCATTCTCTGCCTCTGCAGCGGATTGGCAGCAGCGGTCCATCTACCAGGTGCGTGGGATCTGGAATGCCTCCGCCGCCTGAACCTTATAAGGTTATAGCTCGTCACGGACAGATTCGCCACCACCAATGGCTCCTATCCTTCTTGCGATACCGAAGACCGAGTCTACTGCGGCGGGACTTGGCAAGGGGTTATTAGACAGCTCGATTACATCCAGAACATGGGGTTTGACGCTATCTGGATCTCTCCCATTGTGGCAAACTTAGAAGGCAGCACCGGCGATGGTGAATCATATCATGGGTGAGGAGGCTGAAACCTTTCTACATATCAAAGTTTTGCTAGCCCTTTGTCTGCTGCTTTGCCTACTGCACGTATACGCGACTTCCCTGGCGTCTACTGCATTCTTCGGTGATGCGGTGGTAATTGTTACCATTGTCACCACAAGTTCTCAAATGCCATTTTCTATGGTGCATAACAAATGTGATGATTGCACCTAATACTTTCACAGATACTGGACTGTGGACCAAAATTCCCTTAATAGCCACTTCGGCAACGAATCTGACCTTCTCGAGCTCAGCTCTCAGCTGCACTCGCGCGGGATGTACCTCATGCTCGACGTTGTGGTGAACCACATGGCCGCGGACACGCTGCCTCCGGACTATGTGCTTTTCGCGCCATTCAACGCCGAGTCAGATTTCCACACCTTCTGCTGGATCACTAACTACAACAACCAGACGAATGTCGAGCAGTGCTGGCTCGGCGACGACAACGTGCCGCTTGCGGACTGTGATACCGAGAGCGACTACGTCATCGACTTCTTCTACAAGTGGATCGGCGACCTCGTCGCAAACTACAGCGCGGATGGCCTGCGCATCGATACTGTGAAGCATGTGCGCTCGGATTTCTGGCCTGGGTTTGCAGAGGCTGCAGGTGTGTTTACGATTGGCGAAGTATTAGACGGCGACGTTGACTACGTCAGTACCTACACCGGTGAGGAACGTTCACTCCGAGGTAGCCGAAGCGCATTAACGTTTACCAATCACCGCGAACAGAGGTGCTAGACGCTGTCCTCGACTATCCGACGTACTACCAGCTATTTTATGCGTTCGAATCCACCAGCGGCTCGCTCTCGAATCTCGTGTCCTGGGTGCAACAGTCCCAGTCGACGTACAAAAACGGCGAGTTCATGACCGGCTCGTTCCTCGAGAACCAGGACAACCCGCGATTCCAGTCCGTCCAGACTGACCAGGCGGTGAGCTAATGGTGCTCTCACGGCGGGACTGGGATCTTACACAGGTTCACATCTTCTGTGTAGCTCGTGTCGAACGCGATCTCTTGGCCATTCATTCAGGACGGCATCCCTATTTTGTACTACGGCCAAGAACAAGGGTACACGGGTAGCAACGACCCTTATAATCGAGAAGCGTAGGTCTCTGCCGAGCATAGAGACAGTTATGAGCTGAGAGATCTGATTGCGAACGTATGCAGTCTCTGGCTCTCCGGCTACGTCGAGGACAAACCGCTCGTCAAGCTTGTCCGTACTCTCAACGCCGCGCGCAAGGCTGCTATTGCTGCCAGCAGCGACTACCTCTCCACTGTGGTACGTGTCCCTCCCATGAGCTGCTCACCTGCTCCCGTCCGCTGATTCTCGAGGATGCTCGGCAGTTGACGTTCCCGTCCGTTACGAGCTCGACGCTTGCGGTGTACAAACAGCCTATGCTCGCGCTGCTGACGAACGGCGGAAGCAGCTCAACGCCCTCGTGGAGTGTCTCGTCGACGGACTACTCCAACGGCGAGGAACTCATCAATGTCCTGACATGCGACACACTCACTGCGGGCTCTAATGGGGCGGTGAGCGTGACTGGCTCTGAGGGCATGCCGCAGGTGTGTTGCCATGAGTGCTTCTGTGGCTGTCATAGTCATAGCTGACCGCGAGTCTGCAATGTAGATACTCTTGCCAACGAGCGTGTTCAACGTGACGTACTGCAACGAACTGCTCAGTACATATTGAAAGGAATCAGCAGCAGGGCTCGTATCCTTTGTGATCTACCATTACCTAGTCCTTCGTGTTTTCCATATAAGCGCTCAAACACGATTGCAGAAAATAAATGTCTTCATAGTTTGTTACATCAAGCAAACCGCACACTGCACAACACTGATATTTTTCCACGCTGTGCTCCATACAGTCTGCGTCCTCCCACGTATCGTCTCAGTCCCTGGCCTTATTGATGTCCACCTAGCCATCATCCGAGTCGGAAGCTGTTACAAGCCTCTCTGCTGTGATCCGGTTAGTGCTGAATCAGTATGGCTTCATATCTGGCAGTGCCTTACTCTTCAAGGAGATCTACGAAGGAGAGTATCATTGAATCACGCAGGCGGAAGATCTGCACCTTGACGCGTTCTCATTCGATTTTGACGTAGCCACAAAGTTTTTAATCCGTTTTAAGACTAGCTCAAACCTGTAGACTCAGGCTACACAAGGAGTACTGTTCAATAATGCACTGCGTGCAGCAGCCAATCTTTTGGTACAAAAGATTGAATTAAGAGTGAAAGAAGAGTGAAACAATATCACAATATAATGATTTTGTAATTACTCATTTGGTTCTTTTTTCAATCTTTCTGGAGCCTTTATGGACTTTTGTTTACATCGATAAGATCAAATAGGTGCTATTCACTTTCCATTCGATCTAAATTCGATCTTTTGGGCAACAAGATCAATCATTGCATGTAGTGGTTGAGTGTTGATACAAGACATCAAAATGCCATAACGACACCGAATGGCGTCTCGTACTGGCCATTTGTGGCTGAGAAGTGTGGCGCGGCAGTAGGACCCCGGCCAGAGCTCCCAAACCGCTCGCCCTTATTCGGACAATAAGTTTTGCCCACGTGGTACCCGATTTTGATGCCCAGTGTGGCGGCAACAACGAACTGCTCTTGCTCTTCATTTCGAATTTCTGACTATGTTCTAAGCTCGGTGGATGTGCACTCCACACAATAGCTCTGCACTATGAACGACCTTGATGTAATTGAGATTCCTTCCTCGCCGGAACCCGAGGCTCGTCGCTTGCGTTCAAGACCAAGGAGGACACAGGTACCTGCACCTCCTGAAGAGGTTATCGAGCTCTCGGACTCTGACGATGGCGTTGGTTCTTCATCACGCAAACAAAGACCACGCGAGAGGCCTGTAGAAGTATCCGCAGGTCCGTCCGGGGCAGACGAACAGACAAACATTACACACAAGAAGGCGTCGAGGGCGAATGCGCTTTCTGTCAATGACGGCATCCAGGATCCAGCCCCGGGCAAAGAAGAAAAGATTGGGCTATTTCTCCCTGATACGGATGACGAAAAGGACTTGCAGTTCGCTGGTCCTTCCATGAAAGCGGCTGTGGCACCACCTCTGCCTGCGTTAGAACTTGAGGCCGCCGCATCGCTTCCCCCTTCCAGGCCTGGTGCACTGCTCGAGAATGTGGCCGTTGAGGCCGATGATTTTGATGGATTCGTAGCGCAAGTGCTAGAAATCATTCCTAATGTGCTTCCTGAGCACGCTCGCAAGCTGATCGAAGAGCACTACCCTTCGCGTAAAGGGCAGGTCGTCGAGACCGTGCTTCACTTGCTGTTTGAAGACCCTTCTTACCCAAAGTCTGATCCAAAGGGGAAGCGAAAGCTCTCTGAAATGGCGGGCAGCGCCAATGATGAGCAGAGAAATACGAAGGTCAAGTTGGATTTTGGGTGCAAGGATCGGGAGCGCGAGGGGGGGCCGTTTTACATTAATAATGCTATGGTATGTCAAATGCGTGCAAATTTCAGGCTATCCGCGTTGACTTCATTCTGTAGCAACAATTGTACGCTGATTTCCCGAGAATACCGGTCGCGCATGTGCGGGGGCGATTCTTTGCGAATAACTCGCTGTACGCTCCAACGTACCTTTCGTTACATGAAGAAGCCAAGAAGCAGCCATTGCCGTACAAGCTGAAGCCGGCATGCCGGCATGGCAAAGGCAAAGGTGTCCTGCGACATGATGCAGAACTTGTGAAGGAAATGGAGTGGGTGCAGCTCCGATTGCAGGAAGAGCCTAGTGCACAGGCAGCTGATCAAGGGGAAGAAGACGAGGAGAACAGTATCGAGTGTGGCTGCTGCTTCTCGATATACCCCTTCGTACGCTGCCGCAATCCGTTCACCCCATCCGCGCTAATGGCTCTTTTGTTATAGGAGAAGATGATACAATGTCCCGAGGCACACCTCTTTTGTACAGACTGCATCATTTCATATGCGTCGACGCTGCTGGGAAGCCACGACGCACGCATCGCGTGCATGGATCAGTCTGGCTGCAAGGAGCTGTTCCCTGAATCGGAGCTACGACGAGTGCTGCCGCCTAAACTGGTCGGGTTGTATGATCGCGTGTGCCAACGGCGCGATATTGAGGCGGCGGGACTGGAGAACCTCGAGGAGTGCCCGTTCTGCGAGTACAAGTGCGTGATCGATAACCCACAGGAGAAGCTCTTTCGGTGCGAGAACGCGGATTGCATGGCGGTGACGTGCCGCGAGTGTAAGAAGGCTGTAGGTCGATGGTTATGTCCACGCACCAAGATAAACATTGACGTGTTCGGCTCTGTCTAGGACCACTTGCCGAGGAGCTGCAAAGGTAAGCATGTCATTTGTCTTTGGTTTTTCGTGAAGTTATGACCGATTTGGTAGAGGTTGAAGAGGACAAGAAGCTCGATGTACGACATGCCATTGAAGAAGCTATGAGTAAGTCTATGCCTTCGATTGGATTTTTGGCACCAGGATTCACTATCTCGCAGCTCGCGCTTTAATGAGGAATTGCCCGAAATGTTCGAAAGGTACGCTGTCAATCGCCCACAAGATCATCCTCACTAGACGATCCGCCCAATACAATTTGATTTTTCTTCACAGCTTTTATCAAGGAACAAGGCGTGCGTATACTCAACTCCTCTGTCTGAATTCCTTGTAGTAACCTTAGTGTAGTGTAACAAGATGACATGTCCCAACTGCGCAACGATGTCATGCTACATATGTCGCAAGGTCGTCACCGGTTACTATCATTTTAGCAATGTGAGCGCATACCGTCTGATCCTCGATTCCCCTGCTTACATGTACTCTCTACCAGCCTCCCCCGTACACCGGACAAGCAAATCCAAAAAAGTGCCAGTTATGGGATCCCGTCGAGCAGCGACATAGCGAGGAGGTGAGTATCTTCGTGGACCGATCACTTTGCTGGCGCATGACACGCTACGCCACATAGGTCACCGCAGCTGCCAAGAAGGCTGTGGAGGAGTTCAAGCGGAGCCATCCCGAGCTTACGGACGAAGATCTGCATGTCGACCTACCCCCTCCTCCGGTAGCTGGCCCCTCAAACGCTGCTCGGCCAGTTGCTGTCGCCGGCGCCCTGCCGAACGTCGTGCGTAATCCGATCGCTGCCGCGGCTCATTATGGACGGCAACTAGCCAACGTGTTCCTCGGCGATCCGCTGCAGGCACCGGCGGTGGGGGGCGCTGTATACAACCTCCACGTGAACTTCAACGCACCGCAGGTATATCCTGGCATTCCTGCCATAGGTATGCCTGCTGTTGGCGTTGGACCCGTCATGCCACCTCCAATTCCCCAACCCCCACATCCCGCGCGCCCAGCGGCGCGTGCTCCCAGGCGTGCCAGGGCTAGGAGAAGAGCGTAATCTATTTTTCAGGGCGGTAGATCCTTGGCGTTTGTGCTATTTTGGATTTTGTGTTGCGCAAATTGGACATAGCACTACTTCATGCATGAGGTCTTACATCGGCTGCTGCGTTGAGCGCGCCTGCTGGCGACGTAGCTGTGTCAATACCATCTTTCGAGAATAACCCATGTGTTAGGGAAATGACTACGTCTCGGCGACGCTGCACTGCTTGTCTGTGTCATCGACAAAATATCTTGTTGCGCTCAACATGCAGAAAGACCCAGATTGAGGGAGTTGATGGGTTCTGCACTATCACTACGGAGCTTATTGAGATCAAAAGCTTGAGAATTGGTGACATGGTGATCCACTTTTTTGCGTCCACGCTTGGAAGAAACCTCTGTGAAAAGTGTAAGGAATGGCCACAGCCTCGCCTGTTTTGCTGATCCGCAGGTTGTACAAAACCTGATCAGTAAAATGACCGACGCAGGGGTCGAACCTGCAATCTCCTGATACCATTTCGTCTTGAATCGTAGTCAGACGCGATGCCATTTCGCCAGTCGGCCGATGCTGAGAAATAAACTGTGTGCTAATTGAATACGCGGAAGTCCTCAGCCACCCAAAATGGCCACGTGATTACTTCCGCAAAGCGCTAGATCACCACTAATAGTAAGTCTATACCATGAATCCTTGCTGCTTAGATTTTTTCGGTATAATCTTTGAAGAGACTGTGTAGGCAAGCGTTCGCCGACCATCATGCCCAACCCGAACGGTTGTAAGTTACCTTTTCGTAGTCTTTCGTGTTCTTGTTCTTGACTGTAGCATGTTGATATAGTCGTCGGCGCTGCGCCACAAAGTGGAACAATTTCATCGAGGTCAAACTCGCCGCTTTTGTAGCCAATCCTGCCGTATCTTGTTTCATATGTCTCATTACCATTCCTAGGGAAAGACTATGGACGAGCCTGACTATCTTGTAGTACCGTAACTTTTCCAACGCCAGCGTAACGCTTTAGCACGCTCAGCCACAGTCGCAAAGCTACAAATGTCGCCACTCCGGCGATCTACGTTTTTTCGCCGATTCATCTCGCCTTGATCATGGCATTGGTCAAACACATTCCCCCCTGTCCAATGCCATGACCAACTCACATCACAGCTTTGGTACAGCTGTTGGTACTGCCCCAAAACATTCACCTTTAGTTTTTGCCAATCCATGTGCATCTCAATTCCTTGCCCGAGAGATTCCATGAGAATATATCGCGTAATTGACCAATCACCAGTGGAGACTTCGCAGGCGAAAGCCTCGTTTATGATGGAAAAGAAAGATAGCTCTCATGATGAAGTCGTCACAAGAACATACACGAGCATCAGCACTCCACGGCAACACACAGCGAATGAGCAGAGCATTACGCAGTGTCCTTGATTCCCAAGAACAGCAGTCCCCGCTTCGCCTTCTCCACCTCCTCCTCGAGGGTACGCCCGTCCGCGCTCGTCCACCACTGCTCCTTGCCCACATCTTCGAGGCTCTTGCCTTGCCGCAGCGCGTTCTCGAACGTCGCTTTGCGCGCGTTCAGCTCTGCCATCCGCCGCGGGTCCGAGTGGCCAGTGAAAATCATGAGCGCAGTGCGTGGCGGCAGCGCGGCGTAGAGCTCCTTGAGGTGGCCGTCGAGCGCGATGAACGCCTCGTCAAGCCCCGTGGCGGAAACCTCAGGTACTGACTGCGAGTCCGGGATAATATCCGCATTCCCTTTGCTTGTGATCCCTATGTACAGTGGGTGCCAACGTCAGATCAGGGATTCAAAGTGTATCAATTTCACTTACATCCTAGTGCACTCGCCAGACCAGTGAACCGCCCAAAAACGAAACTGTGTGACGGGATCGCGCCCAACAGAGCGTCTAGCACCTCGCCATCTGTGTTGCACGCGACGACCGTGGTTGCCTTGGACCCATGCCATGCACCGGGGTTGCCGTGATCTACAACGGCTGTCGTGATGCTGCCACCACGCGCACGTCCCATGCGCTCGAAGATCGACTCCATGTCGATCTTAAACTCACCAAAACCCGGGCCTGCACACGGATTGATGTAAGCCAGCAGCGCGGCAAAATCGGATATAGACAAACCATTTTCAATCTTCTTGTTGAGTAGATCCACACACGCGCGCGCATCTTCCTCCGGGTCGTGCCCGCCCTCGCCGCGGTTTTGAATCTCCCGCCCGCACCACTTCTTTGTAAGCCACGCGAGACCAGGCTTCAATGGGCGTCCGCGCGGGTGATGGTAGATGACGGCGGTATCTATGCAGTGTGGATGGCAAATCTTGAGTGCCTTGAGGTCGGACTCCAGCGAGTGTCCAAGGAGGACCGGCGTGGGCGATGCTGAGAGCACAGACAGGATATGTGCTTGCACTTCGGCGAAGGTAGTGGTCACCGGGTCCAATGCTTCTGCCGTGATTCCCGACCATCTGCGCCAAGATAAGCAGAGCGAGCTATGGGAAGATGTGAAGTAACCTACCGTGTCAGATAATCCTGAATGGGCTTCGCCGGCTTCACGAGTTGGTCGTAGATCACGATCCCTGAGGCATAATCTATCATGCAGGCACGAGTGAGCTCCTTTCCGTCCTCGGTCATGCACTAAGCGAGACATCAGGCTGAGTTTATATAGCGGAGCAAATTGTGCTCACCATTTCACAGTCGATCGCATATATTCGAGGTGTCTTCTCACTTGACGGCGAGTCCCCTTGAGGTGGTGGAGTCTCTACCCACCCTGGGGATTTCTCGAAAACCTCCGCGATGTATGAAGGCACCGGGTAGTCATTTTCAATCATTTGTTCCGTGGTTAAAAGGTAGCGCATTGGGGTCTTCTCCCAAGCGCGCTCTGCTGTTGGAAGCGGTATGCAATGAGCGATCAAGACCTGGACAGATTCATGCTTACAAGTCACGCGTTCAATCAAGCGTTTCTTCTTTTCCTCTCCTGTGATAGGACCTTGGAAGAACGAGTTGAGGACGGAATGCATACGCGTCTGGTCCCCCGGTGCTCGCGTTGGGCAGGCGTGGCTGAAGGTTCGCGCCAAGAAAGGGATCCCGTGCGATGTCCCTTGCTCCTGGGTATCCGGTGGTAGGGGTATGGGAAGGGGAAGGTTCGGGTTGGCTGTTGCCGATGTAGGTAGCGGTGGCAGAGAGATGACATCTGGCGTTACTCCAGGCACCAGGAGGGCGACGACTTTCTGTACTGAGCGCGGGTTCTGCTGTGAACTTGAGCATGCGCGCGGAGCAGACGGTAGAAATATTTGTGCACACCTCTACTCGCACCCAGCTAGGCGGTGGAGCGTCCGCAGACAAATGCAACACCAGGTCTCGAATGTCCTGGAAAGATGGTGTCGGTACGCACGCGCAGACTCTTAGTGAACACGCACGTTTATCCCGACTGCTTCGCGCCGTTTTACGATCTCGCTCTTCGCATACATGAACCTGGGTGGACTCGCCTAGCAACGAAAGTGTAAGAACGAGCATCAGCGGGGGGTCGGTGACGTTACGATACGAGAAACACACACGTCAAGTTTCGCTTCCACCCTGCGCGCCTTCTTCGCCTTGCGCTTTTCAACCTTCGTCCACGTCTCTCCGTTCTCTGCACTGCCGATCTCTCCATCTTGAACTTGTATGCTTGCACCAAGTGAAACGCGAGCCGCCTTGAACTTCTTCTGTGCAGGCAGCATGGCCGCTTGGCCCGGATCCACAACGAGCGGCGACAAATCTTGGGAACGTTTCATTTCGTGTGTTGCGACGCACTCAGATGAGTTGCTCTTCTGTGGTCTCGCCGAATCGCCGGTGTATGCGAATCGTGGCGGGAGTGGCTCAAGAGTGGCTGCGATCCTCAGAGATGCTTAGAGCCTCCCAGCAAGAGCGCAACTCAGCGATAGAGATAATCTTAAGGAGTATTAAAAACAATTGCAAATACTTACTGTACCAGAATGGTATTTTACTATCAGGACTTTTCGAAAGAAGACCAAATATGGATAACCTCAGGGCACCCACAAAAACAGCCGGTCTCAGCTTTTTACACCGTTAGCCCTTTTGGCTCTATTGTCACTGAGTCTCTTATCCATGCTGTTTCTAAGTTCACGGGTCACCTTCTTGCTGATGGGGCCATAGAGGAGCTAGCACACAAGGACTACATGCAAGTATGAAGGGAGCCTGCTTCCCAATTTTGTTTCACTTGGAAGAGTATCTTATCGCATCTGGTCGAAAAAATAGGGACTGGGCTACACGTCTATGCCCTTTAGGTCGGCCATCGCAAGCGAGCTCTTACCGCAGCTCATTGGTGGTCCGGGTGCAGAAATGAGGCGATGGGTACGAGACCACCGCAGTTGTGTGGTCGCATCTAGGCCAGCGCATAACCTCCATCATAGATGATGAGAATCGTCCACATACGCGCGGGGAGGCGCGAGATAACACCTGTGCGAGTACGAGTTTTTTTTACAGGCAGATAGGAAAGGGACCCGGCGGACTCGGAGGTCCTTGCGCTCCATAGCATTCTCGCTTAGCTCTGCTCACCCAGCGTAGAAGAATACTCCATGTCGCGGAACAGTCGGCCAAACTCTCTGCCTCCGTACTCCCGTTGTCGACATGTTTTGTAGTCTCCTCGCTTCGCCTCTACTAGCTCTTCCTGTACTCTCCGCGACTGCAGACCAATGGCACAGCCGGCTCATTTATCAAGAGAGCAACCGCTCCTAAGTGTGACGTTGTCACAATACGCCACTAGCGTCTGTACATCGTGCTATTTCTGTATGGACTAGGTGAGCAGTTCCATTGGAATTTCATTCGTGCTTCCTGACCAGGGCCCGGGATGTACTATTCAGGAGCTTTGCGAGATTCATTCCTCATCTTGCCACCTGCCCTGACTCAGTTATCAGCTCGGAACCTAATGGCATTGAATGTCAACTAGCATCAGTGATTACGGAAGCTCTACAGACTGTTTCTCATATCGCCGTTGGAATTCCCGTGTGTCATATGGTATCCATTGAACAGAAGCGTAGTACATGATGTGCTTATCTGTTTGGCCTCGGGGACCTGAGGCAATTAGATCACAGCATCCCGTCAGAACAAATTATAGTTTCAGGGTTCAAGTCCTCCGATAAAGTGCGTAATGGACATGTACTCGCTGTAAAGATTTATATATACCTTTGTATATACTTCAAGATACTGCGAATCACGCTACAGTTCACTTCTAACTCGAATCGCACAACACTTGCATTGAAGGACTCACAGCGCAATGTCCATTTCTGCCGAAAGAACGCAGTAAGTAACGTTGTCTCATACACCTTAAGTTGCTGAATGTGACCGTGACGACAGGGATGCTTCGACGACCTTGAACAAACATGAAGCTCCCGTCAGGGAAGTCTCTGGGTCCGTGGAGAGGGTCAGTCATTGTCGGTTTATCTCTGGTAAATTGACTACAGTGGGCATTAGGTGCAGTCTTCAACTGTAATCTGCCATGCGATCGTGCACGAATTCCTCGAGAAAGTTCAGTTCTCATGTCCGAGGTTCATACGCGACCTGGAGCTCGAGGCTCGCGTTGCTGAGGCCGTCCGAACGTGGGGTCACGAAGAACGTCTTCGGCCATATGTCGTCACAGGTCTTATCCTCACGATCACTGCGTACAATCATGTCGCACATTTCGAGACGCGGGTGCAGATTACCCTGTTCACGATCGCAATCAATGCTATGAACGACCGGCAGATTTACAACCACCTCTCCGCCCGCGAATTCCACCGCCGGATGTGTATCGGTGCGGTTCAAGACGAGACCGGCATGCTGGGGACGCTGATGAAGGTACTGGACTCCATGTGGGACAACTACGCATGCTTCACCGCAAACACTATCTATGCGTCTGCCTTGCGCCATGTTAATGCGATCCTTCTCGAGAACAAGACTGACATCACGCTTTTGCGTTCCCATGATCTTCCATTTGTGGAGTACAAACGAAGCATCACTAACACCCCAGAAGCATATGCGTGTTTCATCTGGGACAGGGTTCGCTTTCCCAAATTCCAGGTGTATATGCAAGCAATCCCGTAGGCGTTCGAAAGTGTCTTGACATTAATGACAATGATGCCCATTGCTTGATAGCGACGCTATGTTATACGTCAGGCACGTGAAGTGAGCGGAATTTCGAGCAGCATCGTGAAATACGCTCACCCTTCATACAGCGACATCTTGTCGTTTTACAAAGAGGAGCTTGTGGGAGAGCGCGCGAACTACGTCCATGAGCGCGCATATGTGACTGGGAAATCTATCTCTGACACCCTCCGCGACCTCATTGACGAGACGGTCCGCGCCGTAGAGCAAGTCCGCGACATTCTCGGCGAAGGCGAGGCACGAGCTGCATTCGAGAATTTTGCCACAGGCTACATTTCAATTTATATTGGTATGACACCACGTCTTTTACTTGACTTTGCTTAATTACAACAGACTTATCGATCTGCACTGTAGATACACCTGAGAAGCGGCGAGCCGTTGATACCGTTTTGAAGGGTGAAATGTAGTATGAACGAGCCATGAACAAACTAGACAGACAGCGGAGGTATTTAGTTTTGAATGAGAGGCTCTTAGTGAAGCGCTTTTAGACACAGTCTTACCGATATGGCGGAATAATCGCTTTTTGTGATATTCAAGTGCGTATATAGCTGACAGCGAGCTCTGAATATTCTTTGATCACGCTTGTCAGTTGAGCGGATAGGCGGTAGACCCACAGGCATGTTGCCGCCTCAAAGTATCGGCTCATTGGAGAACTTCGGACCTGATACGAGTGGGATAGGATTAGGGCATTTGGGAGTGGGTGGTCGTGCTTTGTTCCCGACGTCCAAAATGAACAGCGACTTGAGGGGAGGGGGGGGATATTTCCGGAAGGATGAGGTGTTCGGATTTCAGCGAGTGTTCCGTTTTGCCAAACCATTGACATCTTTTGGAGCGGGTTCTTTGGCAGAATGATGCCTCTGGGGATGAATATTGCAATGATGCTTCCCTGTGCCCAAAACACCCCTCAATCCCATATCTCTCGCGTCTATACGCACACAGAAGCTAATGACTCGAGTCAGAGATAAGAAAGAAGTGAGCCGGCCAGCCATCGCCTTAGTCAACGCACTCACAGGGAGCAGTTCGGCATACTATATTCGTGGTAGGAATGTATGGTTTTGCTCCTGGTGGAGTACACATCCCATTTGGAGATGTGATCTCCAACCGCATTAATCTGATTGAGCAACCTAAGTCAAATTCGGAAAAGAGTATGTGCATTCAAAGTTGCCGCTTAGTAATATCGCTGCTTTGAAGCGCTCAAATGTGGCTGAAGATCTAAGCGTGACGAAGCTGTGACTTCGTCACGTTCTCGGCTCGCGAAGGGCAGAGCACTCGCTTATTTATCGCTGCTTGGGGAGGGAAGATGACATCCTTGTCGCTTGTCTTGGTCGCTTGTTTATTGCTCTCTTCCAGAAACATAGAAGCGGCAAATTTAAAGCACCTAATGAAATGTCAGAAAATGCCCCATCGAGAACACTAAGCCTTTCCGCGGATTTCGTCACTGGGCAATCTGGTCCAACCACAGTGTCCTTTTCACGGTGTTGAAATTAGACGAAGGGGCCCATACGATTTGGACGAGCCTGCACCGCTTATAATAGCTCTATTATTGAATTTGAGGTTCAATGAATCTGTACAGTAACAATCTTCCGCCTCTTGCAGATGACACACTAATGAGCAGAAGCTATGGCAGATACGGGAGAGACGCAGAAGATACCATCCGGTGACTTCGTCGCTCCGTCGTATGCCACAGTACATCGGACGCTCGCATCGCATTCGAGTCCCGGCCCATCAGCTACAAAGGCCTCAATCCTCAGGCTTTGTCTCGCAGAGTTCCGTGATGTATTCTGGAGATGCCGGGCTTGACTTCTGCGCCTCAGCCTGTTCGTGACTTCTCGCAGGGAAGATGTCTGTTGATATCGACCCTGTAAGATGACACACGCCTAACGTCTCAAGGAGTACTATTCTACACGGTGTGCCGTCATCAATGGTCATTCGACCAACAGGTTACAGGTACCGGGTTCTCGACATCGAGGAGCTTGCTGCCTTTGAAGGCTGGTTTCGCTTTATCGCCACCGGAAATCTGGCTCACGATCCCAACCCCTGAACCATAGCTTCCCTGTACTGATACGGGTTCTGTTGGGTGTACACATGCAGAATAATGGAATTGCTAGAAATGAGAGATGTCGACTGGTACATGTAACGACTCTCACGCCCGATGTCATATATATGTGGCTAGACCAGCATGTACAGCATTGAGAGCACCGTCCTGGAGTACCTGTCCACGTTGCTTAGGTTCGTTCTCGTCAATTGTTTTTTCAATTCACATAGGGGCTGAAACGGGCATGATAGCCCATTGGCCTTTCAATAGATAAAGGCAGAATGTCACCGGTGGGTTCGCAAAACATCGTCCGGTGTATTCAATACGTTGAGAGGTGATCGATAGGAGGAGATCGCAGCCGTGTCAAGAGCAGCTGTTCAAGACCTCTTGCATAAAGTGAAATTTGTTGACTACGAGAGATGTCAAGATATCGAACTTCGTCGTCGCGTGGCCGAGATCACCGATACTTGGGACTTCGGGGAGTCAATGCACCCTCACATCAACACTGCGCTTGTTCTGGCAGAGTCTGCCTACGACCATCTTACCGACCTAAATGCAAAGGTCATCATTACCATTGTCACCGCGCTCCTCATTTCAACGGACGACTCGAATGCACTCGATGGCCTTGGATTCGACCAGTTCCATCGCCGACACTTAGACTGTACGCTTCACGCAGACAAGAGTCGTATGGGCTTGCTCGCCAATGTTTTGAGCCAAATGGTAGAATGTTTCCCGAACTTTGGAGCCGGGACAATCCTGGTGTCGGTACTGCAGATCGTGAATGGGAGGAAACTGGAGAGCATAGCGAGAGAGACGACGCTGCATCAGAAAGCCTTGCCGTTTGTGGAGTACCGGCGAATGGTGACTGGTGGGCCGGAGGCGTATGCCTTTATGATCTGGGAGAAGGCCCGATTTCCCACTGTGGATTCCTACATACAGGCAATTCCGTACGTGTTCCTGACTCACCAAAGGTCTAAAGATGATACTCATGCGAACCGACAGCGATGCTTGCAAAGTCGTAAATCACTTCAAGTGCGTCATTGTGGTTATTTCCCAGACACAGTCAATCTCTTATATTGATCTTAGCGATATTCTCTCCTTTTACAAGGAGGAACTTGCCAACGAGCTATCCAACTACATCCATGACCATGTTATTGTAACAGGGATCGCCCCCTCGGACACTCTCAGGAATGTCATAGACGAGTCGGTCTCTGCATCAGAGCGGGTACGTGCCATTCTGGGGGAAGGGGACGCAAGAGATGCATGGGATGCCTTTGTAAGGGGTTATATCAAGTTCCACATCGATGACCCCAGGTATCGACTGCGGCAGCTTTTTGGAGACAACTTGAGAAATGTGGTGGACGAATGAACTCGTTCATTGAAGAAATGATGGATGTTGTATCTGTTTCGACGGTGACCGGCGGATGCATAGTCGGAGATACTAGTGCGGAGACGGCAGTGTCTTAGAGCCTCCTCAATAGTGTTGTCCACGTGGTTTATCGCATTGGCAGAGCCGTAATTACATTTCTAGGTCGCCTATGTTAATATATATGTCTCAAATTGACTTCAGCTAAACTTCAAAGTGTACAACTGCTGAGCTGCTAAGTTGGGTTGCGAGTCGCGAGATACCGATCTTGGGCGCTTGCTTCGGTCCGGTTCGAAAGGCCATGAGTAACTTGAGTAGATCGTGCACAAGGCGTAAGCTGAAGCTTTGCTATCGGCAGGCTCCTGTGGGTTCTTCACTTGTGGTGCCACTTGCTCACTTCAAGTGACACCCAATACACGGCACCGTCTGAGTACCACTTACCCCGCTACGCCTTCATGACCCTAATTTCCTATCGCATGCCCCTCACATCAAATTGACTTGTGTTCAATGAATCTACCAAGGGAGCTTTACAGGGAGATCTTGCAGCATGTGTCCGCGAAGCCCGACCTCTGTGCATTGAGCGTTGCATCGCGTTCACTGCAAGGTGAAGCGGAATACTTCCTCTACCAGTCTATGCGCGCGACTACACCATCAGCCATACAGATGCTCTGCGGCTGCCTTTTCGCGCTGCCCCGTGTACATCCCTTCGTACGCTCTCTCGCTCTGATAGATCTACATGGCACAGGAGAGCTCACGCGCTGGGCGGACATCGCCTGCGTGCTCCGGCATCTGCCCAACCTGGAGTCGCTCACGCTCACCGGTTTCAAAGACAAGGCGACGGCGTGGGTCCTGAGCTCCTGCCCCTTCTCCCTCCGCGAGCTCGCATGTGAATTCGAGCTTGATTCGGCGTTTCTGTCCTTTCTGGGGACTCAGAGGGAGCTGCATTCGCTCTCATGGACACACGGCTACATAAACGATGTCGCACTTCCGCACTTCCCAGCCGATCACCACCTCATGCCGTCGCTGCGCGTGCTGTCTGTGAATGTCCCCGGACCTGTTCTCAAAATGATGGCCGGGAGACCACTCACACACATCTGGCTTAATGGGCCTTTCACACTCGACGAGGAGCAGATAATGTGCACCGCAGAAAACGATGTCTTCACGCCTCATCTTTGTTCCTTACGAATGTACTTCCCCTTCAACCAACATCGTCTCGTCACCTCACTACGCGCGATAGCAGAGACAAGCCCCTATATGCGTTCACTTGGCTTCCTGCCGAATATCACCACCAAGGCATGTTGCACTTTATATTATCCGCTGCAGGTGTTTCATCTCATCCGCCTTTGCTGGATAGGACACTGAGGTCGTCGAGGCCATCTCTGCATTCCGGCATCTCGAGCTGCTGGCGACCTGGAGTGTAATCAGCTCGGATACGGCTCATGCTTTGGCGCAAGCCTGCCCTACTCTTCGCCTTGTCGCATGCTTACACTACTCGTACTATCACGAGTACGTCCTCCTGCCTGTAAACCCAATAGGCGTCCCGCGCCCGGTACACGATCCCGAATTCGACCTCTGGAAGAGTACATGACAAAATCTATCCACCCTATATCAGACCGGTTACAAATCCTATCCAATGAAATGAAGTTCATCCAAGCCCATTATATCCATTGTTGTCGTTCGTTCATTCTCGGCCACCTCGCTCTGCCTGCATACCTTCTTCATCCAGCGGCAGACCAAGAGACCATCACAAAGACGATCGTCATGACCAGAGGCAGTATAGAGGCTTTGATTCCCCACTCGGGCGCACCAGAGTTCGCGCCCTGAGTCGTGGATCCCGTGTTCCCGTACAGATCGCCTTTCAGCGACTTGCAGTAGCTCTCATTGAACACAGATGTCGGCAGGATCACCTACAACAGGGAGTGGGAGGTCCGGAATGAGTGCGAACATGGACCTATTGGTCGATACAGCAAACTATTTACCTTCGGCGTACCGTTGAAGCTTTGCGCGCTCACGCCGCCTTGCTTATCCGCCTTTAGGGTGTTGCACGACACCGCGTCGATGAGCGTCTCGCCACTCTTGTACCCTGCGTTCGGCACGCTCCACGACGGGTTCGATGAGCTCCCGCCGTTTGATAGCAGGGCGAGCATGGGCGGCTTCGATACTGCCAGCGCGTTCTTCGTCGTGGTGAGGAATGTGAGCTATGGTGCAGATATGTTAACACGAGAGGTAGGCAAAGAGGAGACGCGCCGTACCTGCGTCGAAAGGAAGTTGCCGCTGGATGCGACGGCAGCCTTGCGCGCGGCATTGAGCATGCGCACGTGGATTACCAGCGGCTTGTCTTCCTCGTAGCCAGACAGCCACAGACTTGCGTCATGTCAGCCCATGATAGTGAAAATAAGCTATCCTACGTACGCCTCTCGGTTGTACGGATCGTTTGCTCCAGTGTAGCCTTGCTCCTGTCCTAGATAAAGGCTTGCTGATTGAGCAAGTTATACGTGGTCAGGGTATTGCGACTCACCGTAATAGAGGATAGGAACGCCGTCTTGCACGAATGGCCATGTCATTGCATTCAACACCAGCTGGCACACCAGAACACGTCAGTTCTCCGCCTAGTCGTAGAGCCACATCTCCGCAGAGAAACAGGAATACCCACCGCCTGGTCAGTCTGGAACGACTGGAAGCGCGGATTATCCTGATTTTCGAGGAACGAACCCGTCATGGACGTGCCAAGGCGATACGCGCTTTGTTCTTTCTGCACAGTCTGCGCGAGAGCGCTGAGATCGCCACTCGTGTTTCCAAAGGCAGCCGTCAGCGGATAGAACGCAGGGTAATCAAGCACCGCATCGAGGACCTCTGATGCAAGTCCATCAGCTAGAACGATTGGCAGGGAGTGCTGGTCACGTAAACGTACCTGTGTATTGGCTGACGTACTGGACGTCGCCGTCGAGGACTTCTCCAATAGACCACACTGCGGCGGACGCCGTGAAGTTCGGCCAAAAGTCCTTACGGATGTGCTTCACGGTGTCGATGCGAATTCCATCGGCGCCGTAAACCTGCACAAGGTCATGTATCCAGCCGTTTAAGAATGTCACAATGCTTGGATCCTCTGTGTCCACGTCCGCAAGCGGAACGTTGCTGTCCCCTAGCCAGCATTGCTCGACGTTGGTCTGGTTGCTGTAGTCGGTAATCCAGCAGAAAGGATGGAAGTCGGACGATTTGGAGAAGTTTGCAGGCGCGAAGGCGGAGTAGTTCAGGTTCGGTGGGAGTGCAGTCGCAGCCATATGGTTGACGACGACGTCGATCATGAGGTACATGGAGCGTTCGTGTAGTGTCGTGCTGAGCAGTTTTAGATCATCGGATGTGCCAAAGTGAGGATTCAGAGAATTCTGGTCTTCGGTCCAGTATCTGCGATTAGAACATCATATGATATGTCAGCGGTTCGTCTCCGAACTATCATGGCCGATAATGCTGCATGGATGCGGGGAAGTCGCGGCATGCTTTCTCTGCATAAGCCTCAAACATACTGAACCTGCTGCACCCGTAGCAGGGGGGCATTTATACTGATCTACCGTAGCATTTGCACGCTGACCTTCTCGGTGCTCCGTATCCGCTAGTCCGCGGATGTGGAGATAATACGAGAGGCCTAGTCGTGCAAACAGGCAGTGGGTATAGGGCCATCTGTCCCGGAAGGGTGACTTCAGCAATACCCCCGCTTGTGTGAAGTAAGAACAGTCGGTCATCCAGGCCACCGGAGTGTACACAGCTTTACTAGCCATCCTCAAGTTGAGTCTTGCACCTCCACCCCCTCGACGTCAGGACAGCGAGCCAACATACACAAATGTGATGAAATTCCCCAGCGTCCATTAGGACTCAAGGATACTCCGCCTTTTGCGCGGAGCACAGCTAGGCCGCACAAGTGGCTATATGCGCATTCTTGGACGTGATATGCGATTACGTACCCGTGATACGCCTGACCATCTGCAGTTGTTTCCTCGATGTTCGCAACTACGGGAGATATCCAGATGGCATCGAATCCCATGTTCTGAATGTAGTCGAGCTTTCCGATGACCCCCTGCCAGGTACCATTACAGTATTCTCTTTTTGAAGTGTCACAAGCGGGCGATGTGCCATCTGAAGTGGCAAATCTGTCCGTTACGAGCTGAACGGTGCGAGCTCAGCTGCGCATGTACACTAATGTCCATGCATCCAAACTCACTTGGTATATAGACCGCTTTTGCCAGTCCTGAGCAGACGCTGCAAACACAGGAAGTGAGAGAAAACATGCCAGAAGCAGCCGGCACAGAACGTAGATCATGCCCCGACTCGTATCGTATTGAGTACTGAGACCTTGGATCAAATGAATGGGATGGGGATAGTGAATGTGGCGGTTGGGGTCTGCGCGACAGCGGTGGTGGGTCTTAAAGCGAACAAGTGGGATGAACAGCCCACAGCCCGACTCCAAATCTGGGAAGGCTTCCTAAAGGGGGTGCATATCAGCATTCTCGTTGACGTGGAGGAAACTAAGCAGGAATGTTGCCTTTAACGGCAGCTGAACTTCCATTTCGGTGATCGACCCTGCTTAGACACTATTGCGGTTGAGTAGTCATGGCCGAGGATCACCGGTCATCATGGAGAGGCACAAGACATAAATAGCGCACTATATTCCGTGTCCTTCAGCAAAAAGCTCCCGAGCAATCAACCGAGAAGCGCAAGATCAGGATCTTACATTTTCACCGGCAGATGTCAGGCCAGTGATAACTCGGAAACCCCGTTCATAATGTTCCATCAATTCAGTCCGATGGTCAGAGAGAGATATTAAATGCTTAAGCCATTCGAAGCATTGTGCAAGTGAGCGCAATGATCTGTATCGCTGACAGGTCGGTCAATATGCAACGAACGCGCGCCTCTTTGGTGAGAGAGCTGAGAGGCAGTGTTATAAACAGGCATATCCGATAATGGTATCAGCACGCATTGAATTTTACAGAGAGCTCATATCCACAAAAGGCGCTTCGCACATCTTCAGCCACAACCCGTTCTGGGCATTATGCATAGAATCAGCGCCACGTGTGTCTAACTATAAAACGGGGCGCTCACCTTCGCAAATATCGTCAGATGCGAGCTCACCCAAGCCGTTTCGGTACCCTCGCACCCAATAGAGTCAGTGAATGTCGGCGGTGGAATAGAGTTGGGGCACGCCTGCGGTGTGAGCTCGATCGTCTCGAATTGTTGAAGCAGGCGGACGAGCATGAATGATACTTCACTGTATGCAAACTGTGTACCCCAGATGCGCCTCAGGTTATCGGGTTTGTAAATGGGATGCATCGTACCTGTTGACCTAGGCAGACGCGCGGCCCTGCGTTGAAAGGCAGAAAAATGAACGGATTAGGTATCAAATACTTTTGCATACGCTCGTCGAGGAACCTGTCTGGGTCGAAGCTGAGCGCTGAAGAGTAGTTGTGGTTAGAGAGCGTTCATCTTGTGCATCGTGGAATCTGAGTGCCTACCATCAGGTCCCCAAAGATCCTTCCGGCGATGCATAACGAAAACAGAGTACTGGATCCTAACATTGGGGCGGGATTGGTACAATTGGCAGAAGGACAAGGAAAATGAGCTGTTCACCTCGTTTTGGCCGGAATATATAGTGGCTTCCCACCAGGGTCCCGAGAAGGCCAGAGCACCGCTTCAGTTGTATACCTATCATTGCAAATCAGCTCCTGTCTCGCGCAGTAGGGTCGTCAAAGCATACCTCATATTCAACGGGCTGCAGAGGCGACATCTTGTTAGTCATGCCAACTCAAATTGGAGAATGCACACGTACACGGGGGGATACAATCTGAGCGTCTCATTGATGACGGCCCTCAAGTACTTCATCTCTTTGAAATCCTCATACTCAGGCCGCCGGACCGTGCCGACACGGCCGAGCACCTCTCGGCGGAGGCGCAGAAGTACCCCAGAATGTCGCGCGAGCGAGTAAACAGCAAACGTGAGTGCCGCCGCTGTCGTGTCACGCCCAGCAATGAGGATGTTCAGTGTCTCATCCTTCAGAATCTGCGGATCTGACAGAAGAGCTGAGCTTGCTCGATGTGTTCGCATAGCAACCCAACACATACCGTCAGTGAGTCCGACGAGGTGCCCCAGGAGCGTCTCATGGTCTCGGTCGCCCTTGCTCTGGCCCGCGCCTGCGCCTTTCGCTGCTTCGTGCGCCTCGACCGCTCGCTGCACAATGGGATCCACGAACGCGTCCACGTCGTGCATCGCACCGTGCACCTTGTCGCTCCAGAACTCAAACAACGGCCATGTCGACCCAAAGCGCATGCGCATCAGCGTCTGGAACTGTGCGCGCTTTAACGCGTCGCCGAAGCCGTCCGCCGTGGCGCGAGTCGGCGTGGCGGGGGGTGCAGAGGCCGGCGGGTATGGAAGGCCGGCGGCGAGCGAGCACACGTTGTTCCCGAATAGAAACTCAGTGGCGGAGTCGAGGGTGAAGCGGAGCACGAGATCCTGCCAGTCAATAGAATGCCCCTCGCGGAAGCGCGCCTTCATCAGCGCGAACGCGGCATCAGCATTCCTGCGATCATACAGTCAGCGGGAGAGTCAGCGAATTCAACTGATAGAGATACCGACCGGTCGAATATGTCGAAGTGGCTGATGCGTTCCTTTGTGAAAAAAGGGCGTGTCATGGAGCGATGGAACCTGTACGCGACGCAGTCGGTCTCTATGATGCCACAATACACAACTTCCGGCAAAGATGTGCGTGCTCACTTCCACATTTGGCCTGATACGGACAAATAAGTGTTCCAGTTCACGGAATGGAAGAGAGCTATACCATCAGAATTGAAGACACCTGTTCCGAGAAGACTGCCCAGTTGTCCGCGGAATGTCGAGCCTTTGTTAAGACAGAAGTAAGCCCTCATGTGACACACCTCGTTCAATCAAAGTCGGAGCACCTTTCTCGAATGCCTGGAAGTTGGTTGACAGGATTGACTGCAGGGATTATCATCAGCGTCCGACCGACGACATCCGTTTTAGTAAACATGTATTCGTGCAGCACCTTACCTTGATATGTTCGGGCTCGGATGTAAACAGCTGTACATGTCTTCAGCTCTTTGGAAGAAGAGCACATTTCCCAGCACACACCCTTCTTTCGAATAGCACTTCACGAGCGAATGTATGTCCATACTCTGCACTCCACTTGAAGAGCCAGTCAACTGCCGTATTCACATGATTAGTCCCGTATAACCCAGCAAGCGCCAGGCTCACCTAAGAAGTACTTCTCGAAGTTGCGTGAGACAGTAACGACAAGGTCGATACCGCCAATCCATCTATGCTTAACCGTCGGAGGCAAGACGGCTCCGAGAGAAGCTGCCTTGTGACATACTGTATACCTCTTCCATTGTACGAGTATGGCCAACGATACGGGATACGAAAGTACAAAAAGAAATGTGAGAATCAACGGGGACGCCGAATAGCGGCTTTTCCCGCCAATTGCACGGTAAAGGATATAAACGAGGGTGGGAGGAAGCAGAAGACGAGGCAGCTGGCGAGCGAGATACCTCGGGCCAGGAGACATCGTGAATGAGGCGTCCAAAAAGTCCCTGGGAATTTCCTGTTGAACAATAACACAAATAAAGATCCGAGTAATGATGGACCTGAAAATGACACTTTTATCAGGGCCGTAGTCCCATCACGATGCTACGGTGTCAAATCGGACACGCATGGGGTTGTGGCTCAATGTCTGTGTCAACAACATCGGCGACTCTCATCGCCTTACAGCTAACCGAGAGACCTGAAGGCGTGCGTGTGGAAATGCTTGCCCAATCGGGGAAGTATTGAGCACGACCCTGCCAATCATGTTCCCTGCGACATGTCACCGGCTCGCCATCCATGTGATGCAGCAGTTTGAGATGCCGTAGCATGTTGATCCCCGATTGTTCTTCTACATCGCAGGAGCGATCGTGTTTGCAGCGGATCCGCTACTCGCTTCCGAATATCCCGGATTGCAGGTGTGGAGATGAGCGAAGCCTGAGTGAACTTGACGTATGGCTAGAGTGCATTGAGCAGTTAAATGTTCAGCGCTATCATTTGATGGATTACCAAGCGAATCTATATTGGGGGCGACACGGACAGCGCGTACGGCATGGAAGCGTTACATATCCCCCGGGCGCGGTAGACGAAACAGCTGCGAGCTCGCAAGCTCACGAGGGAAGATGATTCGGTGAGATGCTTTGCCCGAGCGCTGCAATACAATCCATTGTCAGCGCGAAGCTCCGCGAACGAAAACATCCATGCACACCGCACAAGTGCATCGTTATGATACAACCTATGCAACACAAGAACCCATGTCATATGTTGTGGATCAGAGCGATGGAAGTTAAACAGTGGCATGGAATCTACGAAGGAATTTTGTGTCACTTGCGCACCTCACCGCCTAATCTTCTTCGCCAACCCGTCCTGCTCCTCTTCATGTTTGCGCTTCCCCTCTTTCCTGTGCTCGTCATCCTGCTCCGGTCGCGTATCCGCCTTCTGTGTCTGCGCCCGCAGCTGGCTCCACACGAGCTTGTCCATATATGGCTCTTCAAATGTTCCCCCGTCCGGCGGATAGAACCAGTAATTGAAAGCCATATGCACGTCTGCCTCACCGTCATCACTTGCGGAGGACGACGTGACCTCGTGCCACCACGACGCGGGGAGATAGAGCGCTTCACCCGCGGCGAGCTCGACGATGAAAGGCTCGCCTGCCTTCGCGAGATCAGCGAAGTCAGTAGGTGTGCTTTCTGCAGGGGCAACAGCGGTCGTAGGTAGGCAAAGGTGTTGGTGGAGGCGTGCGGTGGGGATGCGCGAGAAAGACGCAGGCTCTTCCTCGGCCAAAGATTCATCATCGGCGTCTCGAGCGCCGCTTGCGTTTGGACCAGACGAGCCAGCTCTGTCTCCGATAGCCTCCAGGTCGCCCATGAGAGCGTCATAGTCGTCCTGGCCCTCCTCCAAGTCGCCGGCAAGCGAACCGAAATCGTTGCCCTCATCATCCTCATCCTCATCCTCACTGTCCTCGCCCGCGTCATCCAGTGGGAACCCATACTCTTCCGAGAGCGATAGCTTCACCAATTCCTCCCGCGCCTCCTCAAACTCCTCTTCGAGCCGCTTATGCTCCTTCATCGCGTGCGACGTCGCTTTCGCTTTGCCCTTGCCCTTCCCTTTGCTGGTTTCTGCGGGCGGGTCATCGAGGAGCCGTCGAAGTGCATCGACACGGGCCTTGAGCGCGATACGATGGTCGAGCCCGTCCGCACGAAGCAGCCATTCATAAGCGATCACGCCGTTGGGGTGCACCTTCTCTACTGGTTTGTTTGGGTAGAGGTTCTCATACTCCTGTGGTGGGTAGAGCACAAACCGCTTGCGCCCTCTCAGAAGGCAGTACAGATTGTCATGGAAATCATGGTGCTGTGACAATGCGTGAGCACACGGCTTGGCAGAGAGCAGCACCCTGTACGCACTAGACCCGATGATGATCCATCCTGCGATTTGCCCAGCCATAAGTTAACTTGCTGGACGAAGAGGTTCCCCATGAGCCGCGGCACATTGGGGAAGTCACCCCTGAGCGCGTCCGTCGGCGGCGAGAACATCGTCAAGTGGTCCCACTCCTCGCCAGAGTACTGTGTCGTAAGGTAGTAATACGGCCCACTCTCCTTGCTCAGCGAGGCCAGAAAGTCACCGAAACGCATTGGCTGGCGCTTGACGTCCGTACCATACTGGCGCGTCGAAGGGTGCATGGGCTCGACGAGCACCTCAGCTTCGCCTGCTTTCAATGCAAGATAGTCAAGTTCAGCCTGGCTTCACAAAGCGAAGATCAACGATAGCAGGCGGTGTACTTCGGGCGAGGACGTACCCATTTCCTCGCCTTGAAGGAAGGGTCGTCGGGCAGACCCTTGATTATGATGGGTTGTCGCTTGTTGATATAGTCTCTGAATAAATCATTGGCAGGTATTGTAGGCTCGACATAGCTTAGTTGCCTAACCATAGAGATTGTCTGTTGCAGTAGAACTATAGTCGTTATGTATATGGTCGATTTCGACACGAAAGTGGGGGTTTGCAATCGATAAGCCATCACGTGCCAGGATACGAGTTCAAAATCCAGGTTGAATTTGAATTTGTATTGGATTTGGATTTGGCACAGTTCAAACTCTAAGTCAACTCTGCATCATGACTGGTATGCAAAAGCTAAACTGTCAGTTCTGACATTCTCCAGCCGCTTAGTATCCGCTGTCGTCCTCTGAATCTCTGGGCAGACAAAACGCCTTCAGTGTCTTTCCGAATCTTTCCAGATTTATGCATTTCTTGTGACTTTTAAAAGCACATTTGCCAGCCAAATGCTGATATACGACGTAGCCACATGATCTAGAATCTTGGACGTGTTGCGGAATGATCCACCTGGCTTCAGTGCAAAACTAGTAAGTAGATCGCATATGCATCTTCACCGCCGTTTACCCTCGGTCCATCCTCTTGGATAGGCGGATCTTCGCACACTTTTGCACACATTATGACAATGCAGCATCGTGCGTGTGGTGGCGGATATTTTTGATCTTGAACACCTTTCGAAGTTCTCAAGTTCTCATTGTTCACTTTACTAGAAAAATGAGGGCGTTGTGGTGCTGCAACTTCCATGGTCAACCCATTCTGATACGTCGGGTGACCCAATGCCGTCAGCATTGCGATAAGGCATGTCGTTGCAGCTGGTCAAATTCTGAAGTCATCTATTTGTCCAATTCGTCTTCAGTCTTTCCAAGGACGGCTGTAGTTCGTACGAACAGCATACTTCATTGATTCAGGAAGTAACCTATGCGTCACTTCCACAGCAGTCGTCGAAATTTCATCTACTATCTCAATCTGTCTCTGAGAAAGGTGTTAGATTTACAGACTCCTTTGGGCCGTACCTACGACACGTGGGGGTCGTGAGGCTGGGAGCACATGGGCACATCTATCCCAAATTTCAATCGGACTTCTATCTTCAAGGATCTCTGCTGAACCATTTTGTCGACTTTGCGCGGTGCGTCCCATTAGCATCGTTAGCGCATCACTTGTGCTATATCTCTGTTATTGGCAGACATACCATAACCATGCTTGATTCCAAGAGCGACGCCCGTGCTGGCGTTCAAAACGCTGCCACGGGCCCCACAGAGATTGCACCTCGACCTTTTGACAGGGCCGATGCAGATGTCATCCTGCGCTCTTCAGACCACATCGATTTCCACGTCCATCGTGCCAAACTGAGTATAGCTTCGTCATTCTTCAATGCCATGTTCTCCCTGCCACAGACATCCGACACTCATCTGGACGTCCAGATCGTCGATGTCACGGAAGACAGCTCTACGATGAACGCGATCCTCCGCATGTGTTATCCAGTCGTGGATCGCTCGATTTCGTCGTTCGCAGTTCTCTCCTCTGCGCTCCGAGCTGCGCTGAAGTACGACATGGAACTCGCTGTTGAGCTGTGCAAGCAGTCTCTGAGACTCTGGGTACATTCGCAACCTCTGCAGGTGTATGCTGTAGCATGCCGCGTTGAGGACGAGAGCATAGCGAGGCTAGCGGCGGTGAAATTGTTCGACTCACGAGGCACTATATTGAATTAATTTGCCGACGAACTCGAGGAGATTCCTGCAGGATGCTACCATAGACTCTTGCGATATATACGTGGGGATATTGGGAAAGATGGAGCCGCGTTCTTGACATTCTGCCATCCGGAGAGTCCGCCCATGCCCGAACTCGATATCCTTGGCGATACTGTAACCCACGTCGCCCCGACATCCGCGCTGCCAGCCGACGCTGATTGTCCTATCCTGTTCGCCGATGCACAAGCCATTGTATTGATCGTTACTGCGGACGAGAGACAGCTCCGCGTAGCGAAAGAAGTTATCGCACTAGCCTCTCCGATCTTGTCTGAGATGTTATCGAGGGCGCAGGACGCGACGAAGCACTGTAACGAGGATAATGAACAAAACGTTCCCATGCTTCATGTCGAGGAGAGCAGCCAAATCATAAATCATCTCCTGCGCATATTGCACCCCTCCCTCATCCCCAGTCCCATCGACGCCACAATACTGCCGAATCTTCTTCAAGTCGCCATAAAGTACAAAATGGAGAAGGTGGTCTGGTTCCTGCGTCAGCAATTCGACAGTCTGTCTGCTTCAGAGCCGCTGCGCCTGTACCTTCTTGCCGCATCCCACGGGTGGAAGAAAGAAGCTTGTACGGCAGCGAAGGCCGCGCTGGACCAACGATTTGTTGATTTGGAGAAAACATATGTTTCTGAGCTCGAAGTAGCGCCAGCAGGACCGTATTATCGCCTACTCAAATATCATCAGGCATGCGGAGAGGCGGCTAGTGTGGTGAAAATATCCGATTTCAAGGTCGAGGACTTACACAGTTACCATTATCACCGAGACTGTCACTGGCGCGGAACAGCTCATGTGCAACAACTGGGGAGATGGTTGCAGGAGCGGCCAGCGCCGTCAGGTTTTATCGCAGGTCTCGTTGCGACGGGTACGGAGAACGTGAACGGCCCTGGATATTGCGATGTACCGGTTTCTTTTGTTGAAGACATTACCTTCCTGTCTCAGGTTTTCGACAGAGGGCGCGAAATAGAGGCCGCAATCGCCAAGGCGAGTGCATTATTCATCGTTTACAACACCCAGCCCTAGTGTTGACTCCCAGTAAACGCCGAACAGGTTGACACTGAGATGCTATTTGCAGCACCTGCTGCAATCGTATGAGGCGGGGACGAGGTTTAAAATGTTGGCCTGCATCTGTTGTAAGGGCATTCCCGACTAGTTCAATCCAGACATATAGTGATGCAGCAACTATGATATGGTGGCATTTATCATCCACACAGTTAAATCTCGTTGCTGACCTCCCCTCCAACTCATCCGAGCTGAGTGTGCCCAAGAGGAATCGCCGGGATCTACATGTTCGGTGTCAAGCGAAACATTCATACAAGAATAGGCGGGTGTATGTCTTTGTCGTAAGTGAGATAAACAGGAATAAAGCAATAAACTGATAGCACAATATAAGTCTAAAAAGATGCTGTTCGATCTGGCAATGTCCTTGAGGGGAATCGAATGCGGTCAGCTTGAAGTACGACTTAGAGGCGGGTCTTGTGATCCAATGCTTCGAGAGCAGCATGCGTACGGACGTGAAGAGCATTCTAGGAACACAGTTCAAGTACTAGCGTCAATAGCAGGACAGGCGAACATACCTCCAAGCTGTACTTTCCCTAGCACGGGTATGAGCAAGGAAGCCAACGATAGACAAGCAGATCGTACCTTCCTATTTCCTGCTGGACCCTCAAGCGGCTTGCCTGTGGACCTACGTAAGACGGTTGTGCAAAGCTATGGATGCTTGTCTACATACCAGACATGACTAGTTCTAGGTGCTCTCGTGCACCCTGTTTATCCCCTTTGCATGCCAAGAGTCGGCCATACTCGTAATCTTGACAGCAACGCGTGAGCAGATTCTCATGTCAACCTTCCGCACCACTCACGGGCATAATAGATGAGGTGGTGATCGAGCGTGATACGGCCACCATCAGCGAAGACAGCCTCGAACGAGGATAACGCGTCCCGTTGTGCATCGGCCTGCGCAATAGCAATCTTCTCGTCAGGATCGATCACTGCATCCGCGTCCTGTATAGTCCTAGTCACGACACGTCGCGGCAAGTATGGTCACATAGGCGTACCGGATAAGCGACATATCGCAGACAGATGCCCTTCAGGAAATGCGCCAAGCACAGGTCGTCCCAGTACCCACGGCCGCCTTCGTACGCCGACGGATTGCTCTTGTGCTGCTTCAGCTTGGTCAGGAGCTCTTCGATCGGCGGCAGCATCTTGGTCATGATGATGTTGCGTGGAGAACGCGCGATTGCCAGGAAAATATATGCGAGTTCCAGCGCAGGGAGGGCCAAGCGCCCGCCCTGGTCCTGGAACTTCCGCGCCTTTCGCGCGATGAATTTCTGCGATCATGAGGATGAGCAAGCCTTCGCTAGGGCCCGGCACCACTCGTACCTCTAGAGGTATTGACTTGCCCGCGATGCGTTGTCGCATCCCGGGGACCTTGTTCATGAGTTTCGCTGCCTCTGCGCGCTCCTCATCGCCTCCGAGCTGCAGCAAACATGCCGCCACGCCATACGTGTACGTCGCCTTCGACCACTAACCAACGCTGTGTTAGTACGTGTAGACACTCTCAACATAAACGGCTGACAGTGGCATCATCACTTAGCATCCGCCAGTACGTCAGCGACGCCGAGACGTCCCACAGCGCGAGGTTCGCAACAGCGATCTCCCAGTGCGAGATGTGGTACATGTTGCGGTATTGGTTTTGCGCCTCGACTGCCTTCGTGTAATACTTGATCGCTTCTGCTGGTCGTCCGCGACACAGCGCCATGCGCCCCTGCCCGAAGAGGAAAAAGACACCTGAAGGGGCACCAACAATCAACGGGTAATCTTGATTTCGAGATGACACCTCGTCACTCACCGTTTGGATACCGCTTGACGTTATAATCCAGGATCTTCTGTGCCATCTCGATGTCGACGCCGTCAAATGTGATGCTTGAGAGCACGAGGTGGAAAAGCAGCAATGCCATGTCGCACATTGGCCGACGGATACCCTCCTGCTCTGTGAATGACACAAGGCTAAGACCAGGGTTGCTCAACTTGAGAACATGCCCTACCAAGACTGACGGCCGGTGTGTCAGAGTCCGCTGACCACCCTCCAGATTTCATCAAATATGTGAGGCCGGTATGACGATCCCCACGATACCCAAACAGCTCGATAACTGTGAGCAACTTGGACGGCATAAGCGATAAGATGACGTTTGACATCCCGACACCGAGGTACACGCCTGAGCGGAAGTGCGGATCAATAGACTTGTCCTCAGGGCCCTCGCCGCGTGCCTCCGCCTCAGCATCCATTGTTTCTATATATTTGCCTAATTGACGGTAGATGTTGATAGTTGTCCTCATGTTTAGTCTGCAGCCTCAGAGTCGCCATAGGCATCAGCTACTCACTGGTGGAATGGACTACTCACGCTTCTTTGATGAATGCGAGCCAGTCTCCGGAATAGACGATACCAAGGAGAGCCTAAACCAAAACACTCAAAGTTCATTCCCCAACCACATCTTCGCTACTTACCTTCTCGAACAGACTTTCTGCGTAGACAAGTTCAGCATGGCGCTCTACAGGGGTCATGTTCTTGATCCATCCGACGCCCGAGGTGTTAAGTGATCCTAATACGAGACCTGCAAGACGCGTGGGCAATGATGCTGATGGTTTCCGGTGCCTGTTCGCGACTATATTCCCTTCTCGCACATAGTTGAGTCCCGACAAAAGATCCTAGGAGGGCCATTAGTTTGCACGGTAGCGAGCATGCTGAGCAACGTTCTACGGACCTCGTCCTCGAAAGACATGAGACCCTTGAAGCACTGGATCAGGCCATATCCCGTGGCAAAGTACAAATTCTCTCTACCCAAAGAGAAGAAGGCACATTCAGCACGAGCAACATGTCAGTGAGCCGTGATGTCATCCATACCGTTTAGGGTCACGTTGTTTACAGTAGTCTTCTGCTTCCACCATATGAGACGATAAGAACAAGTGGAGTGCATAACTTAGGGCTGATACGTCGTCAAGTGCCGTCTGTGGCGAGTATGGGCCTTTCCGTGATGGTGGTGCAGATGCCCCCCAAGGTAGTGTCGGAGTTGACGAGCTTCTGCCTTCTATGCTTCCCGTCATGATGATCGTCTACTACGTCGTCAGAGACGTTGAAAATTCCGCCGTCCCAAGTAGTCTGTAAGGCCGCTGAGACACGTTCGAGCTGTACCAGTGCTGTATTCCAAGGATTACTTGGACGCCTAACCCCTCAAAGCACCCAGTACGGCAGACAACTTGTTGATCGGAAAGACCCTTCGAGTGTCTCAACAGAAGTCGCAACTTGAAGCTTGCAGAAATTCACTGCCGAATTCTTGTCGGCGTCCGGATGTGCAGAGCTGAGAGCATACTTGATGCAATGAGCAAGTTAGCATTCGCGAACAGTGTGAGCGGCCGCAAGATGCCGGTCGGCACAATCTGAATTCAAGGTCACGTGGCCTCAGGTTTCGGGCAAGTCGACCATCGAGGTCGTTACGAACGACGACGACGACACGCTGGATGCTTCACGTCGAGAACGCTCAATTCCTTTTATATACATCCTCTCCGCATTGCATGGGTCTCGGGCACAGACTGCAGGATCATTCCTAGCTTGACCTTTTTGGCCAAGTCTGAACATTCTCGCATGCCCCTGCGGTAAACTCTTGCACTCTGAACGACATCACTCCGTAAACATGGCGGAGACATCTCACTCCCGGCGCGTGTCCCAGTCCCACATTCCTGTCTTTACACCACGCAAATCCTCTAGCTCTCCTGGTCTGTCCAACCCGCACCTCGGACTCGTGCCCCCCTCCCGACACCTCTCTGTGAGCGGTAGTCCCACCCACCCGAGCCCCAGCTCAGCCTCGTCAAGCACGAGTGGCGGACTGACGCCTTTTCGATCCTTCAAGAACCTCTTCTTTAATAAACATGCCCCTAACACTCCCAAGAGCCCTTTCGCCGGCTTCGGCTCTATCAGGCGGTCGATAAACGGCGAGCGCAGCGTGTCTGCCCCTCACCTGCGTCGGCAGTCCTCAGCAGAGGAGTCGCCTGTGCTCGAGATTGTGTTGCCATGTACCGAGCCACTGCTGAACGGGATAGAACTGCAGAACATTGGCCTGGGCGCAACACGGTCTGGGCCACCGTCGTCCTGGTCTTCAGGTAGTGTTTCCGTCCTTGCCGCAAGCGATGAAGGTATGTATGCTTCTCTCTCTCCCCTTACGCCCTTCTGACCTAAATGCATTTAGCTCCCTCATACTCTCCACCTGCTGGTCTAACTGACCTGTCTACCATCATAGAGGCCGAGAACTCCGGCATCTCTAAGCACATTCCTGTGCTCGATGAATCGCAAGAGGAAGAGGTGCTTTGCAAAGTGTCTCGTGAACTTGACATGTCTCTATTACACGCCAATGTTCAGAAGCCCTCTCGCGCCTCCTCCCAGGAGAGCTCAGTCCTAGATCTATCTACGTCAAGGGTCACCAATGAGGTGCTCCAAGCCATGTCCGAGACTGGTCGTACAGAGGGCTGGTTGCACGGCGTAGTAGTGGACGATACTGGAGATGACATCCTCAGTGATGCTCTACTGGCACACAACGCCGCAGGGGATCCCGATGTCAGCTTTAATCTAAGCGCACTAGATCCAGACCTCGCAGCACTCCTCAGTCCTAACCGATTGGGAGGTAGCGATCCGACATTGTCCTCGTCAGCAGACATCACGCAGCGTCCTCTGCGCCCGTCCCCTACACGCCCAAGCACCCGTACATCACCCCTCCTCCCGTCACCAGAGCTGAAGCTGGATTCCCCTCGCCGCTCTACGTTCACTCGAAGCGCGGCATCTTCACGCAACACCTCTCCTGTGCGCCGGCAGGCCCCGTTGTTGAAGTATGGAACACCTAATCTCCCCTCCACGGCGCTCCCTCGACTGGCCCGCTCTGCGTCCGACCGCCCAACGCACTCAAAACTGGGACACATACCGCCACCTCTTCCGTCTCCCATTTTACGTGCATACTCGCACAGTCCAGAACGGCCAACCACGACCGGGGCCATGCGTACTCCGCCAACAGCATACAGCCCTCTGTCGCAGGATGAGAGTAGGCCGCAGAGCAGTAGCGGCACCGACTCTCGTAGAGCAGGCCTCCCTCGTTTCCTCACGCCAGCGCGATCTGGCAATCACCTTGCCCCTGGGAGCTCATCGCGACCACCCTCCCGTCAGTACAACAGGACGCCTCCTCGAAGCTGGGACCCGCCTCTTCCATCTCCAACCTTTCGACCCTCGTCCGCGGCGGGGACCCGCATCGAGAGCACCGGCGACCGCCAGCAGCGCTCCGTGCGCACGCGAACACGGGAACGGAGCTCTAGTGTCTCGGAGGTAGGAGCGATGCGCGAACATGCTCGACACCTTGGTCCGCGCACCACTAAGGCGTTCGCCGCGGCAGGGCTGCTCGATCTTGATGCGGACAGACGTCCTCCTTCGCGCTTCGGCACAACTCGGAGTAGCATTGACGACGCCCGCTCCAGATTCGCGCCATCGCGATTGGCGCTCTCGGAAGCGGGGTCGAGTTCGTCGTGGAGCCGGCGGAGCGGGAGCATCTCGCGCGCGGGCAGCCTGTCGCGTACGGTCATCGCGTCCGACATGGGCGGACCAATGTCTGATAGCGTATCACCACGGACAACATTCTCTGGCACATCGACTGCTCCGACGTCTGTGTCGGCAGCGTCACCTGCGCGCCAAACTATGCAGTCCGAGTTACAGCTCTTGCAAGATCGGCACTCTGTGGAGACGGGCGCTCTTCTAAGCGCACTTGCGGACTCGCAGAGGACGGCTCGCGTGCTACGAGATGAGAACACACAACTTCGTGATCGTCTGCAGGAAGTGGAGGACCGCCTGGCTGCTGCTTTGGAGCAAATTGGCCGATTGCAATATTCAGTGCCTCCATCGCGTATAGCGGCCTTGTCAAGCAGTCAGTACGATCTCTCGAGGGATCGACAACTAGGCCTTGGGCAGTCACGACTAAACTCCTGCCTACGTCCTGACATTGACGCTTCACCAGAGTTCTCATCTCCCGAGCGGGCCATCTCCTCACCTGAAACACCCGGGGACGCGGAGCTATTTGCCGACAAACGTCGCAAGCGCATGAGCACGACTTCCTCCTTGTTCCCTGGTCCACCTAGTAATATGTCGATCCTCATGCACGAGGAGGCCGATGCAGGGGACCATTCGATTGCGTTCTCGAGTCGCGCGCCCTCTCCCTCATCTCCAACACTTGTTCTCGCAAAGCTAGGCGGTGCTCAACACGAGCACAAACACAAGCATTCCATACCATCCGCAGGGAATATATCTCCCACCACTGCCAACTTCTCTATTGTGACCGGCTCGCCAGGTAGTCTGCACTTACGCCCGGAGCACGAACTGCATTTAGGAGACATGCCCAGTCTGGACTTGAACGCGGACTTCAACGACGGTTACGACTAGAGGTTTCAGGTCTCCGTTCTTCGCTTTCGAACTTTGCACCTCTTCCATTGGGCAATTCGTTTTCTTCGCTTTCGTCGTGTGCATTTGGGAACGTTCACCTATATCCTACTTTATCCATATACCATCATGATGCGTGTTCTTCACTGCATATCGGTTTTCATCCTTCGGCATTAATTATTTAGACCTTGCATGCAATCGTACCTCGCTATCGTTGTTGACTGTATACCATCATGCTCTCGTCGTCTGTAACTTACATAGCGATCCAGTAGCAGCGCATTATTCGACAAGCCTCACATTATGAGGTCAAATCCTCCGCCATATACAGACCTCGGTCATATTCTCTCGCTTCACTCGACCAGCGGCACGACGACTTGTTCCCTGCGGTGGCTGAGGTCACGCTGAATCTTTGGCAGAAGTGCCACCCGTCGAGTTCTTTGCACCTCCAGACCCTTATCGCCGAAGTAGCAATGAGACTCGAAACTCCAACAGTAATTGGCACGGGGCCAATTGGCGACCTGGTAAGGTACTCGGTCACTTGTGTGTCGACTTCGGCGCCCCATGATGGCAAATTCTTCAACCCCTCGATGAACTTGGACTCGACCCGAGCGTGGTACTGGGCAGCCCATTCCATGGTACTGTTGACATCGCATCTCAACTCGTGCATGACGCAAGTGAGTAAATTGTGTCCATCGTTTCCAGTAGTCTGCTCTCTGTTGTACGACAGAATATCTTACATCGCGGGCGATCAGAAGTGAGCAGTGTCTGCCCTTGCAGTTAATATTCTGGCAACTCACGTTATCGACTAGTGTCAGGTCAGTAATACACGTTGATAACTCGACAATGACGGGATGATAGAAGATCTCGTCGGGAACGCTCAAGTCGAGCTCCAAGGATAGGCTGCCGGGGCGAATGGCAGCGTTCTCCCGACGATTGATCAAATACTGATTTATTTTTAGGATGATATTGTTTTCCCTATTGGCCGCCTCTGCAACGACTGATTCAAGATATGCTTTCAAGCTCTCTTCGAAATGGCGCTGGGCAGCAGGGCTCGCGATCGTGATAGCCCGTGCTCAAAATCTGCGGGAAGACTGAGAGCCAGCGCTTGGTAATCCAATGACGCTGCTGACTGCCTGATGATCTCCCCCAGTGGGATCTCTCCTTCCGGGCGAGACTTCCTCGGATTCTCAAGAGCATCAATTGCCATGTCTATCATCTCTCGACATCCGGGTTCGTTTTCAATGTCGGTGTACTCATCGATGACGAAGAATATATGCGTCAAGTCACAGCCGAGGCGCAAATGTTCTATAATCACATCGTAATTAAATGTCATAATCATTGATGAATACACGTACTCACCCTTCATGCAGCTTGAATACAGCAGCGCGGAGAAAAGGCCTGGTATGGCTGGTAATCGAAGCTTCATAAAGGACGGCAGCACTTACAAAAGTCTCCCCTATCGAAAACAATTTGGGACTGCGGAGTGAAAGCTTGAAAGCTCTTCAGCCACTCCTCTGATTCCGCCTTGACCTCCTTACAATAAGGATTGGCTATCCTCGGCCACGGCCAAGAGGCCATCGTCTCGGGCAAGATAAGCAATGTCTCGCACGAAGTCACGTTAGGAGGTGAGTGTAGGTGAGATGCTACCAAGTCAGTGTACAGCTGCACTGGTGTTCTCTTACCCGCCGATTGACCCTTCTTATACCTCACAATAGTGCGCACGCGAACACGTCCACAATCCACGCATCCGAACAGCGTTCTGAATTCTGTCTTCAATCGTCCATCGGTAGCACAACAAGTTGCCGTCCTCACCTGAAACACAAGACTCAGCTCTGGCGAATGGGTTGGTTATCTGCTCATGACGCTGGTCGCCGCCGTGTGCCCGGTCGACTGCCCGTAGTGATACGGTCACATGCTCCGCCCACTTGTTCGTGATTGAGCCCTGATGGTGTCGAAGCGTTCGACTGCATCAGTGTATAGTCATCAATAGCAACGTCGTCCTCGTTGTCGAGCCATGTGAAGTCCTTGTGCTTCGTCCAAGACTGTCACGAGTATCTTGTAGTCTTGTAGTTTGTCCTGTTAGAAAGGATATGGACTTATAACTCTAAGAGTGACCAATTCTGTCTTTGCAAGCCAAGGCCACAGCTCTGCTAGGGTAATTGCAGAAAGCCCGAAACCTTCTTAGTGACACTATCGCGACCCTATTGTTGCTGTGGGACACCGCCGCGACACTCTCAACAGCCGAATCAAAGGGTCGAATGAACGGAGGGGACTTCTCTGTTGCCCTGCGTGTAGACTACAGTCTCAACTCGTATGCAAAGGCAATCATCACTGAGACCAAACCAAGCGCCTCGAGCCAGTGGGTAAAACACATACGAATCCCTCGGGAGCACCGTGGAGGCTGCTTCAACCGGTATTTGATGACAAGAGACTGACTACAGGTGGACGCCTCACGAGCGTGAAGTCTGCCTTCTTACTAGTGGCTTGTGAAGGGGCCGCCCTGGATCAGTAACGGGCTGTGGTTCACACTCGTAAGCTCGACGTACTGGTCAAAAATGCAGATACAGTATCAAAACGCCACCGTAGATTACTTGACATACTTGACACTCAGTATTTTCTAGTCGCAGCACCTTGCTTTCCGCAGATCCCCCTTATCGTAATAGAAGCTATCTCCCGCTATGCCATATCTCCCTTGAGATAGTGACACCCTTGACACATGATGAGAACCATCTAGAGAGCTCCGCTGATGCTTTGGCCGTTCTCACTAGCCAACCCGACCTAACCCATTCAAATCGCAAGAGACGAGGTGTTCCGCTGAGTAATCATCTCGGTGTATGCCCTGTTCCTGGGGCGAATGGTGCATATGAAAGGTTTAGGATGGCTGCAGGACATTAAGTTCTATCAACGACATGACATGCTAGTTATGTACCTGACTGCGCCTGACAGGAAAGCATTTTCTGGTGTAATGACATCCCCGTTGGGATGGCGAGCATTCATGATATCGAATGTTGCCAATAGGTTAGCAGCTATAAGCCATACACTCGAATCAGCTAGGAATCTGCCAGGGCAAATCCTACGTTGCTTGAGCATATAGATGTGAATATATAGTGCAGTCTATGCCTACCTTCGGCCAAACCCGAACACAATTGACTTTGGGTCTCGGCAAATAGGACCTCCCCGTGATGGTAAATGCCTCTCGGTATCACAAAACCTATAAACCCACCTTATAGCTTGATGGTAAGGGGGGGAGATAAAGCACTTAAGTGTGGGGGAGGTAATGCTGTTAAGCGCAACAACGAAGTGAATAGAACTGGGGGACAGGGTGCCCCAGGATGCTGCCTTATATACATGAGGGAAAACCCCCCAGGGACCGGTAATGGACCCCTGGTACCTAGCTGGGTAAGGATTACTAAGTATCATGTGCTCTATGATGTCATATATGATGTCATAGTCTGGCCCTGCCCTGCCCTGGGCCTAGGGTCCAGAATTGACCGGCCTATGGCCTAGTGCCTGAGCCTAGCTGCTACCTATGATGTCAGAATGATGTCATGGTCCAGAAGGAGCCTGGTTTCTATCTAGAAAAGGTCCGGCATCAGAGTCCAGCCTGATGTGTCCAGAACAAGATCATGTGTCGCTTATTTAAGCGGATAACCCCTTAGATATGCAGCTGTACCCATATGCGGACGGATAAGTATCGATAAGTCCCTATACCCTTTGATATGTCCGCAGAAATAGCGGAAAAATTAGGTAAAATTAGGGAAACTGTGACAGTACCCCCGCCTCTAGCTTCGAGCTCCGTTTGAGAAGTTTCGACCATTTGACCAGTGAAGTGCCTTTACGCTTTGGTAATCTTGAGATCACAATCGGCTATACGCTCAATAATGAGCTGAGCAATGGGGTCGCCTTTGGCGATTTTCAGCTCGGATGGTCCAGTGTTGGTAACAACAACCTTGACTTCGGCTAGGTCACCCCGCTCGATAATGCCTTTGATTGCTCGGATTCCTTTGGCTAATGGATTCCCTACTGGGGTAATTCTCCCGTAGGTGCCAACTGGTAGTTGTATCCGGATTCCTGTCGGAATCTGCAGTGTTGCGTTACTGGCGACTTCCTGATTTTGACTCGCATACAGTTCAAAGCCTGCTGCTGTATCGGTCTTTCTCTTGGGTTCCTGACCTCCTCGTAGCTCAACTCGAAGTGTTGCATCCCTTTTTAGGAGAGCAAACACCTTGTCATCATTATCATCGAGTGCCCTGATCGCATGCGGGTGCGCGTCGTGATATTCTTTGATGAGTTCCTTCGAGCCTTTGAGGTTCGCTACTGGTTCCCATGTATTGTCGCGACTTGAGGTCGAGCGACAGGGGAATATCTGG